GATTTTTATATATATTAGTGTTTTTTTATATTATTTTATTAATATCCTTTTATATAAGGATTTTTTTTATAAATTCTTTTTTAGTTAATTTACTATATGCTAAGGATTTATTATATTCTATAGTCTTATTAATTAAAGGGTAAAGCAGAGTCTTAAAAAAGATCTCTAGTTTAAAAGTATTAAATTAATACCTGTAGTTATATTCTGTATTATTAAGATTTTATAATCTGCATTCTTTATAAAGTCCTTCTTTTATTTATTATTTAAATTATTTTTATTTAGTAAATTCTTTATATTTATAATAAATATAAATATCCTTAGTTTTAATTATATTAAAGTTTAAAATTCTATTATTTTTAAATTCCTTATTTATTAGCTAAGTAGTAAAAGTATTAATACTTTTTTTATTTTTAAGTTTTTTTAAAAAATAATTTAATTCTTTTTTATTATTAAGGTAGATTTTATATATATTATTATAGTATGCTATTTAGCTAAGATATTTATAGTTTATAGTAAGTATTATTATATTAATATTTTTCTTATTTTATAATTTTAAAATAAGTAACTATTTCTTATTATTATTCTTTTTAAGGCTATAGCAGTATTTTTTAATATATTTCTTTTTCTTATAGTTATAATATTTAATATTTTATTTATTTTATTTCTTTTAGTTAATAGTATTAAGGTTTATTAGTCTAGGTTTTTTATTATTATATATTATAAAGTTATGTTTTTTTTTATAATTTATTATAGTTTTTTATTAAAATATTTTTTAATTACTATATTTTTCTATACTTTATTCCTTTTATTATTTATATAATTAATTATTAATTTAAATAGCTTTTTTAAAAAAAGCTTTAAATATTTTAAGGAGTTTATTTTATATAAGTTTATTCTTTACTTTAGATTTTAGCCTTTAGTAATAAAGGACTCTTTTTAATATATTATTTATATTTATTTTAGCATTAATTTAAATAAATTCTATAGTAAACTTTAAGTATAACCCTTTTTATTTAAGGTTAAGGAGCTAATTTTTAGCTTTCTTTTTCTTATTTATAGCTTTAAAAATATCCTTAACTTATTATTTAAAGTGCTTATAGCTATTATATATTACTATAGTAGTTACCTTATATATATTAATATTATTAATAGTAGCTTTAAAATCCTATTAGTAAGGTTTAAACTAGTTTTTAGTGGCTTTTTTAAGTTAAGAAGCAGTAATTTATACCTTTATTTTATTTATTGAAATAGTTATAAGAAAGTACTTAAAGTATATTTTTATATTTATAAGAAATGCTTTAGTTTTTCTTATATCTTTATTATATATAGTTAGTATTAGTGGCTTAATAATTTCTTTAGGTTATTTCTTTTAGTATAAAGCTAGTATATTAATAACTAGTAGTGCTTATTAATTTAGTTAAGCTTTTAAGGCTATAATTATATTCTGCTATTAGGCTTATTCTTAAGTTAATTATTAAACTAAGTTCTTAAAAGTTATAAGTTATTAAAATACTGCGTTTTTTATTATATTTTAAGTAGTGTTATTAAGTTCTATATTTCTTAAAGTTGCTATATTAACTTATTATAATTATTTATTTTTATTTTAAAGTAACACTTCCTTAATTAATATTACTTTAAGAGTTTAAGGTAACTTCTTAAATAAGAGTTATTATTATATAATAAACTAGGTTTTTATAGTTAGTAAAAACACTGTTTTTTAAGGAATAAACTGTTTAAGTAAATAGCTTTAGTAAGAGAGCTATTTAGGTTTATACTAGTAAAGAGTTAGGTTAGTACTTAAGGCATATATAGTTATATAGCTAGTTAATACTTATATAGTAAATGTCTAGGTTTTAATCTATTTATATTATAAATGCTATTAAGTAATAATAACTAGCTATTTAAACTATTTAAATAAGTAATATAAATATAACTTATATATTTAGTTATCTTAATATCCTTAATATACTTAATTATTAAGTTTATTAAGTTATCTTTAATATACTTAATAGTTAATTTTATTAAGTAGCTTCTAATTAGCTAAACAGTTTAATATTTATTTAGTGCTGCTTACTAAGAGTGGCCTATTATTATAACTATAAGGCTAGGTTATAATAGTTATTTTAATAGGATTATCTTAAGGCTTAGATAATTCTAAGATAGATTATTTATTAACCTAAATAATCCTATCTAGATTAATAAATTATTTTAATAATTTAATAATCTATTCTTAATTAGCTAGACAGTTTAATATTTTATCTAGTTCTATTTACTAGGGGTGGCCTGCTATTATAACTATAAGTATTAGGTTATAATAATTTATTTTTTATTACTATTACTTATATATAATACTAAGTTAGTTAATACTTTATATTTAGCTACTTTATAATAGTACTACTTTAGTATTAATATTTATACTACTTTATAAAGTTTATTAATAATATATATATATTTACTATTAGTATTAGTATTATTATTTAAATTAGCTAATAAATAAGCTATTAAATAAGCTACTAAATTAGTTATTAAAAGCATAGTATTAAGTAAATTAAATATAAGTAATATAATAGCTTTTTACTTATATTACTAAGTACTTTATTTATTATTTAAGTGGCTAATTAAAAAGCTATAATTATTTTAAGTAAGTCTATAAGTTTAGTACTAGCTATAAGTATAGTAAATATAAAAATAATATTATAAAAGTAATAGTAGTAAAGCTACTAAAGTAGCAGCCTTATACTATCCCTTAGTAAGGTATTTATAAGACACTAGACTATCACAAGCCCTCCTTAGTCTATTACACTATCCTGCTCAACCTGGCAAGTGGCACGCATTATGTAACGCCGGGAACTTGTTTCATCATCAGTACTCTCCTTATCCTCAGAGTAATTGCGCTCTTCACTTGTCGAAGGACCCCCAGCTTTCGATAGCTTCATACGTGTGCGCCTGGCACCAGTGCTGCCGCCGATAGTCACGAGATTGACGTCTCGGGACTGCTCAGGAGTGCCATCGGTGTTAGCCAGAGACGGCGCAATCAGACGCAAGAGATGACGCAGCATAGGCATTGATCCAGCGATGATGCCCAGGTCACACTCCAGTACGGTCAACATGACAATCTTTGCGATGGTATCTGTATTGCACAGAGTCAGCCTTTATTGAAGCCATGGTCCGCCAGGATTCGAACATACAGTATCTTTCACTAGGCGCAGTGTAAGCCCATGTATAGCTAATGCGAATGATGGTGGCCACTGATGCCAGCACACCCAGAGAGAGAATCCCCATGGTAATAAGCTTGAGTTTTCTAGGCATCTGTACGTGACGGAGTAGAAAAATAGGTACCAGTGCTGTGCTGAAATCGGTAAAGATATTCGCGGCTGAGACAAAGTACGAGACATTGAGGATGACTCTTTGCCCAGAAAGACAATCTCCGGGCTCGCCCCAGGCCGCGGCCACAGGCTTGCACTGAAATATGGCCACGGGCCAGGAAATTTGCCAGACAATCCAACCTAAAGCAAACAATGCCCATAGTATGCGCGTATATACCACTCCCACTCCCTCAGATAGACGGAGGAGGGTCCATATAATGCTCGATTTGATGAGGGCGCCGTCTAGGACATATAAAAACTGCCAGATAATGGTCCATAGCCCGATGTGGAACTGCATACCGACAGTGATAACATCATCGTGCGACCCGATGCCGCTGTAGGAGAGAACGATCACGGCGGCATTATGCCCGAGGTTTATCAGCTAAAGAGCTCGAAAATTAACGGTCAGTAATGGAGAGCCAAAAGTTCTTCAACTGCTGTCTGTAGTTCATACCCATCCAGCAAGCATCAGCCAATCCTCAACGGCAAACAAGCTATGCGACAGGCGGATCCAGAATCGCAAAAGCACGACGACGCCTGAAAGAATTGTAAAGACAATGGTTACCACCATCAAAGAGAGTGCCAAGCCCTCAGGCTGTATTGGTTCGTACACGGTCGTCGTTAGATCATTGGCCATTGTTTTCTTCTGTTTGGCTTCGCATTCCAACTCGGATACTTGGGGACAGCTGTCGGAAGCCAGAGAAGGAGAGAAGGTAAAGATTGAGGTTGTGATCGAAGACTACCAATAAGGCGCGAAAGAAAGCTGATCCAAAGGGGGTGTAAATCCCAGTGCCGCCCGACTTCTGTTTCGGAAAGCTGGTGCCCTAGCCGGGGAGGCAATCTTAGAAGCGCGGACCAGCAGTATCTATTCCAGATCGGGTCACGGAGTCCAGGAGAGAAGTGAGGAGGATCTAGTCTATGGTTATACTCATGCAGCCTACATTACGCATAATAGGTACCTGCCGTTATACTCTGGGCTTTGGACTTGCCCCAGAAGGCTTTCAGTACCAGACAGCCCAAAACCTTTCCTTCCTTCCCATATCGAATCCTACTTGCTCCAGAGCGAACCACTTCCAAGACATTCAGACAATCATCCAGTAAGCTGCAATTATTCCACGAAGGGTCTACTGCCTACATTAATTGGACATCAGTAGCATCCAGCTCTAGCATTTAGGCACAGACCTGTGTGGACACGCTGGCGAGCTGAAAGCCATGCGCTCAGCCCACTTCCCGTCGGGCCTCGCACAAGAAACAGACAAGATCGTCGAAAAATACGCCAGGGAGGGGTTGTATGGTAGGCTCAAAGTTGTATACCATGTCCTGCCTGCGTGTACTGGCAAGGGATCCCGTGATGCCGAAACATGTGATCTCAAGGGTCCTCGGCTTATAAGCGTTGCTAGTACATTGCGGGTGAAAGTAGCAGCATCGGAAGCTGCTGTTACAATGTTTGTCGTCGTTCCGTAGCCAATGAAGGGATAATATGCCCGGAAAGCCCAACTCCCAATGTCCCTTGTGCAAGCAATAAGTGTAATATTGAAGTATACTACGTACGTGGGACTTTGCAATTATAGAGTAAGCTCGTGTAAGCGAGTTACTACCACTGCCAGAGCCATCACCCCTAGAACAGAATATGGTACAAGTACGCTCGGCATCTTTTTCTTCGTTAGCTTGTGGTCCTACACCGCTATTCCCTGGAGCGGCTAGCCATCGTGGAGTTTACGTAGACTAATCATATTGTCAAAGGTATGGAGCGCTTCAGCCCGCTTAACTAGCGAGATGGTTCGTGGATATACGCTGCTGGATATCCGTGTTTCTATGGGGGTACTATGCGACCCCCGGCGCTAAAGACAGAGGAAAGAATCCTCTGGTATGAACAGTGAATATTCATCCTCGGCGATACTAGAAACGCTGTCGGCTTCAAGGCAGAATATAGTTATGGGGCGAATTGCAGATCTTGAGAAGCGTTAGGGGTAAACCAGGAATTTTGGTTACGTATATAAGATGGGAGACTTCCCGGTCAACCCCTAATTCATCATGAGCGCTACTCATCGCTGGCTCTACTCCAACTCTGCGTTAATTCCTTTACCGACTTCCTAGCTTTGCAGTCGCTACAGAGCACCGAACCTATCGAAACGAAGACCAAGAGGAAAAAGAAAAGGAAGAGATGGCTGATGCAAGCGAGCAACTCCCGGCAGTACCCTCGGATATCACTCCAGAGTGGTTGGGGGAGAAGCTGGGGCACAAGATCAAATCCATTGAGAATACTTCAAACATTTGGGGCACAGCCAGCAAACTCTTTTACACCATTACCTACGAGGAAGAAAGTAGCGAGGAGCGGCCACAGCATATCTGTATCAAGGGTGTGTTTGACCCCAAGATGATCGAAGCTCAGCCATGGACCGTCAGCTTGGCCCAGCGAGAGTCCCAATTCTTCAGCAAGGTGGCGCCCAATGTCAGGAACATGATCTTTCCCAAGAGCTGGTGGAGCGGCATGAGCGACAAGCAGGGCATTGCTATCATGAACGACTTGACCACTGAGGGATGCACTTTCCCTACCGAGACTGCCTCGTATCCAGTTGAAAAGGTTATGAACGGTGTTGAACAGCTGGCTGGTCTTCATGCGCAATACTGGGGTCAGAGCCAGGATAATCATCCATGTAAGGAACAACTACCCCCCTTCTCGCCCCTCCTCCAAGCTCGGCTGCTATCTGGCTCCACCACGGCATCTAACGGTAAAGACAGGGATCTGGAACAATTACGACCCGGCCATGAAGTTCATGTGCACGCCATGGGACCAGGTCGTCCGAACGCCTGGCCGCCCCAAGCTTCCAGAGTACTTGATGGACGGTAAACGATGCAATGAAGCTTTAGACCGCTATTACGCGGAGCGCAATCCGAGATTTCGTACACTACTACACGGCGATACCCACATTGGCAACGTTTATTTCACATCTTCTGGGCGTATTGGCTTCCTCGACTGGTCAGCTTTCCACTTCGGATCGTGCTTTCACGATGTTGTCTATCACATGACGGCCATGCTAAGCATCGAGGACCGCCGTGCGCACGAGATGGACATCTTGGACCACTACCTGGAGACGCTACACCGACTTGGCGGACCCAAGTTCGACCGTCACAACGACCCTGAAGTCATGACCGAGTACAAGCGATCTTTCATGACCAACGTGATTTGGCTCATCTGTCCCGATGGACTGCAAAGCAAGGAGCGTGTGGCTGTTCTCTGTGAGCGTACTGTTGCCACCTACGACGACCACAAAGTGCTTGATGTCATCCTGGGTCAGTCCAAGCCGGCAGCTTGATACGGGAAGCAAGGCGTTGAAGGGGTATGCAGTACTGGCTCTGGGGGAAACCTGTAATTAGACTCATGATAAAGTGGGTGAACGAGTGCCTTAGTATCTAGCTGTTCCTTTGCCAGTTTCTTTCGCCAACTGGCTTGTCGACTGGCATGTAATTCCCCTTTCCTGCACACGCCTACGGAACTCATAAGCGAAACATGATGCAGGACTAGCGAAGAGGACACATCAGCCCTATTCTACCATAATAGCCCGTCTACTATTATATTGAAGCACTATGAAAGTATATCGCTATTACAAGACGCACCTCTAGCGTGTTAAACCTTAACTCGGGGCGGTGCGAGTTGTTCCATCTTCGCCTTACATATGACTGGATATTGGTAAGTGCGCCGCAGGCATACACACCGGCTTACTATAAATGCGGGCATATAAAGTCATATATGGTCGATGTCATGGTACTCTGGCTTTGCTGCTAATGTATGAACGCATGCCGGGCACAAGTTGTCGCTAAATAGTACGGCCGGCCACATAAGTGGAATCTTGACATCAATTCAAGCAGATGCGACATGTTGTCTGATTAAGTCAGAGACGCTACAGGCTATGACTTCGGAGATTTTAAGCAATGGTATGATCCAGTTAAGCAGCGCGATCTGCCAAAAAAAGAAAAAAAGAAAGAAAGAAAAAAAAAAAAAGGCTGGCGAGCCACTTAATATAAGATAGAAATATAAAGTAGAGATTGGAAGACTAAGATAGTATGTTCTATAAACTTCCTGCCGAGTCACACAAGCCTATGACATAATTCAGCGGTATGTAGAGGACTGTGCTTCTTCCAGCTGAGTTCAAATTGCGTCTTGGGTTTCATGCGCAGCAATGCTTGAGGAGCCAAGAGAGCGTTCTACAACCACAGTCCTCTAATGACTCCTTTGACCTGGTGTCCCGCGTTGAAGAAGCAGGTTGCCGTCAAAACTCATCGATCAAAGGGCTCAGTCCCTGGGCCGTGCCCAGTCGTTTCTCAAAAAAGAACCTCAAGCGTTCTACCGTTACGCGGTCCTCCATGAATCTCGCAAATGCCGTTGGATTCGTATGAGGCATGTGCATTATATCCGGATACATAGTGCCTGAAGGTCGGATGTCGTGTCGGACACTCCAGCTGACCTTACTTTGATACTCGGGACTCAAAAGATAGTTGTGTAAGAGCTTTGCGCTTTCGGGATGCGGTGCATGCTTTAGGATCGCTGCTGTTTGTGGCCAACTAACAAAATCGGCGTCATTCGGGAAACTGATATTGATATTCTGGCCGGGTGACAATCCACCAAAGCTCGTGAATGTCACAGACTGAGGAGAATTGGCTTCACTCAGGACGTTAAGAGGGGTGGCGGTTCCCCGAACCCACCGGGGATTCTGTTCTAAAAGGTTATCAAACCACTTGGTCCCAAGCACTTCCATGCTGTACTTTCTCCGTTAGTGATACACGGGCTTCAAAAGTATTTTGGAACCACTCACATTTGGTAGAAGGCAAACAGAACGGCATCGTCATCATTGGGATAGGTCAGGATAAGCTGATCCTTGAACTCAGGCTTCAAGAGGTCTTTGTACGAAGATATGTTCCCCGCATGCGGTAGCTTTTCAACGTTCCAGGATATACTCCAGAAAAAGATACTGTATCCGTACCATGACGCCGATAGAGGATCCTTGAATGCTGGAAATACACTCTCTAATCCGACAGGTGCGTAGTTGAGCAAGGCTCCCTCCTGTTGCCAACGAGGAAAGTCCTGTAGGGTCTGAAGTATTATGCTATCAACGTGAATGTTGCCGTTGAATAGCTGTTGATCAATCTCGCCGTCAAGGTACTTGGACAAATCCACAGTAATGTTCAAAGTGATTCCAGGAAAGCGCTTTTCAAAAGCCGCCTTGAGAGTGTCTTGCTGAGTTCTTTCGTCGCCCCCGTGCCACACTGTTACGGTTCCCCCTTCCAATAGGGCAGCGTGATAGATCTCATCAAGTGACCGCGTTTCGATTATCGGAGTTGAGTTGAATCCAAGAATGGTATCATAAGCAAAGGATTGCCCAAGCAAGAGCGCTGCAGCAAGGCCTTTGAACATGGCGTTTGAGTGGACTTCACAAGTCGAAAGCTTTGAGATGCCAATGATATTGCATTGAGGGAATATTTTGACGCATCATTCTCTGCTCGCATTTATACAACATGCAAATAGCTACATCGGCTTCAGGGATATGATTCAATCGAGTCACACCGCCCCGATGGGATTACCAATCGCTCATTGCCATCAAGCACTGAGTAGCCCAATTGTCTCCAGCGGCCGACTGCAACAGCGTTAAAGCCCACGCTACGCCGATGATTTATTACCACCTATTTAGGGAGCTGACAAGTTCCCGCGCGTGTGTACCCATGGATGTGTGGGATGTGGGATGCTTTTCAAGCGGCGATGCAGGGGTATTGTCAGTTACAGTTTGAGCGCGTATTTACAACCGCAACTAAAACACTTACCTTCTTCAACCCCTCTCCTAAGATACCATGATAACCAGTCTAGTATCAGGTATATAGTTGCTCAGTTATGAATTGATGACGTTTGTTAACTGCCAAAGGTATTATGAAGATGCTCCATAGCCTCCGTTCCTGTTACTACTCTCAGCTTAACGATTTGTTCTCTTTCCAGTATTGAACCAACTCTTCCAGGCGACCAATATTCCCAAGTGAGGGTTTTGTACTCTGATTGACCACTCGTCAGCTGTCAAACCAAATTGCTGCTCTGAATTTTCTGTTCCCAGAGTCTCATCGCGCCACTCCAATTTGCCCCGCAAACCTCCCAGTCTTGCGGCTTCCTCGTAAACGCTTTTCTTCATATGCCAGGTCATGAAATCCACCCCATCATCACTTGAAATACCCGTAAGCTCCAGCCGTCGCCTGAGCTCAGCTCTTCTACATACTCGTTGCGTGGGAAATACTGCCGTAGTGAGATTTGCTCAGAGTTTTTGGCCCGTTCCTGGATATCATTTGTTGGATAAGGGACAACTCCCACAAAAACGCCATCCACTGTGAGGTTGAGGGAGATATTTGTGAACATGGCAACCAATTGGTCTTTGCTCGACGCATAATTGAGAAACCACGCACCAAAGACCATGCCGAAAAATCCTCGACTGTTGTCTGGGGCGAACGACTGTGGAATGACACCATCCCCCAACACGAATTGTGCCTTTCCCGCAGAAATCTCTGATGATAATCGAGATACGGCACTCTCAAGCATTGCAGATGATATATCCACGCCGAGGACGTCTTCAGCGCCCCATGCAAGAAGATGTGATGAGTAGAAGCCGGTACCGCAGGCAAGATCTAGAACATGCACCCCCGGTCTGAGTAGTGGCTTAATAGTTGTGTACACGTTGTACTTCTCCACAGCTCTGTAGGCAAGTTGCTCAAGGACATTATAGGAGGCGCCGATGGAGTCGTATTGGGACATCATGAACTATTTGTTTGCTTGTGCAGGCCTGCCGAAAGTTACTTAGTAGGAAGAGCCCTTAGGTATGCCATGAGGAGGAAAAACTGCATTATAGAAAGAAAGCAGTTGCATATTTGTCTCTTTATGCGCTACCTATGCACTGGGATGGGTAAGCCTAGATGATAAGCATGACATAGATGGCGGCGTGCTTAGTGGTAGAATTTGGCTTCCTTACTGACTTCCTAGCGGCGATAAATCTAAAGTTTGACCGCCGCAATATTATCGTTCAGTTCAAATGTCTATCCAGTTAACAACAGAAGGATATGTCCGTCTCATCTCACCGGATCGTCGCACATGTGATACGTGGCATCAAAAGGGTTGAACAAAACAGCTTCTCTGCTTGAAAATCCCCTTTCAGATATGACGTTTCCCAAGGTCCTTTGAAGGACGCTCGCATATATTCTGACTGAACCTTATATCCATAACGTTTCCCACCATGTTCGATGTCACTGGCGCTCAAAGAGGCTTTCACAGCCGTATACAAGCCCCACGGTGATCAGGTATCATCACTCACTTAAACCAAGTTTGAAAGACATTTACTCGACTGTGGTACTGCTAAGAGGAACAATCCGAGATCAAAATCGTTTCTTTTTGTCGCGAGTTGAGTTTCTACTGACCCCTACACTTGAATCACGTAGTAAAAATGACAATGGTGGTTTCACCAATGCTGATAGACACGCGAATCTGGTAGAGTTAGGGCCAAGTACTGCTGCTATTGGTGGCTAATTGCATATAACAGACTACGGGGCCTTCACCTTGCCACTCTGTTGGTACAATCAATCAGCCTGTGCGCAGGCTTTAGCAAGTGGAACATCTTTTTTGCATGAATCTATATCGGCGTGAACACAAGGTGCAGTGGCGGAAGTGTCAAAGTGAAGGTATCCATGACGTCCAAGTCGAACCTTTTCGCAGCACCTGGATCGGCGAATGAAACATTGTACTGAAGCGCTATGTGGCTCAGGACCATGCGCATCTCCATCATCGCAAGATTTCGACCAGGGCATGCCCATTGACCCCGCGTAAACGGAAGCCAGGGAGATTTTTCCGTTGACAAGCCGTCCCATCTCTCGGGCCTGAAAGCGTTTGGGTCTGGCCAAAATCGCGGGTCTCGCTGGACAGTAAACGTCGGAACAGCCACCACTGTGCCTCCAGGGATGAATTCGTCATCAATCATTAAGCCCTCTGGCGGTGCGACACGAGGCAGGCCGCCTGGGACGGATGGCTTCAAGCGCAATGTCTCCTGGATAACGTAGTCGAGGTAAGGGATCCTTTTCTCATACGACCAATCTTGTATGCCTCCTGGGCACTGGTTCCGAAGCGTAGCTTGGAGATGTTGATAGGTATCCGGGTTGCTGGCAAGGAAATAGAGCCTATCAGATTCTATGCGTCAACCCAAAAATACCGCTGTATGAGATGATGCACAGACCTGACAGGCGCACGAGACCAAGGATAGAATAGAGGTAGGAAAGGAGGGACTTACGCATTTGCAAGGGCTGCGCTAGTCGTGTCGCTGCGAATGCTTGATGAGCATGACTTCAATGTCAGGAAAATCCTTTCGAGAAGTGTATCCATCATACCTTCCCGCAATGATCAGAAGACGAGCGTCTTCCTGGATCGCCATTTCACCAGGCGGGGCCGAAGGGTCTCCCTCGTTCAGCGACTTGATCAGCCAAGATATTATGTCTCGAGGGTCACGATTCTTCAGCACCGTTGCCTCGCTTGCCACCACCTGATTCGATTCGCCTGTAAGCCTCGTCGCCCAGGACAGGGTCGACTGCGTGATCTGGTTCAGACCTTACCTTGCGCTTTTCCTGTAGTTGCTGGTGGCACCATGTTGTGAATCGAGAAAAGCCCGCTGCTGCGCCAGGCACTTTGGAGATCATGGACAAAAGCCACGGCACCGTGCCCAGCACACCAATAGCCAGCATGCTCTCGTGAACACCTTTGATAGCCGGATGCTCGGACTCCGATTCTAGCATATGGAAATCCTTGGAGAATCCTAGGAAGAACTTCTTAGCTCAGGTGCCGCGAAGATGATGGCCGCTCCGGATGCAACTCTGTGCCCGGCCCTCACGCACCAATTTCGCCCATCACGTCAAAGCCGAAAAACATGGAATATTCTGTCATATCCATCGGACGACCACTATGTTCCGCAATCTTTGACAAAAGCAAATTTACTTTCGTCTTAATGCGCGGTGCGTAGACGGCCAATGCTTTGCTGGAGAATGAGCACGGGAGAAATGGCCATGATAGTTGATGATTGATCCCATACCTCGAAACCCGAGACCCCTTTCCCAAACCTTCTTGCGAAGCTTGTGGACCTTCAGAACCCGGGTGGAATTCAGCGATATCTTTGTAACATCATTTGAGACTTGCGCGTACCAAGGTGATCTTGTTGTTCGTGTAGGGGTTTCATAAATCACACTTATGGCAGACGCGCGATTAATGGATAGCTCACGAGGGCCTGAAATTATAGCAGATAGATCAGGACAAGGAGCAAGTTGTGCGGATTGATGAAGGAATGCTTGACGATACTCACCGACGCCAACAATATCTCCAAACTTTTCATGTAACTTTTGGGTATCTTCAAATGCTTTGACACTCTTGGCGGCGGAGCGCATAGCATAAAACCTCGATAACTTGGCCATGAAAGGGCCCGGGAAACGGTTTAGGGGATGAAAGAATGCTCTGTAGGTGAGGATGCTGACCGCAACCCCAATGTTATACGCATTCGAAACGAGTAGAGTCCGGCATAGGGTTGGTATGATATCGCAGCCACCAATTTGCACATGGGTTATGATCAGGACGGCAACCGAGCCTACATACAGGAACAAGAGATGCCAAGCATAGCCGTCAACCTCAAAAGGCAGGAAGATTAGGTGATGAGAGGTGACTCCAGCCATCAGGGAAACGAATGCTGCTGCTTGCCATGAGGTTCGGCAAGCTGCAGCAAGTACATTGATGATTTGCAGAGCCATGCTGGACGACGTGATCCTCAGTTCTGAGTCTGATAACGGGAACGATGACAATCTGATGACATGTTTGTGAATCAGGGCGCTGAAGGAATAGAAGTAAACTCCGTACAAAGGGATTGTTACCGGTGGGTGCCAGAAGCGAACGCTGCCAATGGACTGTTATCAGTCTCAAATTTTGCCTAAATACCTCTCACCTTTATACGGGTACGGAGCAATACCTACTTCGTACGAGATCATCTGCCTGGACAATTTCTTGACCGATAATCCTTGTGCTTTGTGGAGCATCTCGCGGAGGTTTAGCCTTGTTGGATGCGGAGTGGTTTGCTGTGGCCAAGGCGAGCTCAATAGCAGCTGGTGACACCAAGTAGGAACAAAAATGGAGATACTGCTTTGGATCGTCTGGATTGTTATGGCCCTGGAGTTCTATATCAGAGACGGCGGGAGGCTACAGGTTACGCCGGGGAGGCCTTTACAAGTCGCTCATTGAATCATCACCACCATGCGACCGGTCCACATTTCATGAGAGCGTAACATACCTAACCTGTTATCACGCTATCTCCAGAAGCTTACTACATGAAAATACGACGGTCCTCTCAGTGGTTGAATCCAGAGTGCGTAGCTCCAACGGTGAATGAGCAAATGTATCTAAATTCTAACATGGTTATATAGCAGCCAGAGCATTAGGGAACCATGGTGCTACTTCACGATGGTTGTAAGACACGTCTAACCAAATGGTGTTGTTGAAGTCTCTTGCGTGAATATTTAGCCTCGACGACCGGCGTCAGTATGATTAGGGTGCTCTAGACACAACATTGTAGGCCGATACGGCGCGACGGTCTGCTGTTTTTCTCTCTTCCTTCGGCTTTATGTGAGTTCGAGTCTGTAAAGATGTTATAAGACGACCTTCTCCGTTATTCTTCTTTACGGCCCCTTTTGCAAGAAGAGATGGAAGCCTCCGCACGCTGTCATACAGTGTCATCACCCTACTCTATTTATTCGCTATGGTGGCCGTCGGGATGCGAATATGAGTGCGAGGCTTGCCTTTGAAGTTGTTCGGGCGGGATGACTGGACTACGTTATTGTTAGTGGCGAGATCTCGGAGTTACAACTGGAGACCCGATAATTCGTACGCGGAGGAATGATTTAAAAGGCTTACACTATCGCGTTTGGTGTCTCTCAGGTCTTCTTCGCAAGCCAGCACGACGCCTTTCTGCAAGATGGTGCCAGAATGTGCATTTGTGAAAAGCATAGAGGAAGAGGTATATGCTACGGCCTCTTTAGGCATATCACATGATTCATGTCTGAGCGCCCCGTATGGATGGCCGTGCCCTTCAAAGTACATGCTGTCGCCCTTGATCGTGTTATATTCCGACACTAATGAGCTTGAGATACCTAGGTCTTACATCTGGATTGGTATGTTTTCATGCAGTTTGCTGTCATGATGTGCGTCCCAATCTTCTTCTTCTGGCTCTCCGACACGGCTTTTTTTGTGCAAGCTCTGCGGGCAATAATGCCTTGAAGTGTCGACTATTGTAGGCCTTCTACGCGCGGGAACTACATCCGACTGCCCAATGGCTCGAGGTTGTCTCCCGAGACAAGACAAGTCAACTCAGATATGAGAGCTTGCAGAACAGCAGCATTGAACTAGTATGTCAGACGCGCCAAGGTGTGCCATAACCTTAAAGAACAGTCTACCCAAGCAGGTTAGCCCAGAATTTGCATGAAAGACGGCCGTGACACTTGCCCATTATCTCAGCTCTACTCGCCATGGACCCGCAACTCCCATCTACTGTTGCGCCCGCTTGTTGATCTATGAAACTGTCCTGCGATAAATGCTTGCTCGAGGACAACGGTATCGCGACAGCATATGAGGCACAGCATAAAGCGCGGTGGTACTTACCTAGGTAAGCCTCACACTCAACATACATGCACTGACTGCCGGACAATTGAAGCACGGCCTATCTCGTACCTGCCCAATTGAGCACCCCCTGCGAACTTTTGTGAAAGACGACGCTGGACCAACAACAAACCGCATAAATGTCACCCATCTGATTACATGGGTACGAAGCACGCAAATGACCATGGCACATAGACACTCTCGTGAGTTCATCAATTGTATCGTAATACCCTACCTAACCTTAGCACCTACCTAGGTAACAGTACCCAGTAATGTGATTTGAACTGACAGTTCCTTTGGCCAGAAGCTCCCAGAGTCACTTTAGCTACACCGAATCTTCGGTGACATCGTCGTGCGATGATAAATGGCATCTTTTTGTACATAGAGTTTATAAATTGTCAATATGACATGTTGCTTGATCAAGGGTTCCGGATACAGATCTCGGATTCAAGCAACCTGATGACCATAGCAATAATCCCACTAATTAGAGCAATGATTCGGTTCGTGCACCGCTTGCATCTCCACCATCGTTAAGCTCTATATGCGACAGACGTCACGACAGTGAGCCTTGAGGCATTTCACAATGAAGCAAACGAAGCATCGAGCTGAATTGTCGGTAATGTAACTCAACGAGGCCACGCTGCCGCCCGTGGCGCGCTTTGCACGCGGCCAGCGAATTGTTCAATCGACATTGAAAACATGCGACCATCCTGAAAGGTACCTTGGGTCCGATAGCTGGAGAATCTGCCACCGTGATAGTCGACTTTTGAGCCGAAGTAATACAATTTATAGCTAATCAAGGGCAGTGCTGTAGTACATACCTACAAATCTCTTGGAGATACAGTATTCTTTTGACGTTATAGGAACCTGAAGTTACAGGGTTACCTGTAATGTGTATCATGACGTTAAACATCACCGCCATGGCACGATCTACCTACCTCCCGATACTGAAGACCAAAATGCTTATTGAAATAGCGCCCCAAGTTACAGGTTGTGACTAGACAGCAAAGCGATGGGAAGTGTCTCAGAAATAGGGAGAAAAATGGCCGCCCTTTGCACGTCACCGATATCATCATGCTCTGTATCACTTGCTCTACGGGCTGCCTTTGTCTGGGGCTCGTAACCGTCTGCCATTGCATAACAGCTTCGTATGTATATACTTCAAGTAACTGGGACAAATAGGCAGTGGATTACCGAAGTCTCTACGAGCATGGCCGTGATTCTTCCGTGTGCTCTCATGGAGATTCTTCTTTGTATACCTACTTACATAGCGTCAACGCGACCAAGCCTGCCGCCGTTTTAGCGCAGGGCTGAAATCAGCTGCTTCGTAAATTATTGATCGTGGTTTAGTCAAACAGAGTGGACACGTTTTGTGTTCTTACCCTAAACTGTCTCAGGCTAAGCGCCCGGGAGCGCCCCGAGCACACGGGAGCGCCACCGGCGCAACAAGTCCACATACACAGGCATACCGATGGTGGGTGTCGTGCTGCTCATCCCACCGCAATAGGGGGACGATGATCTGGAACCTTTCTTTGATGCTGTCACTACATGATAGTATAAGCAGACACTGCACCTCTTGACAGGTGGGTGGCGTGCAGGGATGCGCCGCGTTGATGGCATGAAATAGACAGTCGTCCCTGGCACCACCCTTGCAAATGGTGAACATAACGGCTGGCTTGCCGGCCGGAACACGTTGGTCATTGTCGACGTTGTCGGAGGCGGTACGAGCCTGAACGATTGACCGCTCACGAGCGTCGATTTGCCCTACCACCGAGCGCTGTTGACGGACCTTTTAGGACGCAGTGGGGACAGCAGCACGCCATATGCAGATATAACAAGAGATCGGGAGGACACAACACATATCCAAGGCAGGGCGCAGGAAGACTTTGCTCCTGACACTGGTTCCCACATGGATGAAGGTAATTATCGTGACCCTAACTACCTGACAGACTGCAATGGCGAAGCTCAAGTTACACGCGTGGCTGCCATGAAGAAGTACGATCCATTGCACCATGTGCAATGGCTCTTAAATTTGTGTGCAAGAGGTATATAGATGGCCGGTTATGTACACTCATTCACCTTAACCCTTTACGATGAAGCAGTGTGGGTTTACCCGATACTTGCACATGGATCTTTTCTAAAGCCAACAGAATCGGAAAAGGGAGCAAGACAGACAGAAAGGACGAAATGTAGTTCTCTCGCTCCTCAAACAAAAGCGCAGCCGTTCATATGCGGCGTAGGGGAGGTGTGTTAATTCTTGGACATATCTCCAGAAGACATCAAGGTGTTTGATCATATCGGCTGGTGATTAGGATACAACTTATTGCTCTCTGGATATGGCTCACGAGCCCTTTCCTGAAACGTCATGTCAATACTGACTGTCTTCTTGATCCCCATAATCTGCTCTTCGCTGCCCTCACTCCTGTAATTTGTTTCGAGGTCATTAATGGCTACTTCGAAGTCGTCGCGCCTCTTTGACTGTGTGGACTGGCTGTTCCACTTGTTGTATTGTGCCCCTCTGTCATGCACACCATTGCTCAATTCATAAGAGCGGTCGTGCTTCGTGGAGCCAAAGAGGAAGGGAATAAATCGGGCCAGCGGCGTCCTCAGAGATGGTGCGCAGGCGCAGATGACACCGACCGTTGACTCTACCTGGGTCCATATGACGGATGTCCCAGTCGCCCAGGTGAAGTCCAATATGAAGGTTGCATTGAAGTTCAAGCTGATCAGGCGCTCGATACTCGTGATGGTGACGCTTGGAGAGACGTTAGGAGAGCGATATAGACAATGGTACGGGACACTCACAACGCTCCGAGAACAAACACTGCCAGAATGCTGATCTTGGCCCGACGGTTCATCTGCAGTTTCAGGATAACAGGTATGGGCAACACCAGTACCACAACGTCCATAAGAGTGTTCCAGCCCGACTGGCCATACCAGAAAGCCTTGATGTTGATACTACAAGTGCGTTAGGAGCTAGATCTCCCGTCCAAACGATACACAGCAGGACTGACCATGTACCAGGTATAGTCTTGTCCCAAGAATATCGAACCGGAGTGCATTGGAATATGGTTGTGAAGCTGAGAGCCACCAATCCAGCTGCTATCTGGAAGATCATCGCCCAGCAGATCATCCGGAACTTCTTTTGGGGAAAGATGTCGAGATAGAGAAAGAGAAAGGATAGCTTTGTGATGGCGACGGTATTCTTGACGAAACACTGGAATATGAAAAAGTATAGTAACGAGTAATATCGCTCTTCTGGGGTAAGAAAAGGTGCATGATGCCCAAAGCCCCATTTCACAATTGCTGAGTCCTTTCTTTAGCAGTGAACCGACACCGACTTTGACTCAAGGGAAATGCGGCTTACCAACCGAAATACAAGACACTTGAATGATGTTGAATATCTGCCGTTTAGTTAGCAATCTTATCTGAACAACATCCCTTCAAGTTGGCTAGTACCAGGCATATGGCAACGCAAACATCTGCCTTGTTGAATGTGCGGCCGCCATTCTTAATGCACCGCCACCATATACGAAATCCCACGATGCATATGGCAACCACAAGCAGCGGGATATTCACGTAGAGGAAGGTGTAGCCGTTTTTTGTATCCGACCCGTTGGGAACGCTGATGGCAGTTGCCGTCATGGTGCTTGTTGTGATGGACTTATGCAAGTAAAGGAAGGACGATGAGAGGAAAGTAGTCGTTAAGAATGAAGTGATTACTAGAGGGGGCTACCTTATCCTGATCTGAGCTACTGCCACTTTGCATAAACAAAGCATTTTCGTTCGCTCCTGCAGACAAGGATCCCACGATCCAGTAGCACTGGCAGCGATTAATCTGACAAAGTCCGCTACCTATGAAGAACTAACGGTGTCGGACAGCGAGACATTCCTCCCCCGCTAAGCTCATCATCCTTGATCCCAGCTTCGCCAGATGACATGGACCAACCTTATTCCGCGTCAGTTGCTGCCATAGCATCCAAGGAGTCGCTCTAGCGCTGGTTCAAAAATATCAGCAGTGGAAAGGATCACCTTGAACAATAGTCGGCCACGATATTGGCTTTGAAGCTGCACTGGGTCGACATAGGCATTCGAGTCCATGGTCATACGAACTATCATCACGGCCATTTGCACGGCAGGGTACGCTGCTGGTCATTCACAAGTGCTATATGTCTCGTCCCATAGAGGATGCCCAGCATTACCCAAGAATTTCTGGATTGTTCAGCAAACATGCAGTCAGATGCCGTTGGTCTCAGCCCCCTACAGATACTACTGCAGCCATAACGTGGATGTAATTCCACAAAAACGAGCACTCTGTCTTCCGTGCAAACAAGGTATTGAGTTGACATAGCCCGGGACACGTGTTATCGGACCCGATGGCTGAAACATACCCCAGGCAATGCAGTCTTCCTTCTCTATGCATCGGCTTCTCTGCGAAAAGGCAGCTGTACGATCCGATTGTCTGGCCAGCTGACAAGGATTGCTAAAAGGTCACTAGGCCTATATGACAAGTCGGGGCTGCTCCGTGCCAACTCCTCTGGTGGCTGGACAGCTGTGACCAATATGGAACACCTCCTTTCGGAACGAGTATTGGTCCTACCCACAGATATGTTTTCGGCTCACATCATAGTCCTGCCAGGTGCAAAGAAGGTTGGATCGGGCTGCGAGGCTCCTGTGGTCAATACATGTTGCCACATGGTTGTTATGACGCCGCTGAACTAAACACTTGCCCGTTCCCGAACCATTTGCATACTATTTATTAACATGGCGTTTCAGCGGCGTCTAGTCTGTCACGGAAACTGAGGGAACAAGACAGTTGTACATATGGGGATAACTGGCGGCAAATGCCGTGATTGCGTCCTTTTGATTACGCAATTATACGGCAACTACCTTCAAGTGATCATGTTGCGATTCTACTGACCTTATCAATGAACGCTCTGTGTTTCCAGAAGCTGCAGTGTACTTTATATAAGGGTGGCCTTTCAAAACTCGGCAAGCTGAGAGGGCCGGTAAAGCACTCAACTATCCGTTGAATCTCTAAACACCTTCCACTTTTCTTGGACTCTCATATGAAAAGTCCCATGGCAGCCTCAAATGCTCCTACTAATCTACTGCACACCCACATCAGCTGAAGAGCCCCCTGCATGAAAGGCTCCAAGAGTTCTAGGCTGCCCAGAGGCTAACGGCTTAGCTATGCACATGCATTAATACGACCTGACAGGATGTGTGTTGGTTGCAATCGGAACGCCCACGTCCGTCCCTTGCTAGTGTAGAACGCGTGTCGATGCTGATGCAACATGCTCCTCCCTCCTCCCTGCTGCTCTCCTGCATTGTAGGAGTAACCAGTTCTAAATGGCCTGATTCTTCAGCGCTATTACACACACTCATACTCCCAACAGCAAGACCGGCCAGTCCTAGCAAATGGTAGGGCAGAAAGGACGAAGTTTGGCCGGGGATGCGGCTCAGGGGGAAGCTTCCTTCGAACCAGGGGCTTACTGCCGTCCATGCTGGTATCCTGTTTTGCAGGGCCAATCATTGCGAATAACTGGTTATATGCTACAGTTGTATACCTTAAGCACAGCAAGTTGCATCTTGAGCTGCCTGTGAAGAATAAGGTAGCGCCTGTACGGAGTGCAAGTCATAGGGGTACAAAGGGCTTATACTACTGTTGTAGCTAATCCAATGCATAGGTAGTATACTACTATACAGTACCATATCTTTATCGCAACTGGACGCTACGTCGTCACAGAATCCTACGTCGTACTCTCTCCAACGATGTCCCGTGCAAGGCCGGTACATAGCATGGTGGTGGGCTATCCGTGCAACTGTCTTGACGCCGGGTCCCCACTCGCGGATGCAAATGGACAGACCCAGGGGGGGGATTTACAAGGGTTCATTTGACTAGGTGCTCGGACGAGAAGAATGAAGCTTAAAGTGATAGACTTTGAAGACTTGTTGGGGGTCAGAACTTAAGGGCTTTTGATTGGGTCGGGATGAGGTAGGCGGTGATAGCGTCGCCATTGAGAGTCGGGAAGCGTCGCGCCTCGCGACATAACCTCCCTTTTCCAACGCTAGGAATTACCGCCCCACCACACGCGAGGCAGTTTCCTCCCGGTCGTCTGTACAACTAGTACTCGCACGGGCCGCGTCCGCCCCAAGTCCCATCCTCCTGAAGGCATAAAGTTACCAGGGGAAGACCCTTGCGTCTTGGACTGGGTAGTACTAGGGTCGACATCCGCGATGCAAGCGTGACATTCTAGAGGAGCTACAGCTCAATCGGCGAGCCTCGAAGTTGATGGATGCGGAGAGCTTCGTCCATGGGTTTGGATGTGTGGATGTGGGCGGATCTCGGTCGTCAACACAGTGTGTCATGACCGCCTACACCATCGTGCCCGTCTGTTTGTCTGCGGTTTGGGCTAAAATGGACTGGCTTGTTGTACTGTTGCAGAGAAAATAAAGCAACCTACAGAGAACCAATTAGCCGGATGATGGGCTGGTGCTACTGCTGTTGTGAGGGGTTGCTTTCCAATTCTTAGGTTCATCTTTTTGGCAGCGTTCAATTCCTTCGATTCCTCTTCTACAACTACCCCGTGTCGAGACACGGCAGAAGTGTTCCCGATCAAGGCATTGAACCAACTCAACGCGGAACACAATCATGGAACCGGATGCAGATGTCGCAGCAGAGAAGCCTTTGGGCCTAGTCTCAATGATACCTTCTGACGCAGCGAACGACGATGCCACCGAGACCGTCTCTGGTGCCGAATATCGTAAACTTATTTGGAAACTCGACGTGCATCTACTACCGCCGCTCTTCGTATTGTGGTTCATTTCCTTGATTGACCGCGTTAACATCGGCACGGCTAGGATTCAGGGCCTTGAGAAGGATCTTGGCATGAATCCTCTATCCAACCAATTCAACATTGCAACTGGTAAGCCCTGTGATGCCTCTCAAGGGTCACGTCGGGTGGTATGCTAAGCAGGAACTGTCCAGTTGTCGTCTTCATTGGCCTCATGCTTGCAGAGGTTCGTCTTGGCCCCAACAAAACCCGCCTTCCCGTGTATATGGGTATTTCATACTCACAAGCGAGTGCAGGTGCCAAGTAACTGGCTAGTCAAACGATTTACGCCGTCAACCGTGCTCTGCGGAGAGTGCATAGTCCTTGGTAAGGTGGTACACGCTCGATCCGATGCACAAGGTGTTAACATTGGTAGGGATCTTCACCATTGCTCAGGGCCTAATCAACAACTTTGCGGGCCTTGTTGCCCTACGCCTCGTCATTGGCATTTTAGAAGCTGGACTCATACCTGGTTCCATCTTCTTGCTATCAGCGTACTATCCACGATATGAACTACAATGGCGAGTCAGTATGCTGCACGTTGGCAACGCGCTCTCCAATGCTGTCGGTGGCCTCCTTGCCTATGCAGTGGCCAGCATTCATTCGTCGAATGGATGGCATGGATGGAGATGGATATTCATCATTGAGGGATCAATTACCATTGCTCTTACGCTCCTGTGCTGGCCTTTCATGAACAACTGGCCTGCCACGGCAAAGTGGCTGAAGCCGACGGAGAGAGACGTCTTGGAGGAGCGGATTCGAGTTGACGGCATCATCGGCCGCATGGACGTCCTAGACCGCAGGGCAGCCGTTCGATGCCTCACAGATTGGAAGATTTATCTCAGGTCAGAACGCCCGCGACATCGTATGACTCGTAGTCAGGCGTGTTTCATACTAATATCAGCTCTAGTGCCTTCATCATCATCGGGATTATCTCAAGTGTATACTCCTGCACCCTATTCGCTCCGACTATCGTCTCGGTTCTCAAACCGGGGTCCTCTGCCAAGGAGATACAGTCCCTCGTCATCCCGATCTTCGTTGTCGCATCAGCCACAACTTTGACATGCGCATATATCTCAGACAAACTAAAGCACCGCGCGGGCGTAGCGTTGGCAGGCTGCTTCATCGCCATTGTAGGCTACATTGTCATCCTCAACCAAGAGCGTGTCTCGGTGAATGCACGATACGGAGCCCTATATCTCATTGCATCTGGCTCTTTTGCCGCCCTACCCGGAGCTTGGATACTGCTGCTGAATAACGTCTCCGGATCCTATAAAACGGCCTTTGCGATGGGTATGGAGATAGGCTTGGGCAACGGCGGCGGCTTCGTGGCATCATTCTCCTTCCAATCCAAGGCGGCTCCATTTTACTGGACGGGTTTCAGGACAACCTTTTCCCTCATGTGCATGGCTATGGGACTCATCTGTCTTTACTCTGCCGGTCTCTGGCACGAAAACAAGCAGAAGCGCTCTGGAAAGCGAGATTACCTTCTGGAGGAGGAGGGTGATAATCTGGGGGACGCCCATCCCGAGTTTATCTACACTTACTAGAGGGGCCATCCATTGTCATCAGTTGATCCCTTGTATCACCGTACAACTGGCTCTGTCTTCATGTTTCATAGGGACAGTCCTAACCCTCGCTCAACATATACCTCCCCTAATTATTACGCGCAACTATTAGACCATTGACCCTAATCACTGCGTGAACAATGGCAATAGAAAAAAAGACCCCCGCTATTTTTTATAAGTCTCCTACTGCAAAGTAGCATTATAGGAGGTCGTCAGTTAAGTCCAAGTCCTCTCGACGGTCAACAGTCAAGTGATCACGGCCAACAGTGCTATCTAATGCATAGCCAACCGAGTTATTGTAACGCATACCGGGATCGGTCAACCACATAAGGCCCTCTACGAATACATGTGTAATGCTGGAAAAGAAGAATGTAACACCATATTTACATAAAGCCAGCCCTTCCACTGCTTTGAGTGCCGCTCCAAGGCTTTTCTCGAGCCATGGGTTGCTCTTCAGCTCTTCAGCTAAATATGCAGGGTCAGCGGCAAAGGAGAGAACCTCAAGTGATCATAGGACTATTCCCTTTTAGAGAATTTTCAATACTATAAGATACCTGCTGGAGTCTATAAGGCGTCTGCTTCTGGGGACACATTGAGGTAAGGAATTGACTTGAGTGCCTTAGAAACCCACCATATTTGTCCGCAGACTCTACGCCGAGGCCCTCATCTCCGATGCAAACAAGCTATTACCTAGAAACAGAAGGCCTAGAACGCTAGATTCAGACCCGAGAGCTAATTTCAGAATGTTGTCAAGGATGCCGCAAGGCTGTTCACGCGGTGGCGGTCGAACGGTTCAGCGTAAAGTCAACCTAATGCATCAGACTCGAAAACGAACTAGTACCCACAACGAGCACAGTACGGCAGAAATAAGGATCTCTACTGACGGTACAAGCATTGTTCTGTTCATGCAGGGGTGGGCATGACGAATGTACAGTACAAGTCCAGTCTCGCCCCGCACCTCAATCCCTCGACGCGATGTAGCATCGTACCGGCTGCCGTGATCGGGACGACGAACAAGCATCCCCGAAAGGATGCCTAGCCGTAGAAGATGACGGGACAACCATCGGTACCAAGGTACGTAATCCTGCAAGCAGCTCTGGACTTCCCACTTTGCGAGCCTTTTTTTTTTTTCTTTTTTGAATTCTGGACACACGGCCGCTGCTATTCAAGTCACCTACCCCGAGCCCCAACCTTCGCTGCTTATCATCCAGGCAAAGGTTACCGGGAGGATCTTGCTCCGTTCTACGACGTATAGCGTGCCATTTGACTTAGATTTGGTGGAAGCGACGATGGGTTCAATGGGAGATCGAGAGCCGATCGACGTAGCCATCGTCGGGGGAGGGATCGGTGGACTTGCCCTAGCCATTGGGTTACAGCAGCATGGCCATATCCGAACCGATATCTACGAGGCTGCTTCAAAGTTCTCCGAGATTGGTGGTGAGTGCCAGTCGTTCAGATACAAAGGATTGATGATGATGTCGAGGTCTTTGTGCCGGTGCACCGATTACTGAATAACTGTACCTGACCTTCGAAGCACTGTAGCTGGAGTGTTTTTTGGCGCCAATGCCATTCGAGCAATGAGCCTGATTCATCCCAGCGTCGGCGAGGCTTACGCCAGAATCTCGACAACCGCAGGTTGGGAATCAAAGGAGGATACATACTTCGACTTCATCCTTGCCCACGAGCTGCATGGCCTGCCTACTGGGACCCCCATCATATCCCCCAAGCTCTCAGCGACGGAGCGGCATAGCACGGCTCATCGTGCGCATTTTGTTGATGAGCTCGTTAAACTGATTCCCAAAAACATGGCACACTTTGGCAAGAGACTGATTGATGTTTCTCGGGATGAGGCTAGAGGGAGAACGGTCATGGTGTTTGCCGATGGCACCACTGCTGAGGCTGATGCGATCATTGGATGCGACGGGATTAAGTCGATATGTAGGGAATTCGTGCTAGGCAAAGATGACCCCAGATCGCAGCCAGTCTTTACAGGAAAGCATGCTTACCGGGGGTTGATACCCATGGATAAAGCCATTGCGGCAATAGGAGAAGAGAAGGCCCAAAATCGTTACATGTTCATTGGGAAAGGCGGCCATGTGCTGACCTTCCCCGTTGCGAATGGCAAAGTGATGAATATTGTCGCCTTTAGCACGACGAAGAGCGGTGTGTGGGAAGGAGAATGGATAAAGCGAATGGAGCGGGAGGACTTGGAAGCCGACTTCGAGGGCTTTGGGGAAGAGTGCCAGAAGATATTTTCGGTATGCTCAACCCCTGTACTAGTTCAATGATGCCTGGTGATGAAGCTTGCTGATTTGGTAGGACAGTTGATGGAGAGCACCGACCACTGGGGAATCTTTGACCTGTCCCCCAGTATTCCAACATATCAGTCCAGAGATCTCCGCCTTGTCCTTCTTGGTGACAGTGCGCATGCCTGTGCTCCTCATCAAGGGGCCGGTGCAGGTCAAGCGCTGGAAGATGCGCATATCCTCTCCCACGCCCTTGGCGAGTGCCGTTCTCCGTCCGACCTCCTAGCTGCGTTCGACGCATATGAGGCGGTCCGTATGCCGCGTGCGAGGTTTGTGCAATACCATGGACGACGACAAGGAGAATTGCTGGACCTACAAAGGCCTGACGTGGGGGATGATCTGGAGAAACTCAAAGCAGTCATTGACGTTCCTATCCGAGAGATCTGGAACTGTGATCTGAGTGCCGAGTTGGACAAGGCGCTAGCCATGATGAGGGCACAGCTGGGAAGGCCGGCGGTGACGTCCCTCCAGCAGCTTTGAGCAAGCGTCTTAGCGATAGTAACAGATAGTATATTTCAAGGGTGAATGGAAACGACTCCACAAAGGACTCACACAATGTAGGATCCTCTGCGAGCTCTACCTCCCTATAACATCGGGCTGATTCGGAAAGGTACAGAAGATGTTCTTTCGATCCACCTGACTTTCCTTTGGCCCCTTCTTGTACTGGAAGCAGCAGTGTTGTCTTCATCCGATGTTTCTATATTCCTTGTGTATGTAGTTCTACATCTTCAGTCTCTCCCGACCAGGACGAAGAAGTGCTTGCTATCTCGGGTCGCCCGTAACCATCCTTCTATCATGGGCGGCGACTGCCAGCACGCAGGACAGGGTAAGAAGTAGGTATATATATAGCTTACCCCAAATTCTTCCAGAAAGCTTCAATTAGTCCGGCAACTTCTGGCACTTTTTCTCTAACTACGGCATGCCCAGCCTGTGGAACGAGCACAGTGTTCTGCATTCCGATGCTGTGCAGATCCTGTTCACTGACTATGTCGTCCAGCTGCCCAAGGATGCAGAGGCTCTTGATGCCCGTTTTCGCCACTTTGGCGAATTCTTCATCCCTGTCCAACACTCCAGCGTCTCTGAACATGGCGACCACGCTTGCAACGTGACCTTTATGGTGCTTCATTTGCCACTGCCGAACGGCCTCGGCTACTACCTCGCCTCTCTCAACCCTCTCCTTCCAGTCGGACGGCACAACCAAGTCTCCTCCCTCCAGGAATTCCAGAATCCATGCTTTTGCCTGCTCTTCTATGCCTTCGCCGCCACGCAAGTACCTCTTCTGAGTTTCGTTAAATTGGCTCTGTCGCACGAAGCCGGCGGGCGCAATTAGAGTCAGGGACGCTACACGCTCTGGCCTTGCTGCGGCAAAACTCGCAGTCAGTGACCCGCCAAGAGAGAAGCCAACAAAGTGGGCGTTTTCCCAGCCGATGTGTGCCATTACAGACTCCAGCAAGTCGTGAGCGAGTGCCGCATCATGTGCGACGAAAGGCGTGTCTGTGAGCCCGTGACCCCATAGATCAACGAGCACGCATTTGGCACCAGGAAAGCGCGTGGAGAGCGTGCTTGCTAACGCTTGCAAGCCGATTGCACACGTCTGGATGCCGTGGACGAAGAATACGCGAGAAATGGGACTTGGGGTCTGGTCGGGAACGATAGATGAGGGTGAAAGCTCGTAGAACGCGATGTTGCCGTTCCTCGTCTTCAAAAACGACGCTTGAGGCAATATCTGCCCAAAGGCTGCGACGAAGACGCTTTCAGAAGGTGCGGGAATGATGTGTGGTGTTTCTGAAGATGGCGCTCCAGGGCGAGGCAATACGACTAGCGGGTCGGCCATCGCTGCGATATTTCGAGCGGTAGGGTCGTGGATGATGCGAAGATTCAGCTGAGGGGGCTGACGGGACGCCCTCACGAGGACAGTGAGCAAGCCTTGAAGTAAGGTATTCGATATACCTACTTAGTACCTTACGTACCTACCTTAAGCAAGGTAAGTAGGTAGGTACCTAGGTACCTTAGGCATGTACAATGGCACGCCTCAAGCAGAAAAAAGACGCGGTTCAGTCCGTTACGTTAGGCGGATTACGTAATCAATGGGTACCCTCGCGCGCCATAGGGGTTTCTGGTAATGGATGGACTTTCTCGTCATGGATCCCACGAGTCTCTTACTTGCCATATCACGATGATAAAGACTACCTACCTAGTAACAAAACTCTTGAGGCCTTATCATGGTAAAAGTCCATGTTACAAATTGCCTATGCCTTGACCAGAAACCTCCATGTCGCACGATGGTAGGTAATTGAGGTGTCTCTCATAATCGTGCAGTGAATCTAGGGTACGAGACATCTGAACCACAAGCAGTCAATGAATTCTCCCCAGCCTTCAACTCGTGACATGCATTGGATGCATATACTCAAGACACTACCGGGTTGGCACGCAGGCTATCAATGAGCGATAACTCTATTCTCGCCTAAATAAATCAGGCCTCTTTGTTGACACCAGGTGAAAATGGGATGATGAAGCCGCTTTCAGGGAATGACCCAGACGCCTAGTCGCAACATATAGTTGTCTGCAATATTGGTTTTGGTAATAGTCTTTCCCCTTCCCCGGGTTGCAGATCGATCTCAACAGAAAGCCAGTGGCAAGCAAACTTGCCAACACCGGAACCCACGATTATGCAAATGATGATGTAGCCGTTGAAGTACATGGCAAGAAGCATGACTATGTACGCGGCTCCAAAGGTGGCAGCGTGTATGATTGCTCGTACAAGCTGCTGCAGCGGAGTTGCTCGAAACAGAAGTCTCTCGCAGTAGCTGGCTGATCCTTGAGTTCTTCCACCAGCGCGATCGCTGGCCATGGCCGCTTGTCGGTGCCACTGTCGAACAATGGAGTTGTCATATTCTTGACCAATTCGCCGCATGAGCTCGACCGATGCAACCAGTAGGACTATTCCAATGCACGAAGCAGCAAACATGCCTCTGTTTCGAATTCGCCATGATGAGGAGAGGAAGCATGCGTCCACCGTGTACCAATTCCAGAGCATCTAGGGTCACTGTTAGCAAACAAACTGCAGCCCTTGTGGACAGAAAAGGGGTGCGAAGAGAGCCTTGCCGATATTTTACAGCTCTGTGAGCTGCCGTCACCCATATCCATTGTCGTATCAACCAGGTCGTATAGATTGAACTCCTGGATTTGGCAGTAGGCTCTTGTGGATTGATGCACTCCTTGGGAGTCCTGTGAAGTAGGGTGACTGCAAAGACAAGCGATGATCAAGCCAAAGCAAAATCGCCAAACCATTCAGAGGAGTTGTCTGAGCATTGCTGAGATAAATCTCACACATATATAGGCCGAATCAAATGTGCCTGATAAGGGTGGTCAAGTCAGCCAACCTGCGATCTTCATAATCTCCCGCAAACTTGCTCATATGTCCTCACCTGCAGTAGTTCCCCACCTTCAAGAATCCGCATCAAGCGACATCATTAACCTTGTATCACTGACTACAGCATTGTGGAAGCATTCCAGCAGATACAAGTGCAACTATCAAAACCGTTGGCGGATAAAGCGCACCGATACAACAGCCGCGAATTACTTTAAGGGGGGGGGGGGGGACCATCCCTCCAAGCCTCCCAAGTGGACAACATAACTAGAGCCCTAGAATTTCTTGGGTATTGAACTTATCTGGCTGCTCGTCATGCTTATATTAAGTTCTCTGTGCTGCCCGATAAAGCTCCTTTGCAACATAACGCTGCCAATCACCAACACTCGGCGCCGCAACCATCTGGCACAGAGTCACCCGTCCTGCCTTTTCTATCAAGAGACCAAATGCGCAACGCCATGGCTGGCGCTCACTCTATAGTGCGTGCTCGGCACATCCAGAACATGAGTGATGCCACACAGCTCGAGCCTCACTGGGGCTATGCCGACCGTGCGCTGCCTTGCACCAGCGACAAGGGCTCCTGTGAATACTTGGATTTAGTATACTCGGCACATGACTTGGGCATGCTATATGCTGGCATATTATGGGCAACCATCGGCGGTATATTGATCTTTTGGGCGGTGCGCCGCAAGCTCAGTTTACCCTCACACAACCTGGCTATACCATACAGGATTCACGAATCGGCATCTGCACGGCTTGGCCGCACTGCTAGAGCTGCCGTCCAACGCTACCTTCTTCCGGAGTTCATTCGCTCAGTATTTGGCCACGCGACTCGCTTACAAGTTGTGGTTCTAGTCAGCCTCATTGGATACCTCACCATCTGGTCCTTCGTCGGTCTCGCATATCGAACCTGGGTCACACCCGTCAAGAATCTACCCGGCGTTTACAACACTCGAACTACACTCGGTCCATGGTCTGATCGCATCGGGGTCCTGGCATATGCACTCACGCCTCTGTCTGTAATGCTTGCCAACCGAGAATCCCTGCTTTCACTTCTTACTGGAGTGCCGTATCAAGGCTTCAATTTCCTACACAGGTGGCTGGGATACGTTATCTTTGCCCAGGGATCCCTTCATACTATAGGCTGGTGTGTGACCGAGATGCGATTGTATCAGCCCCAACCGGCTGTGGCACAGCAACTCGTTGCTGAAACCTACCTAGTATGGGGGATCGTTGCTATGGCTGTTCTCACCTTGCTCGTTTTCCTGAGCACTTCGTGTGGAATTCGGCTTACTGGATATGAGGCCTTTAGGAAATTGCATTATTCTCTGGCTATGGTATATGTTGGAGCATGCTGGGGGCATTGGGACAAACTTGAATGCTTCATGATACCATCGCTCATCTTCTGGCTTATCGACCGTGGCCTGCGTCTCGTGAGGACGGCAATCCTTCACTATCAGATTCTGCCATCTGGGAATGTAGGATTCCGCTCTTGCTCGGCCGACATCACATTTTGTTCAGACAGCGAACACGGAGACGTTTATCGCCTTGATCTCACGAATAACCAGGATCCCTGGGAGATTGGTCAGCATTACTTCTTGTGCTTCCCAGAGAGCAGCATCTGGCAATCCCACCCGTTCACCCCATTGAATGCTCCCCAAGTGCGACATGGTCTGGTGAAGCATTCCTACATTGTTCGGGCCAGGTGCGGTGAAACCAGAAGAGTTGCCGAGCTTTGTGCGAACAAGCTAAGCTCCACGCAACATACCTCAGACACCAAAGCCATATCAGTGATCCTTACCGGCCCGTACGGAGCAAACATCATGGAAGCCCTTGAGCCAAACAGCAACGTCCTTTGTATCGCAGGCGGTACTGGAGTCTCTTTTGTTCTGCCCGTTTTGCTACGACTATCCCAGTCGACAAAGTCCGCCAACAGAAAGCTCCAGCTCATTTGGGCCATCAAGAGGGCGAGCGACGTGAAATGGATTGAGCGAGAGCTGGAGGCTCTTAAGCAGGTCTCCGCGGACGCCAATGTAGACGTCAGCGTCTTCGTCACCAGGGATCTCGGAACGAAAATTGAGTCTAGTGGGAAAGAAGTACAGGTGCTTGAACGACCTGTCAAGGAGGAAACAATTGTAGAGTCAGCCGGAGCGTCATATGTTGGGAGCCAAAACGTATCTCCACATCGAAATGAAAAAGCGAATGGCACCCGGCGTCCAAATACCGCGAAGCTGATTGGCGAGTTCTTGGAAAACACAGTTTGCGGGCCAAGCGTTGTGGTTGCAAGTGGTCCAGGGGAAATGATTAGCGACATTCGCAGGGCTGTTGCTGGCTTCAATTCTCCGAGGAAAGTCTGGGGTGGACAGCAGCGGTACGATGTGAAGTTGATATGCGAGGACCGCTTGGCGATGTGATGAAACAGGTTTATCCCCAGGCTGGAATCACAAAAACAGTCTGAGAGAGAAGACAAATTGGTTTGTAATGGAGCTCGTTTTGCACATTTGGCTATTGCATTCCAAAATGTTTGGCCAGGTGAGCTATTCGAATAGACATTCAAGATCATGCCCTTCAAAGGCTCTCGCGTCCATTTTCCAAGCATTAAGGAGGACATCTCTACCATCCTTCACGATATTCTGGCCTTGCTCTGAGGTTCCCCAGCCAGGCGTCGTTGATCCGAAGCAAATCAGGTGAGCGCCAATGTGAATCAGCACGCGGTATGCGAAGTTAGCATCGGCTTGACCATAGCCTTCCGTGAAGCCGTTGATGATCCAAAGAGCGCCATCTATATTCTTGTAAAGCTTTAGCAGCCATAGTTCGGCAATGAATTGTCCCACGTCTTCGGCGCGTACACCGACTTGTGCCATCTCCCAATCAATAACTCTGACTGGAACTTGCTGGGCATCATCAAATGCGGCGTCTGGAAGCAACACACTGGATTTGAAGATGTCAGCTTTCACGCTTTCAACGGGGCCGCAGTTTGTTTATAGGCTCTCTTGGGGCTAAACTTACTTTCCAGTCCAGAAATCACCATGGATAGAGGCTAGCTTGCCTTCATCCGCCAGCTCCATCGTAGCCATGCCGACGATCTCCTGCAGGACGTCTTTGCACTCTTCCAGGAGAGACGGAAACACACCCACTCTCTCTAGTAGTTGATCATAGTTGACGTACTTCTTAATGTTCCGCATGTCGGTATTCTTGGCAAATAATTCGCGCAGACTCTGCTGCTCTGGCTTGTCACTCCAAGAATGGAATTCTCGCAGCCACCGACCTAAGACTCGGCCCAGCTCAAGGCATTGTGGCTTTACTGACGCAGGCGTAGGGGCCCGAAGATGACTGATTGCGTAGTCTTTCAAGTTGATAGCGTTGGTCATATACTCTTGAAGTTGAGTGTAGCTTTTAGGACTGAAATGATAGATGTTTGGAGTTCCAACTTGGAACATGGATGATACCGCGACGGGAAGATGTAAGAGGAGCCGTAGACACTCCTCTTCAATAACCTATCCATTGAGCGCGCATCAGCTGCAAGCCCATCTCACTAGCTTAGAGGGAATCGGGGAAACTTACACACCGAACCATTTGAAGCTTGAAACCTGGATGTCGGGCGACATATGCCTCGCCATGCTTCAGCACAACTTCTGTTGAACCGTCTGGTAGAGGGTTCTGCAGTCTGGCGCGGTAGATAAAGTTCGCTGTACCGCCCGTGAGTGGTTCGAGCGCTGAAACTGCGTAGAGTGTGCCCTCCAGTTCTGTGCGGATGGCGTCCTCAATTTCCTGTCTCGTTTTTTCCTCTGACATGATGGACCCTCTGGGCTGAGCAGGCTGGTCCTCTTTCTTGTGAAGAATGTGAGGGTGAAATATGCTACTGTGTGCTTGGGCGTCAGTCTGAAGACCACGCTTGGTAGGACAGAAGATGCCTTTTATTAAGCGACGGACTGTTAGTTAACTTGCCGTGACAACCACGTTTTCTTTGGCTATCGAGTGTCTACCAAGCGGGTAGAAATAAGGGACGAAATGATAACGTGATATGGGTCTTCTACTGCAGCTGCCTATGTACCTTACCGGCGAGTGAGTCAGAGGGGTGGCACTAACATGAGGTATCTCCGTGACCTAACTTTTCTCAATCGCGACCGCGGGGAGTCGACTAATCGCACGTTGAGGTATGGGAAGAAACAAGAGATTCGGGACTTGCAGCGGTCCGGATGGTATGGCTATTTGCGTACCTACCTGCAATTCCATTCTTGATGCGTTTGCCAACAGTATTCGCTGATAACCTCGCTCTCCTGGATCGGATCGATTGATTTGATATTGCTCCCGAGTCCGTATCTCGACAGGATAGTCCGTCAACGACCCAGAGCCATCCACCCCGTGGTGCGAGGTGAACTCAGATTACCCGGATTATACTCAATTAAAGATACTTCCGCAGAATTGACGACATGATAAGGCAAATTGGGCGCAAAAAATTTACGGGAAAAAAAAAAGAAAGAAACAAAAGCTTGATGTTCCCTGCTCATATGACGGCAAACGTCGATTGCGGCCTATGTGAAAAAAGTATACACGGTCACGACACTTCCCATCGTCCCGTACGAGTTCTTACTCCAACCAAAAAGTCTTCATCGCTCTCGGCTCAACAGTCACCTTCAGACTGCTACCAGAGACCTTGTACCGACTTTGCAAGGTGACGTTGTGGCTATTGTCCGTCAAGTACTCGCTCAGCTTCCTCTTCTTGATACCCTCCAGATCGATTGTAAGGTCGTAAGGAAAGTGAGCGGCGTTGATGACGGGAATAGCAACGGTTCCATTCTTGTTGACATATGCGGTCACATAGACGTTCTCGACGTCGCTTGTTGCACCAATGCGGACAGATCCGGGCCGGGCAAAGCGGAAGTATTGGGCAAAAGCCCAAAGGCGAGCCGACACCTCGTAGCTGTCGCGATCAAGGCGGATGAGGGCGTTGTCGCCGTTGGTGTTCTGTGCACACCACCAGTGCGTGTAGCCTGAGGTGTCGCTGTTGACAAACGCGTTGTGCATATATAATGCCCATTGGAGGCCCTCACTACAAGATTGTAACGTTAATACAGTGTCTGGCATGTGAGCGGCGTTGGATGGAGAATACGCACGCAAGTTGGCCGCTATAATCCCAGGTGCTGTTCCATGGACCCGTGCCCTGTATCCCCAGTGTTAGCAGAGGGATCTAGGATTTCTCTAGGATGACACCATACATCTGCCCACTCAGTCTGTATGTTTGGCTTTCCACCGGCGTTGAATGGGCGCTCTGGGTTGCTTTGGTAGTTGTGCCATGTCTGTGATCTCAATTAGAATATTCGAGTCTTTTTTTTCCTAGGTATGTACCAGGAGCAAATCAAAGAACGAACCGCAATGTCAAAGTATCTCTCGCCACCCGCCTGCTGGAGCTCATAAAGAATGTTTCTCTCTTGGCGGGCGCCAGTTGCATCGCAGCAGCTGACGTCTACTTTCGGGAAAGCCTTCTTGAGCGTAGGATAGAGAACCTCCAAAAAGTCTTTGGCTTGATATCCGTCGGAAAGCATGCTCTCGTAGGTAAAGGGGTTGAAGTCTGGCTCGTTCCAGGCGCCTAGAAGGGAGATATCGATGCCTTCTTCTTTATAGAAGCGGACATATTGTACGAGATAATCGGCATATGCTTGGCGCCAGTCGTGTTTGCAATCGGTTCCTCGCACACCGCAGATTTGCCCTCCGAGGTTCTCAGTCCCGACCGTCTTCATGCAGCCGGGAGCGGACCAGGCATCCGCGTAAACGTAAAGGTTCGGATTGTATTTGAGAGCTGTTTTGGTGAGGTTAAACTGGCAGTTGTCACTGCCATCCCACACATAGTCGAACTTGTCTTGCGGCGTCGCGGGACAGGTTGGCAAAATGGTGGTTCCTGGCGAGGAGCCGATATCATTCCGAACAATAGACAGGCCGCCAATGTTCTCATCGAAGAGAATCTGGGTAACCTTCTGTTGGTTCTCAGGCGACAGACCAGAAGACCCGAATTGCTGACAAGCAATACCAAAGGCGCCCGAACAACCCCCTCCAATCATCGTCTGATAGGTCTGGCGGGCATTGATCTTGATGTTAGCCCTGTATTGAGACTTGGTGGCGTATGACCATGCAGCGCTATGGCCCAGAAGAGCCAAAACAACAGAGATAGATGACTTCATGTCGAGGAGAAAGTAGAGAGAAGATTCCCAAGCAGGCAGTTTGCTCTAAACTCTGCTCATCCAGGCCTTGACCGGAGACATGTTATCGCTTTTATATCAAGGCCATTGTGAATTGTCCCTCTTGCTTTGACTTCAGTACCATGGAGACTGCCAGATTTAACCGGTCATCATTCTGTAATACCTGCTCGCGTTCCATGTCGCGAAGAGTTGAAGACCATCCATTTAGCCTTTTTATCCGCGGTGACGCTTCTTGGCGGATTGTGATGCAGGGGTTGAGTCGGCGTCCGTCCAATCACGCCAAGTTGGCGCAACTAACACAGCGACGTTGTTCTTTGTATAAAGTACACCGCTGGCTGTTAAACGGCTGTATGCATGCAAAACTGTCTCGACGGGAGTTCATCGTGGGGACGTCACTCCCTTCAATAGGAATCTATTCGTGTCCAGAATCTAGATCAGCACGTCGCTGGAGTGTCAGCTTCGGCGCTCATACGCGCCAAACGGGCCTGCTGGCCGAAAGAGAGAGAAAAACTCATTTCAAAGTGAGCATGCTGTAGGGATATTTGTGGGCCTGAATGATTGAAGGCATTCAGCAATCAGACTTGATATGAAGTGGTTGACGTATCAATGCCCTCGTGATATCAACGCAAGCGAGGTAGAAGCGTCTCACTGAGAAGACCGCAAGTGTGTCGATAACAGCGGCTCAGTTCTGCTTGTAATGTATCAATCGGGTTGGCACGATCGAATACTCAAAGCGAGTGTATGTCAAGGTGGGATGATCGGATGTAAGCAACACTGTCCAAGGAAGCATCACTGTGCTCCTATTGACCTTGCCCTTTAACGAATTTACCATGTAGCCTTTTTATTCTCGGACCACCATGTACGACAACTGCGCCGTGACTTTGATGGTTGAAAACTCATTGCCAGTTCGCACTCCCATCTCCAGCCTGCTCCGAAGGTATCAGTCTTGTTGAAATTCCTATTAGATGAGTGACTGCTATTGACATACGGTGGCATTGATGGATCCCAGGATTGTATGACTCGCTTCAGCGTCCCGGGAACTCGGCAACGTCTGGCGCTATCGGGACTTTAGCCGATGCACCCCACAAACATTGCGGGTGCCTCGTCCGCGATGATCACAAAGCCATTCCCTGATGCACCATGTCATGTGTCAATAGTCTTGACCTCGGCCTCTCAGAGGTAGAAGATGGGATCAAGATTGTCATCCAGAAGTGCCAGTTCTGTAGAGTGCCCATTGCCGGGATCTGCGCTGCTCTGGATTCCGGTCTGGTGCGTGGTGCCCTACAGTGAAAGTAAGCAGCATTGCAAACACCGTATCAGGCGGCAAAATTGAGAGGGCTCTTGAATGCGGTTACACCTGGATCGGTGCCTACATTCAGCTGAACCATGACGTTAGCACTGTTTCCACAGGGCTGGGTGGGAGTCTTCAACTAATAGCTTGGTTTGCCACCTTAGAGACGTGTCGAGATACGAATGATGTATACATCTGGAGACGTTCCCAGCCCGAGCATAGCGTGCCTGTGTATCAATTGTTGAGTGTTCACAAAGGTATGCACGCAAGGAGGATGCTTTTTCCATAATGGAATATTGTCGGCCATTGACGGAACCACTGCCGAGACCAGCTTTACGCAATCAGCTCCTGATTCCCTGGGCCAATACTAACTACTCCCCCGCGAAATGGTTCTTGCCTTCCCCTGAGTCACGCCGTAGTACTATCTAGTGGCTGAGTGCTTGGAATCATGGGAAGCTGAATAATGAGACCATCTGCCTGACAGTGAGCCGTGGGCCAAATGTAGGAAACACGTTGTAACCTAGTACATCTCTGATGCGAAACCTCTCAGGCATTAGCTGTAGATCTGATGCTGCTCTCTAGCTAGGTACGCATGCATGACCAAGTAGGTTTGAGAGTGCACTTAAACCTCTCTCCCTTCCGTTACACCATTAATCCAACGTACCAAAGGATGTGTATTTAAGTGAACAGCATACCTATCTATACACACGAAGACGTACACCACATACTTGAAGCATTGAGAATCTAGCCTACATCATTGTCCCACAGCAAGAAGCCCATTGCCCAATGCTTGCCATCAATTCTGGCTAAACTGCACACCAATGTCAATGTAGTAAAAATTGGGGTCACCTGTGGCCGGAGGAGTGAATGTCTTGATGGCCTGTTCATTCACAATCTGTTCCCCCGTTGGGCTAGTCAGACGAATTCCAACAGGCAAGTTAAAGGGCCCTGATCCCTGTGGGATTACCCAACTGCCATAGCGTTCTTGTGGGCGGCTACTCGTATAGTTTGGGTCATGGACCAAGGCAACCCAGTTGTCGGTGTCTGCGCCCTTGATCTCGATTTTGGTGACTGAGCCCGGTCCGTTGGTGTTGACTGCCGTGAGAGCAAAATAGTAAGGCCCTCCGCCATTTCGAAGCCAAATGTAGGCGTTCCCAACTTTGGGGCATTGGACTCTTCTATATCGAGTCGGGATGACGCCATTGGTTAGTGATCCATTGCCCTGCAAACGGCCCATGGCAATGTCTGACAGGTCGAGATGAATGCTGTCAGCAGGAAGAGGACAGCCGTATTTGAAGTCGATCTCTCCGCAATGATCGGCGCCCGGACCACCTGCGAGATGTTAGCCAGGGCCATTCGGTTGGCGCATGTAGTACAATGGACGGGATGGACGGGGCTCTCTGACAGCACCACTTGGAGTTCGCGCTGCACGGGCAGCTGTCCACAATCTCGAGAGTAATTGGATCCGTGTAGCCGGCTTCTCCGACAGCATAATCGGTCCCATCGGGCTTTGTTTGTATCAGCTCAATGCACTCGCCGCAGGACAGGTAGTTATCGAGGGCTCCTGGCAACGAGGACCAGAACTATCGCACTGTCAGTGAATACTACACCAGAAAATGATTGCCTCTCGGGGTCCCCAACTTGGGTGTAGTAATCGCCGTTTGGAGCTGCGAAGTTGCCACGAAGGGTAGTGCCGGTAGGGTCTTTGCAAAGCAGGGGATACGCTGTACAAAAAGCGTCACACGTCGCGCCAAGCATGGGATCCGTCCAGCTGGCTGTAACACTGCCCTTTGTGCAGAGACCGTACAGGCCAAAGCCACAGGCCCCGCCGCTCGTTAGGCCAAAGTGGGTTGATCTCTAAATGCTCCAAGGTCAGCACGCCGAGGAAGACAAAGGATTAGATACCCCAGCGTTGGTCATCTTACACTGTAGTGCCAGCTCTCGTTGCTGGATACGTGATGGACCTCTGGATACATGGTTCCGGATTTGCAGTCCGCCGAGGGCGGCGTAGTGCAGGTACCGCAGCCTGAGCATGACTCGGATGTGTCATCATTAGCACAATATGATGGGCAGCAAACATTATCCACGAGGGTCCACGATCCGCAACTGGATGCGGCAATGCTGGGGTAAGGAGACTGCGAATGAGGAGCCACGGTAGCTGTATCTGTGGTTGTGTAGGTGGAAGCACTGCCAGTTGGTGAGTTGCCGCCGGGTGAAGACGAGCCGACGGATGAGGATGCTGACGACGTCCGTGAAACCAAGCTAGAGGAAGTTGTTCCGTTTGGGGGGTTTCCGCCCTGTACAGTCTGGAGTTAGAAGATATTGACGGCCCGGATCGGAGCTCATACGGTTGACGCAAGGCACTGGGAGTACCAGTCATTGACAAAACTGCACTGGGCGCCAGCAACGCAACATGTGGTGCCGGACCACCCTATGCCTCCACATTGGCCACTAAAAGCCTACGTTAGCAACGATACAGATGGTACTCAACACGCTCAACACTCTTACAATAATGCTGCGCAATTCTGCTGAATAGAGAGTGATACAAGGCTTGCTAGAGCCACGAGGATAAGCTTACCAGCCATCCCGTCTAACAGTTCGGGAAGGGCAACTGACAGCTCTACTATAAGCGAACCACGAATTTCCTTAGCCCACTAACCTCTGCTTTATATATAAGAGGAGCGATCTGACCATTACCCCACAAAAATTACTGAAGTTGTCTGCTACGATGCGATGTTATTTAGGCTGAGTATCACGAAGGGTTCGACTGAGGGTATCGGATAAGCGGAGTTCCCGATACGAGAAGCTGGTCGTTCTGCTCCACCACGGATTTAACGACTGAACACAGCGGAACGTAAAAACCGATATGGGTAGAGCAAAGCCATCAGGTGCCAAGTGGTTGTAATAGTGGATGCCGTAATGCAAATGTGGTGAGATATGTGCAGAGGCTAAAAGTGGTGTGTAAATTGCCTACTCTCTATAGCCTGCTGCGGACTGAAGGAAAATGCATGTTGGGACGTCTTGTTAATAGGCTTATATGCTGCAGTTGGGGGTTTCCCTATTGAGCACTGATTATTCCACCGGTATTCTGGCGTAGGTGGTTAGGATAAGCAGAAAAGCTCTTCCGAAACGGCCAATTGCAAGGGTACGTATCTATTAAGGGATGGAAAGAGGGAAAGAGGGAAATGTAGCAGCTGCTATGATATAGTCTTCCTTCTGAAACAGCATTCTCTTCTTAATCTCTCTACAACCAGCTATCCATTATTATGGGCTGGCAGCGTTGTCTCGTTGAGCTGCATTGTGGTGTAACCTTGCAACTGACATGATACGAAAACTAGGAAGTGGCTCAGTCTCACGTTAGGGCTTTTTGCATGTGCGAAAACGCAGTTACATGAATTGTGATCATTCTACATATAAATCACTAGACGCGGACATGTAGTCTCATCGCAATTAAGCTCAACAAAATAGGCTACATCTGTGGATAGGTAGAAATATTCTTTAGCCAACGTGCCAACCCCCGCCCCCTCCTCCGTGTTCGTTCCTGTCGTTTCAAATTCGCATTCTGGTCCCCATTTGTTACTGTATTTGTTATTGCCGCTGCTGCTGCTGCTGGTGGTTGTAGTAATTGCCATACTGGTGGCCTGGATACGATTGCTGAGGCGCTTGCCACTGTGACTGGGATTGTGCTGCTTGTGGGTTATACCCTCCATAACGGTCTGCATTATTTCCATCGTATGCGGAATACCTCTTTGCAGCCTGGTTCTGGCCACTGCCAGTGTTGGGGCTGCCATACACCTCACTGCTGTGATACTGTCCGTATGGCTGAGGCGCTCCTTGGGGTCTTGCATAGCCCCCATACTGCTCCGTCGACTGAGGTGGTACATGTGCGTTTGATAAGGATACATATGACGGCTGTGTTCTGATTGTCGGCTGGGCGGGCTGGGAGACGCTGCTGGGAAAGCCGGCAGCTTGAAGCACCGGCGTCTGATATTGAGAGCCAGCATCTACCCTGGGAATATGTTGGCTGGGTGCAGGTTTCCTCCTGATAATCTCTAGGGGTGCTGGGACGGCCATTTGAGCGGCAGCAGCCGCATGCATGTGAGGGATAGATTCCCTCTTTGAGATGAGCGAAGCGGCATCTGGAGTCGACCAGTCGTTTGAGGAGGAGAAGACGGAAGTGTTGTGAGCGACTGATGCTGACGGTGGAGAGGTAGAGACTTGCGTATCAGAATAGGCGTAGGAAATTTCAGAGAATGTTGTTATGCTCGCCGCTAGAGGTGGAGGAGTCTCAGACGCAACCGTTTGTTCAGACAGAATGGTTACGTCTTCTCCTGTAGCGGAGGGCCCAGCAGGTCGCTCAATCTCGGCAGACTGATTTCCATCTTCAAAATGAGCGGCGGGTTCAGGTGCGTTGACTGTCTGTGGCTCAGTGGCCTTTGCATCCTCCGGCGCGTCGTCGTCGTATTTAAGGCCTTGCTTGCTCATATTAGCTGTCCGGATAATCCCCTCCAAGGAAACATCGCCCGAATCCACAGCTGTTTTGATGGCTCCAAGAAGCACGGTGACGCGCTCAATAAGAACGTTGAGGCACTCCCACTGTTCGTTAGAAGAGCCTACAAAGTCGGCAACCTCCTCACCATCTTCTTCGGATGGCTGGGTCGCGGCGAAGGCTGTTTGAAGCGCATTCATATCTCTCTTGCTGGAATGCATGATATCAGCCCCGTTATCCAGCAAGAAGGTTACTGCCTCCACATCACCCCGGGCAGCGGCCACAATCAGAGCTGTGTCGCCGTCATTGTCCGGAAGATTGATATCTGCCCCTGCATTGAGCAGCAGCTGGAGTGACTCCTTGGGCAGGTATGCGGCAGCGTTGATGAGAGGCGTCGAGTGGTCATAGCCTCCAAAGACGTCCACGTCTGCTTTTGCGTTGACCAACATTTCCAAGATTCTATCTTCTCCGCGCTGGGTCGCCGCGACAATGGGAGGAGAGTCCGTGCCAAGGCCGAGATTCGGATCGGCGCCCTTTTCCAGCAGTAAGGACACGATGTCGGATCTGCTTGATTCGCACGCTGCTTGGAGAGCGGTGCCCGCGGGGAAATTGGCGTTATGGGTGCAAGCGTTGACTTCAGCTCCACGATTGATGAGCTCCTGGACAATCTCGTAGTGTCCTTCGGCGGCGGCGGTTTGCAGCGCCCAACCGTTGGGATCGTTGATATCAGCACCGGCATCAAGCAAGAGCTGCACCATCTCCATGATTCCATCAAACGCAGCCGCGGTCAAAGCCGTGCCGTACTCTTCGCCGGTTGCATTCGGACTTGCGCCAAAGCTCTGCAGCAAGAGCCTTACAGTAGAGATCTTTTCTCTGTCCGTGGCGTTATAAAGGGCGTTACTTATGGTTTCCTCCGTGATAGATCCCTTTGCGTAATCCCAAGCCAGCTGCAGCATTTTATCCTGCGGCTCGCTGCATGTTGCGACTTCGGTAAAGAGACCGTTCACGTCCAGGCCTTGACGGCTGTCCAAGAGGGACTTCACAATGTCCCAATTCCATTCTTCAACTGCTTCATCTAGAGCTGATTGGAAGACGGATTCCTCATGGCCGAAACTGAGCAACTTGTTGAAGACTTCGATCCTTCCAGCAGCCGCAGCAGCGACCAGGGCTTCACTGTAATCGCGAGCGGGCAGCTTATCGGCGTAGCTCTCAATCAAGTACTCGAACATGGAATAGTCTGCTAGTAATGCGGCCAGTGCAAGAGGACACTGGATGCTCCCGTCCTCGGAGTGGATTGTCAGAGACACATTGTGCTCTACGAGCAGCTCAACCGCCTCACGGCTTCCGGACGAAATGGCCGCATTAACGACCGGCCCAATGTCATTGGCAATGGCATTTGGATCAGCGCCTCGTAGCAGCAGCTTCTTCATGACTTGAATATGTCCCCCAAATGCAGCCATATGCAGTGGTGTCTGCTCGTGGATTTCCGCGGCGTCGTCGATGACAGCACCGCGGTTGAGCAGTTCCTCGACAATGTTGGGCCTGCCCAAATAGGCGGCAAAATGCAGCTTGCGATGATTGTTAGTCAGAGTGTACCAGAGGTTGGCTTGAACGAATAGCTTGACACTTACAGGGGTATTCACCAGCGAGTCGCGCTCCTTGATCTCGGCCTCGTGCCCGTTGCGAATGAGCGCTGCAACCAATTGACGGAAGCCAATTGACGCGGCGACATGCAGTCCGTTCAGCGTCTTGTAGTCAAAGTCGTCGAAAGTGTTTGTCATGCGCGCGTACTCAATCATCCACCGGCGCCGAATGGTTGAGTCTGGTTTCCAAAAGTCGTCCTCCAGGCTCAAATCTTCGGCAATTTCGAGGGTGGCATTGCTGGCGTGGTGTAACCAATGCTTCACCGTATATGCCAAGACTCTGTCTTTGACCAATTCCGCTTCAGGATCGACTTCTTCTTCTTCCTCCTCGTCATCCTCTTCGTACGTTTCTCCACTCTCTGAGTAGTCCTCCTCCTCCTCGTCGACATCCCCTTCTATCTGGCCAATTACATCTGCTTCTTCGTCCTCGTGCTCCGCCGTATTGTCTTCTCCCGCGTCCTCTCCTTGGGCGGTGTCTGCCTCTTCGGGGGCTGGATCCGGCGTGGGAAAATCCAGAGTGTCCTTGATGTGGGAGAAGCATCGCAGGGCTAGCACGCCGTGCTGCCATTTGATCTCTTCCTTGGAAAGTCCAAGCAGTTCCTTGGCACTCTCCCACAGATGAGTCTTCACAATGATATTGACGAAACAAACGACAGAGTCCGGTCTTCCTGTTCGCTTCAAGTACAGAAGGGGCTTGCACTGTTCAATAAGCTTGCGCAGCTCGCCCTTCTCCTGGTCACCAGATGACAGCCCCGCCAGCAAGCCGAGTTCAGATTCGGTCGGGTCCTCGTACGTCAAAACAAGTGCGCGCAGCATTTCCTTGATCTTCTCCACGTGGGCCTCGTTCAGCTGGAAGATTTGGCGCCAGGAGTGATCCAGCAGCGTTTTGAGATCCTGGGGCATATTCTCCAGAATTCTCCTCACACCCAAATCGCTCTCTGTATCTGAAAGCTCCCCCAGCTGAATGCATGTGATGTCGATCCACTGAGTATTCTGTGCGCGTTTGCCGACAAGACTGCTGGCGAAGTATGCGAGAGCCTTGTTGTACTGCTTCTGTTGGCCAATCGCTGAGATCATCTTTTTGGCGTGTTTGCGCAGCTCCAGCTGAACCTGGTTCTCGTAACGGCTATCTTCCAGATCAATGACGCGAACGCCGTCGATTTTGAGCACCTTGTCGATGTTATGCGATTCCCGGCTGGTGATGAACCACCGTGTCGGGACGCGCCTCGAGTCCGTAGCACGAATTCCCTCGAGTTCCCCGGCGATGAACTTCATCAGCTTGATTGTAGAGTCCGACTCCGCCGGGAGCGCGTGGAGATTGTTCACCACAAAGTAGACCTTGCTGCCTATGAACTCGTCTGCAAGCATGTCTTGAATAGACTGCCACATGTTTTCGACTGTTATCTGCGCCTGCTGGGATCTGCTCGCATCATCTTTGCCCTTTTTCTTGGTGAATATCTTTGCATAAGGTGCGAGCGTCTCTTGCTGGTTGATGAGCTGCCTGATTGCAGACTTCAAGACGTCCTCAGCCGTTGAGTAGTCTGCAGTAGTATCGCAAAAGAAGTACACTAGCAGAATAGGGCCCTGTCCAGTGTCGTTCTCCTCGTTCTCGCGTATTAGCCTTTCGATCCCATCAAGGGCCGCCATGGTAGCGTTCGTTTTGCCGCGCCCTTCGCGGCCACGCACGTACAGACAATCCACCGTCCGAGAAGCAGGGTCATTGTCGGGCTGTGCAGACAATCCCAACCACTCCAGATACTCTGCCTCCTGTGGTATCCACGACGAAGGGCTAAATGATTGCGATAACGCTTTTCGCTTCTTCTGTACCTGGGCACCATCGAGAGCGTCCATGATGCCACTGATCATGGTGCGATCAATATCTCTGACTGAGTTCAGCCGATTCCTGACGGCCAATTGAGCGCCGTGTATGATCCTCTTTACCGGGTCTCTGACCATTTGTGTCCATCGGTCATCCTTTGGGCCATCAAACTTGACGAGGTCGCGGTGATTACAGGCCAGTCCCAGCTCCTCAACGCCCGGAAGTGTTGCCGAGTCTCGACTAACGAATTCGGCATACTGCTTTGGTATGAGGGACTTGGTGAGCCCAAACAGACTTGGAAGGCCAGCCATCTTTGAGAAATCTGTTGGGTGCTCTTCCCAAAAGCAAAACAGTTCGATCTTCGGGCTGATCTTCCCTGCCAAGCGCATGAAATCGTGCGTGAGCTGTCGTAGCTCTTCATCTCCCGGCTTCATCAGTTCCAACAACTTGGATGAAAATGCCACATCGACTTTCTCAGCAAAGTGCGCATACATTGCTGCGACAGAAGCAACAGGGGCGCCGCCAAACGGAGTTCCGAAGAATATGCACGCCGTCGTTGCCTCAAACATGATGGGGAAAAGATCGCGGCGAGAGTCTGCAAGAGTGATGGCTTTGGCAACCACTAGACCGCCCATACTGTGTCCTATGAACACAATGGGCCTCCGTTGGCATTTCTGTGAAGACCTGCAGTCAGTTTGAGACTTGGCTGGCGGTTCGAGTCTGGCGTTTGGCCTACCTCTCTCTTGCTCCTCAGCCCAACCAAGAGCCCCATCGCGATATTGCCCATGAATTGTTTTACTTTGAGCTGGCCAGTCCATGCTGAGTCGTACATATACAGAAGCAACCGAGCTCTTGGGAAGTCTCTCTGGAGGCCATCTGTATGCGTGGTCCAATTGAAGTCGGTCTTGCTGGACTTCCAGCTGTCTTCGGGATTTGCACCCAGTCCTGGGACAAACACGATGCTACATACTAATCAGAGAAGCAAACTTCCACTTCAGGGTTGACTTACTCCAGATCGGGAGCGACATTGGCCTTGTCAAGTGGATAGAGCTCTTTGATTCCTTGCTGCACCACCTCATAGCCCTTTTGCTTCTTCGGAGCAGGTGCGTTAACCGCGGGATTGGGTCCTCTTCGCGTCCCTGATCGGTGAACAGTTGTCGACCGGCGCACGGTTGTTGATCGCTGTACATCAAGAGACATTCTGGCAGCTCCCAAAGTTCAGCTTATGGGATGCGGTTGAGCCAAAGTAGAACCAGCGTTGGCAGCTGAACACTCATAAATACCTTATGACAAGAGCTTCTTGGGTCCCGTGCGGCTCTAGGCAGAAACGTGATACATATGCCCGGCTTCAGAGCTCATGCGCAAAGTCAACGTTATCAATTGCTGCTTCATACTAGGCAGCTCTCCGACTCTTAACAAATTATGAACAGGGGGCTGGGGGGGCTTCCCTTCTGCATGGCCCCCAATTTGTTTCGTGCGGCTGAATCCATTCAGTCAGCAAAACCCCAGTCCCATAAAATGATCATGAGAGCCTGAGTGGGGGATGACAGACAACATGAACTGTCCGTACGTACCATTTGCAGGAAAAAGCACATACGTACTTATGATTGGCAAGCATTCCTATTGCTCTTATTGAGACCATGCGTGCTAATATTCAGTAGAATTTTTACAGTCAACACGTCTCCTATGTCTGCTCGGCGCGTGTCTATTCATGTCGGCAGCAATGCATGTTGGCTGGCTCAGTGCGTGTTGCCCTGGCGCCTCCGCTGACACACCTTCGAATCACAAACCGCCAAAGCGGCTCGTCTTGGCCAGGGGACATGCAAGCGAATCCATCGCGCTCCTCATTCCCCATTCAAGTCAGTTACACAGCCAATAATACATTAACAACACAGTTTCAGCCCTAGAAGCGCCAGGATCACGGGCTAGCCGAAATGAACAAGCTTTTTGGCATCGTGGATCCATTCTTAACACTTCGGTGGAGGTGTCGAGTACGAGTACAAAATGACGAGACTTCATTCCGCGCCGGGAAATTCTTTCCACTTCGCATTTCGGCCTATGTGCGTGCAACGACACCTAGCTATCGCTACCATGACTGTCACGATAGAGAGATCTCCACCATTTGCTGTCGAATTGCAAAGACAGGCCAGCGACGAAGCCACCAGAGATGACCATGACACGGCACGGTTAAGCAGGGTCTTGCCAGCAACCATACGATCCAGGAGCGATGAAATTCTCAACCCAATCAGCAACATGGAGGAGTTTCTGCATCAGGAGCTCCTCGTGAGGAAGATCAATGCTGTGCAAGACTGGTTATGGGCCTGCGGCCGACCTATGCCTCCTCGTCCCCTCCATCACCAACTCGTGCTCTCTCGCGATATCATCGTAACCGAGAATCCAGAGCTGCATCTTATCTGGGGGCCCAGAGGCATTCATCTGAAGCCCCTGCCAGAGTATCTGTTGGACGCAGGATTTTGGAGGCAGCACATTCTGCCCAGCAGTCATCCAATTCATGTGGAGATTGAACAATGTGCTCGCGGGTTCCTATTCTCCTACTGTGCTCTCATTGCGCACTATAGCGACTTTCGACTCGCACGCGAGAAGGGACTTCTGCCAGACACTGTGACCTGGGAATACTGGAAGATTTTGTCCAGTCAAATCCTGGAGAGCCACTGCTATTCTGCCGTCAATCCTCGATACTGGTACGGTGAGCTGCGGCTAGGACGTCTGAACAAGGTTTACCGGTTTCGAAAAGGCCACCTGTTGAGAGGCTACTCTCGGATTGCCGGCTATGCCATCTACGGAGACCTCATCCGCGACAACTTTGCGTCCCTTGTGACGGTCCTCGGCTACGTTGTCATCGTCTTGACAGCAATGCAAGTTGGCCTCGCAACGGACAAGTTGGTCTCCAACAGTGCTTTCCAGGCCGCCAGCTATGGTCTCACTGTGTTCTCAATTATTGCGCCACTAATTTCCACTGTTGCTATTATGCTGTTTGTCTCCCTATGGGTCATTACCAATTGGCGCGCCACTACCGCGTTCGAGAAGAGGAGATTCGCGGAGATGGGGGTGGAGCCATACTGGCGGGAACAATATCAACATTGAACGATCATGAAATACCTTTGCCGTGGTACTGGGATACACGAAGAGCGGCGATTCTACGGGTTATGAACGGGATGTTTGTTTTTTTTTTTTTTTTAATTTCCTCTTTCTTCTATTCCGTTATCTTAAAATGCATGGCTACTAAGGAATCGTTTTGTGTTTTCGAAAGCCACAATTTGCCAAGCTGACAACATCGCAATACCAAGCAGGCCGCATCTCCAGTGAAAGATGAGTTGACCGTATATTTGAAAAGGGTCAGAAGTAGATACAAAAAAAATAAATCACCCGGGGCCATGTAGCTCCCGCCGCCGTCATGATACGGGCTCACCAAGAATCTACCGGTGCGTCAGGCTTTCGCCACGGAGCTTTACAGGCACTGAGAGTAGTAAGGGTTCAGGACCTGGCAAGTTGTGCCGCTGGCGCAGACCGTGGGGCCGCTGTAGCCAATACCGCCGCACTGGCCGTAGTGAGACTGGGTAGGTCCGGGAGAGCTTCCAGTGGTAGTGGCTGGGCGGCGGGTGGTGGTGGTGCCAGGCGGGTTTCCGCCGGGAGGGTTGCCGCCGCTAGGGTTGCCGGTGCTGCCAATGGGTCCGAACTTGATGTTGGAGAAGGTGACCTTGGCGTTGGGAGACTGAGATTCGACCTGAGCAGGGACACCGGAGCTGGTGGAGCAGCTTCCGCGCACGGCACCGGGTGTGGAGGAGGTCTCGTTTGTCGGGTAGGTGGAGTCCAGCCACAGCATGTTGGCGTAGTACTGTAACATCTCAGTCAGCTGCTTGACTCTTTGTCAACGCGCATGTTTGTCCATCAAACTCACATCATCCCACAGACTCATGACCAGAACCATGCCGCCAGAGGTAGCCTTCTTGAACTGAGTCAGGCCGCCCTTGTCTGAGAAAGAGGATCCGCCGAATTCTGCCTCCTCAGCTGTGCAGTAATCATCGTTGAGCTCGTTGCCAGAGTAACTACCAAGCTCGGCGTTGGGCTGCTGGAAAGTGACGCCATTCTGGACATAGTATCGGTTGATGGCACCCGACGTCTCGAACTGGGTGACAACGGTCAATTTCTTGGTGGTATCGAGGGTAAAGCTTGAGCCAGGGCCGTAGAAGCTGGTGTTGCCCAGGCGGTATGGGTTCCAGTCGCAGCCATCGGGATCGCAAGTGCCGCCATATCTGTTATCGGAGTAAGTTCCGCCGCACCCATCACCCTCGCAGATCTCCTGGCCGACAGTCGTGCAAGGGTGGGGGGTAAGAGCCTCGGAGATGGAGTTGGCCTCCCAGATATCCATCTCAGAGCAGCAGCTTCCGTGTCCTCCAATGCCCGTGTTCGCGTTGTTGGATGACGGCTCCCAGCCCTCAACGTTGGCCTGGCCATTGATGAACTTCAGATCGCGGGGACACTGGCTGTCACAGTACCCCGTGCCGTACTTGGCGCCAGCGGTGTTGGTGGGATACTTGCTCACGCCACCATCCGCGTCCATGGACACGAAGTAGAGAGCTCCGTTCAAGCCGCACCTTGAATTGGCCAGTCAGCTGGGAGCCAACAAGAAGATAGCGTCAGGGGTTCATGGTAAGTCACTTACGGCAGCTGCGAAACATCAACATCGAAAGAGAACTCGTTGCCAAGCAGGGTGAATTCCTGGTAGGTCGTGTCGCTCGCCATAAGGTAAAGGCGAGCGCCAACGTTCTTCTGCGCAGACTGGGTGACAAAGCCAATGGAGAGGCTGTTACCGCTCGTGGTAACTCCGTACGTGGACGCGTAGGCGGCACCGTCCAGACAGCAGTTCTTCGCGCAGGTCTCGTTGTCAGGACATAGGGTCGAGCTCCAAGTGTTGCCATCGTAGCAGTTCGTGCTGCTGTTCGTAGCGTGAGTCCAGCGCCAGTTGGCGTCGATGACCACGGAGCCTGTCTGTTGAGTGCACGTGCCACCAGACGAGCATTTCTGCCATGTCAGAGGCGGGTGAGTCTCCGATTGGAGAGTGCAGGCCGACTGAGCACGAGCTGTGGCCAAGAAGGCCGAGATGACGGCCAACTTCCGATACATGATGCGCAGTCCGCGGTTGACTATTGGGTTTCTGTGCCTCAAAAGATGGTGTACAAGTCTCCTGGAGGATCTGAGTTGATGAGTAGATGGGGAGAGCATGAGGGAGGCACGGACCTCGAACCTTTATATATACACATTCGCTGACTTTGCCTACTAGCTCATTCCGTTTAATGAGGCTATCTTTATCGGCTATTGTTCTTGGCTAAGCTTCTCTTTCTATTCGAAACCATGCAGTGGCCCCTGAACATTTGCCTATCACATACCCTCAGCTGCTTGGTAAAGGCAGCAGTGTGTTCGATCCTACCACACTTTGCATTTGCCCGGAGCACAAACATGTACACCCAAAGGCCGAAGGCCCGAGGGCCCGAGATCTTAGGCAGTTTCAACTCAATCTTTTGCCTGTTCAGTGCCGACTTACATTTCAATATGGACCACTTCATCAGAAGTGACTATACAGTATTCGTCGTATCGGCAGACAAACCTCCTTACACGATACACTCAAGCATCCCTGGCTAAATACTCCTTGAATGTCAACATTTCACTGTCTTCCATCACTGCCCTTGGTTGTATGCAAAACGCTCCGAGTCAGACATTCTTACCTCTGTCTTCTTTCACTTCACCGGAACAAACAAGCGACCCAATTGGGGGATCACCAGCTGAGATTGGACTGAGTGAAGAAACAAACGTGGGGAAGTGGGGCTTTGCCGTTGCTTCTGCAACCCCACAAGCCGTTGGCAAATTACGGTACGTTTAGCCACTTGATTGTACAATTATTAGCCGCTGGTATATGACTTCTTTAGGCATTAACTTATGTACTTTTAGCCATTGGTTTGTATTTTCCAGTGATGCTGCATTGCGGCTTTACAGGTTGCTACTAGACACTGCTATCGGTGGTTTCCCTTGCCGTGAACCTTCGAGGCGTGTCCTGCCCGACACAGATTCACAACATGCCTCTACGAGCAGAGTTCGGATAACAATCCTACATTCGGGCTTCGAACAGCCCCAGTCGGTCAAGCAGGCAAATTACACATCGCAATGACATTATTTCTCCAAATGAAGGGCAAAACACGTCCGGTCAGTCTGGGTTAATAGTGATTACGACTTGTACGGGTACGCTGAATCAGGGAAACGCCAAAGGTTGAGAAGAGGTGGGGTACGGAACAGTTATGTCCAAGCTCAGTACCCCTGCATTGCAACCGTCGAGGCAACTCAATGTATTGCCTATTATATTATTCCGGTTCCATCGCTACTTAGGAATCTCCGAGTTTTTTCGGGAATGAGTGCCTGCTACTGCGACGGAACGCTTTGCTTGTCGAAGAATGGAACGCCATGATTCAACAAGCCGTCTCCAGAATTTCTCATAGCCTTTCATGCTAATTTAGCCGCTCGCTAGAAGCTTTCCAGCACATCTCGATTCTCCGGGTTCGCAGCAGCTTCGGAGTATTTAGATGCGACTCGTATTACTATACAGCGGGATTACCGACTTCACAACTCTAGATATATACCCCACAGGTTCTTGTAGCTCAAAAGAGCAAGCTTGGTGTTTGAATAGATTGTCTCTGGCCTCTTGTTGCCACAAAAATACACAGAAGACACAACAAGTATCCAGTTCTTCACCGTAGCCGAAACAAAACTTTGCAAAAGAGGCGTCTTCGTTCTTTGTTTGATGACCATCAAAGTCCCACATTGCTCCAAACCCCCCTTCTCAGGATCACTATTATATACATGATGCAGGTGCACGGTAGTCGTTAGTCCACCATTCTCCAGAGATTCAGAGGTAGTTACAGCTCGGACTCCAACACAAACAATTCAACACTAGAGGAAGGGAAAAGAATGGCACCTAGAGAAGACACACGCAGTATACCGAAAGGGGCCCACGTGTAGATTTACCACGCACTTCGGTTTAGGGCGAATACGAGTTTACCAGCAGATCAAAGTGGTCGTGCGTGATGATGGATGTATCCAGGTTCCTGGATGTTAGATCGCAAACATCTTGCTTTTCGGTGAGCCACGTGCTTTTTTGCCGTTGCCGACCCTATATCATGCGGTTGTGCGACCTTCAGCTCTGGGCGGAAGTCAACTTCTCCCCAATCTATTTGAGAACAGTGCCATGACTCACTGATTGGGAACTCTATGGGGGAGGCGTAATGGAGGTTGGGGGTGCTTGAGTGACAATTCCTACCCTACAAAAGGCCTACATTCACCGTGAGAATTCCACGGGACTGCAAGTGGCTGCAGTAATTCCGGGTATATCAACTGATGTAGCAGGCGACCACAAGTAGACCAAGAAAGAGCTGTAGGAACAGCTTGAAACAGGACCTGAAACAGCCAATATAGCGCCATATGGTGATTGATTTCGTCCACCACATTGCTCTCCGCCATGTATCAAAATCATGGACATGTCACAAACCTCCGAGCTGTGTAGTCATTAACTAGGGTCAGCAAGTCTCTGCTCTTCTGCCGACAGCAGAATGATTGTTGTTGCTCTCTCAAGAAGGGGGCGGTGTTTCACCCTAGTATTCCCACATCCGGACATCATTGGGCGAGAGAGTGCTGTGTGGTGTGAGCGCAAACTAGCGCCGCTACGATCGTCGATTTATGCATATTTTTACCTAGATTAAACATGATCACCAGGTAGTTGTTTGTACTTCCTTTGGACTTACATACTGACCATGGCTGGGCTCCACAAGACAACTCGGACGTCAAGAGAGTACGGCTGCGTATGTTATCATGATAAGGATTTTTCTACTGCGGTGAAAATTGTCTATTGACTATAGTCACCAGTTGGGAGGTCCGAATCTCTATTGCTAGCCTCTCAGAAAGGTTGTAGTTGTGAAAACTTACTTTTCACAACAGGGAGGTAGTTTGTCTGTGAGCATATCAGCTGGTACTACTTGAAATATCACCTCTATCAGGAGCATACGATACAAGACTTCTACTATACAATCACCTGAGAGGCTTCCAGTCGCAAGCGCCAGTCAATCTGATTGTAATATGGCGGACTAGACACGAGTATGCAAGCAGAAGCATCTTCCTCGTTCGTCTTGATCGTCACTATAAGTCGCAATATACAGTCTAATTCTAGAGGCCAGTGTGACCTCATGAGGGACTATGGGAAAACAAGGAAGAGATACCGCGACATGACGGGAGGTACTTGGCGGACTTGAGGCAAATAACATGCGCGCCAGTAGTGACATCACAAGCCCAGGCGATTGCCTCTGACTTATGGAAGATGATAGAAAGAAAGAGACCAGCCTCGTCTTTTCCTCACCAAGAAGACAAGGCAGTGTGAAGTAATCCCACTCGAGCAGGTAACTACGATGTCTGCCGCTTTCCCTCTCAGAACGTGGAGAAATCGGAATATCGGCATCGAACCTAGTAGATGCCTGAGCAAACTAGCCGGGGTCGGTACTTTGTAAGAGCAAATCAGGAAGGTGATTAGTCCCCGATAGTTACTGAGATCAGGCAAGATCGCCAAGGCGCGAATCCGATGAAGAATGCTTAAACATTAGGTTGTCTCTCCCCCAGTCCGGTAATAACCATAATGATCCGCAATACCATTGTGTGTGTTGCGAGATTCTGCTGTAACTCGTGAATCAAAGAATCTCCAGACTCCTCATATCCGTAGCTTCTCATTCTTTATCTCGTAGTACCTCTAGCCAGGAACCAGCAGTATCACTGCACTGAAGTTGCACGGCATCTCGGCACGTCGATGCGGCCAGCAATTCCTCCGGTGCTACTCCCCACCCACGTCTGGTCCGTAGGGTGTGGTAGCATGTATCGCCCAATTTAGTTTGTCTGCTGCGGGAAGGACTTATGTTGCAGCGAATCCCATGTGAAGCATTGCATTGGCCTCCTCACAGTGGCGTAGGCGCCATGTTATCACGAACCTCAACACGCGAATACGGCTTAATGAGGAATCTGGATGTTGACGCCAGCTCGGAGATGTCATTCAAGCAGGAAGGTGTCTTGAGAAAGTCTGCAAATGGCTCGTGGACCTAAGATCATTGGCATCTTAAGATGTGAGTAGTTGGGGAAGGGATCTCGATTGCTCTCAAGTACTTCAGTTATAAATATTACCCTCTGCCTCTTCTTGAGTTGATCTTGGTTTAAATCAGACTCATCCTTCAATCAAGCAGCTTAGGAAACAGACTTCTCTTCCTCGCCCCAATTCACCCTCACCATTGCCCATCATGATGTTCATCGCTGGCGTCGCCCTCTCCGCCCTTCTTTGCGCCGATACCGTCTTGGCTGGTGTTGCCCAGGACCGAGGCCTTGCCGCTCGTCTCGCTCGCCGTGCTGGCCGTCGTTCGGCTCCTTTCAGAAACGACACCAGCCATGCTACTGTTCAATCTAACTGGGGTGGTGCCATACTTGAGGGATCTGGCTTTACCGCAGCTTCGGCTACTGTGAACGTGCCAAGGGGTGGTGGCGGATCCAATGCTGCTGGCTCTGCTTGGGTTGGCATTGATGGCGCCAGCTGCCAGACTGCCATTCTCCAGACGGGATTTGACTGGTACGGTGATGGCACCTACGATGCCTGGTATGAGTGGTACCCTGAGTTTGCTGGTATGTCATCTCATTTTATCATCAATGGTCCAGGTGAGATGAGGACGCTGACAGTGTGCTTGACAGCCGACTTCTCGGGCATTGATATCCGCCAAGGCGACCAAATTGCCATGTCTGTTGTTGCCACCTCTTTAACCGGCGGCTCTGCTACGCTCGAGAACCTTTCCACTGGCCAGAAGGTTACTCAGAACTTCAACCGTGTCACTGCTGGGTCTCTCTGCGAAACAAGCGCCGAGTTCATTATCGAGGACTTTGAGGAGTGCAACTCGAACGGCAGCAACTGCCAGCCTGTGCCATTTGCTTCTTTCAGCCCCGCCATTACTTTCAGCTCTGCCACAGCCACTCGAAGCGGCCGGAGCGTTTCTCTGAGCGGCGCTGAAATCACCGAGGTTATTGTCAACAACCAGGACCTTACCAGATGCTCCGTCTCCGGTAGCAGCACCTTGACCTGCTCTTACGTTTAGAGTATACAGCTTCGGACTCAACCAGGACCTTTGGCCGCTCTATCTGGCAGTTCTCCCGGCAACATGTAGCAGAAGTATCATGTGCCACAAATTTTTGAGTCTATACATACTGATGATACAAATGAATACGAAACTTTTCATTATCAAATCCTCAAGTATTAAAGTAATGTGACTGGCGATGAAGAGAGGACGTGGCTGTTGGCAAGGGCGTGTGCAATATTATATTGTACAGAATACATGTCGCAAAGCTATACAGGCGTTCTATTACCATTAGGACGTTGTCTGAAGAAAGTATACAGGCCTCCTTCTGCCATACCTGCAATCTGAAAAAAAAAAAAAAAACATAATAATAGGATGCAGAAGATATAAGATCATAGCGTAAAGGGGTGCTATCAAATGTCCATTTCAAATGTAACAATTCAGCCTCCCCGAGGGACGCCACTGGCCTTGCGGGCAGTGAAAATTCTGAATGAGAAATACTCACGGCGACTGTTGCTCGGCAAAACCTTTACTGTGATTCCATTCATTATTCGTAAGTTTACTATGTGGCTTGCATAAGCCACAGTGATGGCGACATAAGCACAACTGCTCTAAACCAATAGCTCATAACATATTCTAGCATGACTGACTGACTACTTTGAGCCAAGCTGATGTTGTACTGCCTTCTACTCAACTTGGCTCGCTTTGAATCAAACATTGCTTACGCGGGGTATATGAAATTCGCATCTTTCTTCCGTAGGAGCCGATAAAATTCCCATCCCCAACAAATTGAAAGCTGGTATGCCATTTCATATCGCAGTGGCCCCTTTACTTAAGAGCGACTATAATGTGTGCCAAGTTTGAGAGTGTGAAATTGGAGCAGCAACTTATGGTATATTAACCCATGTTAGGAGCGTGAGGGGTTAGAAAGTACTATTGGCACAACATGGCATGGAATAATGGCGATGGTTTGTATAACTCCTGATAAAAACTCAGCTTTGGAGTGAAGCGCTCCGTATGTTAGCCAGGGCTGAGACATTCTCTACAGAGAGACCTGCTCTTGCCTTGCTGTTAATCTTTCCTTCTATTTCTTTTCATACAAATGTGCTGGGATGGCACATCTCACAATAAATTCAAATGGTGTATTTTCTGGCAGGCAGTCTGCTTCCCCAGAACCGGGGCGGCAATGGCTATATCAAATGTAGAGTCCATACATGGGGCGCCTGCGCTCAATCACAACATAGCTGTCGAAGTGTCAAACAAAATCTCACCAGCCAGCTCCTTGGGCCTTCGCCACTGCACGTAGCTTGAGACAAGATGGCTCAATCCGATGATACGTACTTGGAATGATTAATTTTGAGGGCTGATGGCAAGTCAAGATGTTCTTTCCTTAGGTAGCTCTGACGCAGAGTAACAGCAACACATGGTACAAATCTCCGTCATCGCGCATGTACTTACGACTTGCAGACTGAAAACACAACATCTTAAGGTATTTTCAACATCCGCTGCACTATCATGAGGTTCCCGGACTTAGGCGACAAGATATGGGAGGCTGTTGAGCGAAGTTAAAGTCTGGCAATGTCTTATGTAGGTGCCTAAGGCCGATCGTCTGCTAGTAGTTACCACCAGCACTGTGCCAGATTGGCAGCTGTTTGTATTGACACGGTTATTACCACAAAGGTATGAAGGCTCACACCTTGGCAAGAATACACACCAAGTTGGTGTAAGCATTTGATCACATCTACCAGCTTACGATATCTTATAAACATCTTCAGTTGCGCTCCATCGGCACGGCAGAAGAAAAAGTGGCAAGTATCAGCCCATTCACCCACACCAGCCGAAATGGAAACAATGCTGCAATTTGCGGCGAAATACAACAACAGGCCTCCTTCGGTTGAGCGACCTCCAATGACGGTAGAAATGTTCAACGGTTGTGGTTGAGAGGCTTGGGAATGGGGAACTGAGACAATATAGAGGCGTAATCGAGCACTGAGCAGGGATCTTATGTGTTTTTGTCAACCAAGCTATACTAAGGACGCCCAACCGAACGCACACGAGTATACCTGTACGAGGAATTTGGATCGTGTCTATAATGCATGTGGGCCTTCTGGGAGCACCGATAGTTGAGTAGTCTACTTACAAAAAGCTCTCAAACATCATATCGGCCCCTGTGAGTTATCAAAGATAAGTTGGTGTACGTCGCGACTTAGTTAACGCAAGATAAATGTAGCGAGCTAGAGAAATAAAGCCATTTTCGAATATGGGCACCATGCGCTAGTAACCCTGTCCATCGTGGGCAAAGGCTGGTGAGCATCACTGAAATCAGAGCATGTTTCTTTCCCCTTAACCGTACAAATCACAGTGTCAGTCTCACACAAACTACTGTGTTATTAAGGGCTTGGCGGTGTAATACGGGCTTGACGGGATAACACAAGCAGATCCAGTGAATTAGGTAGTTGAGGGCCTTCGCAACCCCTCTCGTAAGAAATTAGAATATGAGCATGCGGGGTACACATGTAGAACAGGAGCTCCATGTTCATTGAAAATGGCCTCAAACTTTCTTTTGGAGGTATTTCAAACGGACGGGAGAATTTTTCCTGCATCACAGTCTATGCCGAGCCTCCCCCTTCTCCGTCTCAGTAGCGGCAGCCTTACTTTGATATAGCCCTCACAGACACACCATGACTCCCGCCGTCTTCGACAAATCTACCGTCAGCCCTAGTGGTTTACACCCCATATATCCTGTCCATCGTGGGAGTAAATTGTTCCGGTGCTGGTGTGTTTTCCTTGTCTGGGGAGACTTATGAGGACTAGACCTGACCTGTGTCCCGTCAATCCTTGCACGCATCAGATCATTCGGTCCGATGCTAGAGGAACAGTGGACATGAAATTGTTTATAAATGCGAATGCTCTCTGCTCCCCTAGAGAAATAGCTCGAGCTTCGTGTTTCTGGTGTGTCCGATAGAGCCCAGAACTACAGGAACAGGATGGGGCTTTTATTTCATCCTATGGGATTGTTATCCCAGCCCATTGGCATATCCTCAATGTCAAGTTCGGTCAAGTCATTACCACTCCTCGCAATTACCCTGGTCAGTGTTCACACCGGTTTGGATTCTCAGTTCCAGTCAGTACTGATAGCTAGTTGTCTATTTAGGGTTTGGCCTATGTTATGTGCGTCACCATTTACAACCTCTTCTTCCATCCGCTCAGTAGATATCCCGGCCCTTGGCTTTGGGCAGTCTCAGACATTCCGTACTCGCTGGTCTCCATATCAGGGGATGCTCACAAGCGGATGCTTCAAATCCACATGCGCTATGGCCCAGTTGTGCGTGTCGGTCCAAACACTGTGTTTTACAGCCACCCAGACGCGACCAAGGAGATCCGTGGGCACCGCAAAGGGAACAAGGCGGAACATCTCAAAGATCCTCATCTGCACTCGGGCAACCAGAGCAACGTCATCGGCGCAAATCACGAAAATCATGTTCGTTACAGACGAAGCTTGGCTCATGGCTTTTCGCATCAGGCCATGTTGGATCAAGAGCCGATCATCAATAAGTATATCGATAAGCTATTGAAGGAACTCAAGAACCAAAGCACGAAGCAAGAAAAGATTGACATCGTCCGATGGTACAACTATACAACATTTGATATAATTGGTGATTTGGCTTTTGGCGAGCCCTTTTACTGCCTGGAAAAATCGGATTATCACCCATGGGTGGCTCTTATCTTCTCCGGTATCAAGAACTTGTCATTCATGTCAGTATGCTCCAAACATGGGCAACTCGGTAAGATTGTAGCAATGTTTCTGGTGCCCAAAGATCTACCGAAAAAGGGAACACAGCACCGCCGGCTGTCAATAGAGAAGGTGCGCAGGAGACTCGATTCAGGGTCAAGCAGGCCGGATTTCATGACGGCAATGATGACACCACGGGGGTCTTCAGAGGTGAGTAATTCAAAAGAAGAAAGAGTAAAGTAGCACTATAGCTATGGAAGATGTGTCTGACGAGCTAATACCGCTTCTAGGAACTGACATTCACGGAGTTGGCGTCGAATGCTAGCTTGCTTATCGCGGCCGGTTCCGAGACCACGGCCACAGCCCTCTCGGCAGCAACCTACTACTTAGGACTAAACCCGGAAACCTTTGCGAAGTTGGCTGCTGAAGTGCGATCCGTATTCTGTTCTGAAAAGGAGATAACCCTTACGAACGTACAACATCTGTCTTACTTGCAAGCGGTGATTGATGAGGCTATGAGGCTGTTCCCGTCGGCGCCTGGGACGCAGCCTCGCATCATCTCGCCTGGTGGTGACACAATAGTTGGCAGATATGTTCCGGAGGGTGTAAGTGGCCCCAAATGTTGCTTTTCCATTTGGTTCCGAGTATCCAGACTCTTGACATCTATCAATAGACTGTGGTCGGCGTATGGCAGTGGGTAAATCACCACAATCCCGCACACTTCCGCGATCCCGAGTCTTTCCTCCCCGAACGCTGGCTTGGAGATGCGCGCTTTGAAAGTGACAAGCGAGATGCCTTTATGCCATTTTCGATCGGGCCACGAAACTGCATCGGGCGCAAGTAAGTGAGAACGATTCCAAGGTTGTCAAGTTGGGGAAGCTAATCATATCGTTAGCCTGGCGTATTCGGAGATGAGACTAATCCTCGCACGAATGGTTTGGAGCTTTGATATCAGGCTGGCGGAAGAGAGTGTTGGGTGGGATATGAGAAGTAAAGTGTACATGCTGTGGGAGAAGGGGCCCATCTATGTGTACCTTACTCGGCGAGAGTGAAGTCGAATGGAGCCATAATTCAAGCCTTTTGCTTTTCTACCGATCTCAGCGATATACAATGCCGAGATCATGGGTTACCACGGGTATGCTACTCATAGAAAGGCGAGAGACTGTTTGTTTGAGAATCATCAATCCTCGTGTGTTGGACCTAGCACATGTAGTTGAGATACCGGCGTCAAGTACTGGACCATGGAGCCTTTGGCCTAATTGAACCTAGGTTGTCTTAGATGTGTACGAAAGGGCCTTGATATACACGCCCTCATGAGTGTCCCTACAAGGTAAAGTCATTTACTTTTTCCGTGACTGAGGCCAGTCTAAGCTCCTCCTTTTCACTGTCGTCCAGCAGGCCCAGTGCCTGTCGCCTCGTCGGCGCATTGGGATCGAAAAATGGCCTCTCAGCCAGAGATGTGACCCTTGTTCCATGTCTCGGGTGCTTTCCAGCGTAGTCCCAGCTGGCATTGTGGATAGTGATTCTGCTCTCTCTGTTAGCCCCAAGCTTCTGGTAGAGTTTTACATCACATCATCGGACATTGCCACTATGCAGAACTCACCGATTGTCCCACAGCACTGACGTGCCCGGGGTCCATTTCCACCGAAGCTGGATATCCACGTTCTTCTCATACACGTCAAACAGGTAGTTTAGAATGAGATCACTCTCCGCCTTATCGAAGCCGACAATGCGGTCGGTCATAGCTCGGTTGACCCAAAGTGCCTTCCATCCTGTCGCTGGATGAACGCGCACCAACGGGTGAGTACGTTCGACATACTTAGGCCCTGCCTCAGGATCGTCCCGGTCGAGGTACGGGTGCGCAGATCGATAGACGGCGTATTTGCCGTCGATGATCTTGCGGAAGTTGGGAGAAAGCTTTTCATAGGCTCCGTATCCACTTGCCCAGAGAGTGTCTCCCCCCACGGGCGGGACCGTGTCATTGTGCAAGTGAGTGATGCCAGCAGGCTGATGCTCGTGTACCAGATCTGTATGCCATCGGGAGGCGCCGCCAGGGTTCCGAAAGTTCGCCGGCCTCTCCGTAGCCTGTAGATCGGGCCAGATGACGGTTACACCAGCGACACCAGGAACTTGTGGGACTTGAGGCTGAAGTCTCCGTCAGTATTCAGTATGAGGGTTCAAGGCGGCTTCGAAGTGAAACTCACGTGGATCTCAATGTCTCCATACCACTCTCCAAGCTCCTTCTGCTGTTGGGGCGATAGATCCTGATTTCTGAAAAACACAACGCTCCGCTCAGCAATCAGTAGGGCAAGCTCGTCTCGTTGTTCGGGTGTGAGATCATTCAGCTGCAGCCCTTCGATCTCGGTACCAATGTTGGCTGTTAGGTCCGTGATCTTGCTCGCAGCAGCGAACAGATTCTTCTTGGATTTGTCCGCCCTGGCTCCAGCATCGACGTGTTTCCTATCAGTGCTGCGTATCTTGTAAACATCCTGTAGGTAGAGAGGCCTGGAAGGCCTGTAGGGGTAGCCATTGGACAGATCTATGCCTGCCTTCAAAAGTCGCTCTCTAGCCCGGGCGGGAATTGGCAGAGTATCCTTCTTGGGTTGCACTACGTCAACAATGGCGGGATCAATAGGAGCGGGAGCCATCCTGAGTCTTTGTTGCCGCCTCTTTCGTTGCTTCTTAGACTTGATTATCAAAGCTCGATGAGATGATAGGATCAGATGGCTGGGAATATGCGTCAGAAGCAGGCTCTTAAATAATGGGCTTCTGCTCGGAAGACCTATAGACCGTAAGAGGGGGGTTACATGGGTATTATCTCGTCTTCCCCCATCAATTGGGATTGGTAATGCAGGTCAACCAGTCACTTAATGTCTAGCGGCTCAGTGTCGAAAGATATCAAAATCGCCCAACCCATCCGGAATATTGCGACATTGCTTATTTGAACCTGAGCCCAAGTGACTTGTCGTATTTCCCCGCACAATGCGCGGATGCCATTTGAGCAAATGCAGATCGAAAGTAAAGATAGACTATGGATGATATGACAATGCTGCGAATACTAGACCATGCCGTGCAGCTACCGGATGTGGCCCGGGATTGCGTAAAGGGGGTGGTGGCGTGCTGATGCAACTCTATTGCAATATCACCGCCCAGCAGCGCGCCGAGGCGTGAGATATGTACCGACTCTACCGGAGCATATTGTTCATGGCCAAGATACTGCTGAACCATCAATGACCGGATCCTACGGATGCTACTATCTTGCAATGCAATTCTTATCTGCCCATAACTTGATAGCCGCCGTTGCAACCAAGGAAAGAAGGCGCCGAGACAACACAAAGGAAATGGATGTGCTCAACCACCCCTCATAGCACGCCATGTGCATGATAATGGGATCATAAGACGAAAGATATATGGCCGGGCACACTTGAAAAGAGGTATGAAGAGTCGCGAGGAAGTTACCGACACCAGGTTACTTCAGGAGTATTCTCTTGGGTGAAGGGTACTATTACTTGATTTCAATATGTCGGCTTCTGAGCTGATAGAAAGCTCCCCCGGTCACAGCACAGATAACAAGTCGTTGGGCTCTGTCCAGTGTGATGCAACGGACACTCATTCTTCCCAGGGCATTCATGCGAATGTGAAGAGAAGATGGATCTCATACATCTGGGACACTCTGGATAAGTCGCCAGAGGAGAGGCGGTTTCTTTTCAAACTCGACGCTGTGCTTCTCACATTCGCATCCCTTGGATACTTCATCAAGTACCTTGACCAGGTCAACATCAACAACGCCTTTGTCTCCGGCATGAAAGAAGACCTCAACTTGTTCGGCAACCAGCTCAACTACATGCAAACCTGTTGGACTGTGGGTTATGTCATTGGACAGATTCCAAGGTATAGTGTACAATCCCCGCTTCTGAAGACAAGCGGCACCTTCTTAAAATTGACCTCTTCTATAGCAATGTGCTTTTGACCCGAATCAGACCGTCCATCTGGATCCCGTCATGCGAAGCCACCTGGGCTGTCTTGACAATTCTCATGGTCAAATGTAACAATGCGCAGCAGATTTACGTCTTACGATTCTTCATCGGGCTTGCAGAAAGTACGTTTTATCCTGGAATGCAGTACATTATTGGATCATGGTATCGCAAGGACGAACTCGCCAAGAGATCCTGCATCTTCCATACCAGTGGGGCCATCGGATCTATGTTCTCTGGTTATCTCATGGCTGCTGTATACCACCTCGGAGGCAGAGACGGTTTCAAAGGCTGGCAATGGCTCTTTATCATCAACACTGTCATCTCGCTCCCAATTGCCCTAGCAGGGTACTTCATGATACCCGACGTGCCCGAGATCACGCGAGCATGGTATTTCACGAAAGAGGACATAGCCCTCTCCCAGATGAGAATGGAGCTTGAGGGCCGGGCAAACCGTGCTCCCTTCACCAAGGCGAAGTTGAAGAAGATATTTTCCAGCTGGCATATATATTTGCTATCGTTACTGTACATCTTCTTCAACAATGGGAATGGTGCCGCCTCCCAGCCTGCCTTTTCGCTGTGGCTCAAGCAGCAAGGATACAGCGTCACGGACATCAACACTCATCCTACAATCACGATAGCGATTACAGTCATTACTACTCTTGCATATGCATGGACTTCCGACTCCATCTTCAGAGGAGAGCGATGGCCCCCCATCGTCTTTGCAGGCATCATCAGCATCATCGTCAACGTCAGCCTTACGGTATGGAACATTCCCCTCGGGTGGAAATGGGCCTGCTTCTTCCTGGCTGGCTTTGGTGGAGGCGTCAGTGGCTTGACATTTGCCTGGGCTCATGAGATTTGCTCCGATGACAACGAAGAGCGAGCAGTAGTGACGGGGTCGATGAATCAAATGGCCTATGTCATCCAAGCTTGGCTGCCGCTCTTGATTTGGCAGCAAGTGGAGGCTCCAGAGTATCCAAAGGGATATCCAACATCGATCGGTATCGCGGTCGGAATGATTATCATGTGCTTTTGGATCAAATATGCGCATAGACGAGAAAAGCTGATAAAGAAGGTTATTGAGGATGAGTCGGCCCTGCATACATCTGCAGCTTGAGAACTACGTGTAGTCGAGCAACTACAAACATCGAGATGTTATTGTACCTGTGGGTATGGGCAGTTGTATACCAGTGTATCTTAGCAACCTCGAACAATGGAAACACCGCACACAGTCATGGGCAGCAGGAAGATGCCAAAGGCTACTATTTGCTGGCGATTATCAACAACCCCATGTGGCTACATCAGAACGACGAACGTCTATGGAAGCTTCAACCACAACTTCAACAGGCTGGGATATCTAGGGGTGCCCAGTCCAGTTACCGGATCCCAGCCTTCCACAGCAGTGAAGCCGCTGGTCCCGCAATTCGGGTTCGATCCTTGCTTGATATCGGTGAGGGCGTCAACGTTCGCATACAGCACCGGATTGATGAACCCGACAGAGCCTTTCCCAATCTTGGTGCGCTCTTGGTTGATCAGAGTAATGATAGAGGCCCACAGAGGTGCCGCCAGGCTTGTTCCGAACCAGTGGCCTTCGGTTCCGTTGTTGAACGCGCGAAAATTGGCGCCGTTGGCTGAGATATCGGGAATGCCTCTCCCAGCACGGTTATAGATTCCTCCATTCTCGCCAATGTTGCTCGCGTTGGCGTTGGCGATATAGTAGGGGTGCCCTGGATCGTGTTTGGCGAAGTACTTACTGACCGCCGCTTTCTGATAGTCTGGTGCAGGAAAATAGTTTGAGAAGCCTCCTCCTGAAGCGAACAGTTCAGCCCCGGGGCCAAGGTTCGTCTGCATAGCTCCCTCCGCGTCAAGCACCGTTGTGCCAGGCTCAAGTTGAGTGGCACCGACAGAAGTGAGGTATGGGCATGAGACGGGGTTTCCAGGATTGTATATTGTCTGATTCTGACCAGACCCGGAGATACAGCCGGTCGCAGTATCTGATTCAGGCGGCATGGCGACTCCAAAATCGCCGGAGGAGACCAGAACCGTGGTGCCCTGCAGGCCCAACTTGAGCCACTCATTGCACTGCCTCTGGAAATAGTTTTTGGGGACATCAATCTCGCCCTCGCCGTAGGAGATGGAGATAACCTTGTTTGGCTTGTAAGCACCGCAGAGGGCTGTGCCGTGGTAGCCGCCTGGTCGGTTGTCAGGATAAGACGGATCGATGCCCGGGCTGTCTCCTGTTATTCCGAAAGCCGTAGAGTGGCAGTAAGACCCGTCAAGAGCATCTAGGAAATGGTTCAAAAAGCCTGAGTAATTGTTGGCGGTTGTGTATAGGCGGTCATCCACCTGGTACAAAACCATGGTCTGGGGCCAGACCAAGGTCTGGATAATGTTGACGTCGATGTCACTTTCTCCGGTATTATACTCGGAATCAGGTGCCACGGGAGCTTCGCCGCCATCGACAGACAAGATCCTTGGGTGAGTGCCGTTGGCAATCCAGGGCGCATATTTGTGGTAGTAGGAGTCGAGATCGCCCTGAGCAAATGTGTCACCACTCTCATACACTGCAGGCTCAAGTCCGGCGACAGGATGGCTGGTGGCTGGGATCTGATACAGCGCACGGTAACAGACGGCAGTGAAGTTGCGGGCGCAATCCTGAAGGTTGGCTGGCAACTTGGGAGTAGTCGGGGGCTTCTTAACCAAGGACAGGAGATCGGGGGGCATCTGCTTCGGCCTCCAGCCCTTTCTATACTTGCGTGAGCTGGTATCCGGAACCCTTTCCAGCGATCGCCTCACCATTGGCGGTGACAGCTTGATGCCAGGCACGATGTAGTCGATGTGTTCTGAGAGATGCCTTGGCACGTAGTATTGATCGCAACCAATTTTGAGCTCACCCTCCCGCTCATGTTCGTGATACTGCGTTTGAAACAAGCCCTCAACGTGAGTAACAGGCAAGTCGATAGCAAGCCATCCCTTGTTCTCGTATTGGCGAATTTCTGAGGCGTTTACGCCAGACTCCACCAACCAAGAGTGGACAGCGTCGAAGGTCTCGTGCGCCGGTGCAAAGAGATCATGAACTTCGTCCTGGCTAAGATGCTTGCCAAATGTTTCTGATGAAGGATCGGAAACTTCCATCAGCTTCTCATAGCCGAGATGGATGTTGCTTTGTGCCAAGCCAATCCGAAGCGGGATGATGGCATGTGGATCGAGGCGGCTACCACGCTTCCATTCTCGATGGCTGTTGACATGGCCAGTTCCGGTTGGACTCCGTATCTCGTGGAGCACGTAGTTGCTGGAAGGCAAGCCCTGCACAGAAAGATTGATAAATGCGATCGACGCTGTGAGGAACAGCAACGCTCGAGGCGAAAAGCCCATGTTGCCGGGGAAAGACAGACTAAGAGTGAACTTTCAGCTGCAAAGGACAACTTCAGTGAGGCTTGGCAACAATGAAACTGTTTTGGCCCGATCGTCGTGTTTTTGTAGTCCGTCGCCCATGATCAGCAGAGCGATACAGTCATATCGCGCCCTGATCCCTATTGTTAGCATCATGTCGCCGTTTGCTCGTATCGTCACAACAGGTATGCCTGCTTAGCAAGGATACTTACACTATCTCTCCGCATTCTCGCTTCTCTTATCACTTGGTGGCCTGCCGAATATCCGACTTGCCGACCTCTGTCGGGGGGGGCCTTCACGATCTTGTATGACGCGAGTGCTGACCAAGACGTGTTTTTCTCGCCAGACCTGCCTTCGGCGTTGCCACAGCCAGTCATTGGGCGTGTCCAGGAACCGCTAACAAAGGTTCAAACAGCTTTAGGCAGGTCTTGGTTGACTGTAGACGTTGATCTTGTGCCTTACGAACGCGCTGCTGCATGCAGTAAGCTTTTAAGAGCCGATCTACGAGTACTACAGTACGCGCTTTGCTGGTGGGTGCGGCGAGTCCCGCCACCCCCGGCATTGACCGGTTCCATATCTCCGTTTGTCATTCAAATGGCCCTGCAACTCCCCTCTTCACGTCTTCTCTGGCATAGTTACGTAGGTATGTTTTCTACCCAAACGCGTACTTCGACGTCGTACTGCTTCCCGTTTCGCGTTGTTGGCGACTTCTGGCCAAGAATCGTCAAAAGGCTACGAACCAGTTACTGGAAGGCGTTTTGAGGGCTTTTCGTCTTGATGTTGTGGCACGAAGCAATTTATCCCATTCTAGAGATATATTGTCATCACCAATCTCTATCATACCTGCCAACTAGGAAGTGCCTGCTGGGTATGACAGGAAGTGTCTCCTACTCGCTTCGCACGCGTCCTCTAGGCCAGCACGAACCTCTCACATAATATGCTTCGTCGTGCACATCCCACAAGATCGTGTCTTTAAAGTTGGGCGTTCGAGCAAACGATTTGTCTATCCATCTTTGTGTGCTGGACCTCGTACATGCTTCTCCTCATTGAAGGTCATCCCCACTAACGAAGCAGACTGCCTCCAGCATCGATGAAAACCTGCTCCAGAATTTCAACAGGCTGCATAACACTGTCATGGTCAGTGCCGGGAACAGTGACCGACTCGAAATCCAGCACATCATCGAATGCCTTGTCTTTCCATCCCAAAATGTCCTCGATATATTGTTGACCACCTGCGCCAATCATTATGTCGGTTTCGGCGAAGTATGCCCTCACTTTTAGCCTCATGCTGTCTTGCCAATTGGGGTCCAACTGCCGTCTCTGTCTTTCAGCGCTCACTAGGGACTTGGCAAACACCGCGTAGTCATCGCACGCTTCCCATGACCATCCTTGGCCCTTTCTCAAGCACTGGAGCGCCTCACCATTTGCACCAACGGTGTTCTCGTCAAATATCTTTTTGGTGAGTATCGTCCCCAATTCCATCTGTAGATCCCGTGGAAAGTCATATTCGTCTGCCAGCTTCTGCCTATTCTTCTCTAGTGTTGTAAGCTCCTGGGCATTGTTCGTGCCCAACGAAGCGGAGAAGAAGCCGGTGGCTTTGTTGAGGACAGTTCCACTTGTGGTCAATACAGGTGCCGCATCAACTACAAAAAACCGCGGAATGCGGTGCCATATACTGAAGGCTGGCGTTGGGATATATTGAAGCATCTGCATTGCTGCCACTTTAGAGCATGCAGGATCAACCCACGGCCCTGCAATATTGTGAACCATGTTAGCCAGTGATTAATGAGCGGGATTTGAAACTCTGCATACCCATGATCGCAACATAAGGACGTTCGGGATGTAACAGATCTCGATAGTGATGCAACGTGTTGAGAAGGTACAGCGTCCCAGCAGAATGCGCAACCAAGGCAACATGCGGGATATCGAGGTGAGCCAACAATCGAGGAACGACCCGAATCCACGTGGGGATTCGCTGAGCAAGAGGCACTTCTGTTGAGAAACCCATCCCGGGCCTACAGGACGAGGAAAAGGGCGTATGGACATCAGCTTATGGCCCTATTTGGAGGGAGAAAGAACAACGTCAAACGAAATTGCTCGTTTACCGGTCAATCACCAAAACTCGTACTCCATATCTACGCGCAACGCGATCTAGCACAGCGCCGATGTATCTTGACCCAAACATGCCGGGGATGAAGAGTACAGTTGGGGTAGTGCGACTGGCCGTCGGACTCGCGGGCTTGAAGCCCACGTCCGCATAGCTGACGGTGATGGCATCCTGACTTTCACTGGCGGGGAGGCTGAACTTTTGCGTGAAGCGAGGATCGGAGATGTAATTGAGCGCCTGATCGCGCGCCGAAGCTGTGGTAGAGGTCATGCTCATCTGGAGGTTGTAGTTCCGACAGCGAAGGAGAGGGATGAGAAAAGCAACTGTTGGCTTTTTACGAACATAAGGTAGGACGATTAACAAAAGACCTTAACTACCTCTAGGTATCTATGTACGGAGTAGAGGCCTCCCAGAAACAGCTCGAGCCGCTACGGCTACGCCTGCCGACGACGCGAAGCCCGCTGTGAATTTGTCGGCATGCTCAGCGAATCACAGCCAATTGCAGCCTAGCGTATCAAGATAATGACAGCCATCTCCTCAGCCCTAGCTAACCGTATATCCGGTCTGTAGGCAGGGCCATCGCAAAGAGAAGTCCATGTGAGGATACGCCGAAGCAAGCTATCAGTTACTAGTACACATGATCTCTACCCTGGCCTTAGAAAGGACTACATGGTTTTAATTCTAGCGCGCAGAGCGAGGTTGTTATTGACCCTCTCAACAACCACGCAGGTCTCGGGTATGATACTTTTCGCGTCTTGTCTCTTCTCTACCCTAGAGTTCGAGACCGCTGCCACGGCCTACCTACCGGTTAATAAGGTAGGTAAGTGAAGAAAGAGCTTGTTTCTCAAGGGTACATCAACAGGGTCGCAGCGCTGCAACAAGACCAGGAATAGGAAGGATTTCTAGGCTAAATCAACAAATTGTCCTGTATATTCTCTTCCACAAGGGCCAGGCTCGTCGCATCTCATCCTCCTCCGCCGAGACGGACTGCACCCTCGAAAATATCCTCCCAGTGTCAAGATCCATGGAGTCGAGATTGACCACCCGTGTCCGGAACCAGATCTTGTGTCCAACGTAGAAGACGATAACGATTGGAACAGCCAGCACATTGAGGAAAAAATTCCTTGCCGTAATCTGCGGCCCATCGGCTGCTGGGTCAAGTTGAACGGGGGATACGGCCATCCAGAACTGAGAGGCCAGAACCAGTATGTTGCCCACCAAGCCGATCCAGGAGCCGACAACGCCGACCTGTGATACGAACGGCAGTTGGTTCAAAGTGCGCCCTGCCGCTGCCCAAGCTTTTCGAAACCGAATATGGCAGAGGCAAATGCTTCCCCAAGTAAACAAGCTAGACAATCCGGAAATGGCCATGAGCCAATCAAAGATATCTGTGTGAGACTTTACGTTGACAAGGTATGCCAAGAGGCCAAGAACAGAGGCAAGAATAATCGCGATGAGGGGTCTTCCCTTGCGGTCGACATAGGAGAAGATCCGGGGCGCGTGCGACTGTTCAGCCAGAGAGGCCAGTGTTCTCGAAGACCCAAACACAGAAGAATTGCCCACGCTCAACACCGCAACCATGATGACAATGTTCATGACGCTGGGTAGGATTGTTGACCCAGCGCTTTCCACGGCAATGACAAAAGGGCTGGCGGTTGCATCAACAGAACTGCGACCTCCAAGAAGACGCGGCTCGTTGTATGGTACCAAGAGTGTCACTAACAGGAGCGACACGACGTAGAAGATGGCGATTCTCCAAAACACTTGCTTGATGGCGCTGGGAATGGACTTCTTCGGGTTGGCCGTTTCCGCCGCAGCCAGACCAAGCATTTCGGTGCCGGCAAAGGAAAAGGACGACGTCGCCAGGACGCTGCATAAGCCCTTGAAGCCGTTGTTCGTTGGGCCAGGATTGACCCAGAACTGGCCACCGACGTAACCAGACGTCGGCGGCCCGCCAATATTAATGACGATACCAAGAAGTCTATGTCGGTTTTGCGATGGTTAGCGAATTGAACTGGATAGAAAAGCCCTAGAGGGCGTTGTTAAGACGGCCCCAGGAGGGTAAGTTATCCTTACATGAAGCCTACAATGGCAGCGACTTTGACAATGGAGAAAACAAACTCTGCTTCGCCATAGCCCTTGATGCCCGTCATGTTTATGGCAATAATTGCAAAAAGGAAAATGGTGATGAAGATGGCTGGATTCAGCGAAGAGTTCCAGTATTGTATTGCCAGGGCTCCCGAGATGATCTCCAGTGGCAGAACGACGAGCCACTGTAGGGCATAGCTAGAAGTAGGGTTAGCAACACGAGTAGTCCTAAATCGCCATGGAAGAGATAGAAGGACGGCACGATGATGCGCATACGGATAGGATATACCTACTTCCAGCCCATGGCGAACCCCCATGACGGGTCCAGGAACCGACTCGAAAACGCGGAGAACGAACCAGCAACGGGAAACGCTGTTACCAATTCACCCATGCTTTGCATGGTGCAGAACTGTAGAGCCCCAGTCGCGATGTATGCCAGTAAGAGTGAAGCTGGGCCACCCTGATAGAGCGCGAGTCCTGATGCTACGAATAAACCGGTTCCTGCGCCATCGTGTCAGAAGCCGTGCGTGAGCAACTGCTGTTGTATCTTCGAGTAACATCGAGGGCGGTCAACCGTACCGACTGAGCCTCCAATGGCAATCATCTGCAGGTGGCGTCCCTTGAGATCGCGCGCCAGTGCAGAATTGGCCGTCCGCACATTGGCCGCACGCAAATCGTAGAAGCGGCCGCCACCTCCTTGACCCATATCAGGGGCATCATCGTTGATGTGATAGCCATGGTTCCCGCTCATGGGAAGTCCTCCAGGCACTCGACGGAAGCTGTCCACAAAGCGGCGACCCATGGACTTGTTGCGAGAGGCTCTGGGCCGTGGGTTGGTGGTAATGGAATACGAAGTTGCTGTACCGAACTGATCTGTCTGTTTACCGGCCGATGACAGGTCGCTCATCTCGACAACCTCAAAGTTCCGGGTATATGTGATGCCATTCTTGATGGATTTTGGCTTTTCTGGTTCTTCGGATGCCATGGTTTGTTGCAATGATGTTACGATGCCAATTGACGTACGACATGTAAAGGAGACTGTCGATCCGGTATGCTCGGAGAATTAAGTATGCATGTGGTTGCGCTGATATGCACATGGCAGAAATGGAAGGCCTGCAGAAGGCTATTGGAAGGCAGTTCAGCAGCAAGGTTATCTTGTAACCTCGTCGAGGTAGCACTCCTTCAGACCAGGCACCTCATTTCCAGTCCAAGTCCGCGCCAACGCTCGGCCAAGTCGAAGTGGTCAGCCCGCCTAGGTCAAACCATACTACATACGCGAGACAGCGCCCTCTCTCCTGCAAGCTGATAGTGCTATGTAATATTATCGCATCATTGGAGATTGTCGCGCAAGCCAATAGCCCACTGCCCAATTCTTCTGGAGCCGAGGTCTTGACGCCATGCTAGCAGGCGCTAGATAAGGGCAGTACATACTAGTCCATTAATGACAGGAACAGGGTGGAAGCTGTCCCGAGGTCTTGTGGGCTGTGTGGAGAGGTTTGAGCTCCGCAAACCTGGGGTTGAGAGAGATAACGATGTTGATCTGCCAGGGGTTCTTTTCAGCTGACTAGTAGCAGAATCGGAATGCTGTCTATCACAAGTGGCCTTGGTCGTTCGCTTAGTACGGTACAACAGGGGAAAGGCTTTTTGGAACACGAAGCGTACTATTACTTCCTCAGCTGAATGCAAGCGGAAAGCCAAGAGGTTCATAGAACCACAGACCGCTGATTTGAGCTTCCATCTCGCACCTTCAGTTGGGTCAACTGAAACTGACAAGAAAAGGGGGGCATCATGGTGTGGTCACTAGGTACTAGAGCTATCAGCCGGTCGCCTAGCTGCTGTGGCTCGAGACTTCCAGGTTGCTGAAGATTTTCAGACGCTACCGGGGAAAACAGGTAGGGGAACAGGAACTCAAAGAGGCTTTGATTGGAAGGTAATAACTATCTGCGTTTGAGGCTAGCCATCCCGGCGGGCACCACGCGTTCTGGCGATCGAGGAGTCTCGAGGCTAAGAATCGCGGCAGCCTTCGAAGATCCGCGGTCTGCTTGGATGAGCGAGTCATGGCTTTGCGTCGGGCTAACTGCGCTGCCACTGGACGATTGAGGACGGGGAGCTCCATCGTTCGATAGAGAGTTGGCTGCGGTATCGGCCTGCTTGGCGTCCTCCCAATGATTGATGTCCGATCTGGCCCGGTGCTCGCCTTCAGCTTGATCCCACATGCTTGTTGTTGTGCCCTGGCCTTGCTGAGGGCGCGAAGTTGTACCGCTGCTGTGGTAGTTTGGCCGAAATTTGATCTTTCTCGCTCCGCTATCTCTGAGAAAAGAGCCAAGAGCAACCAGATTTGCTACCGCAGTTGCTGCGAGCAGCTCGACGGATGCCCACATGGATCGAACGATTTGGTCACCATGCTCTTTGATCGTCTCCGGGATCCTGTAGATAGTGATGCCCACCGTCAGAAAACCGAAGCAGAAGAGCATGGACAGCAGCACCTTGCGCCGAGTGGGGATGCGAGTCGACATGATGATGGGAATGGGGAAGACGATGAGTATGGCATCGAGGACGGCGCTGGAGATGCCCATTGTGAGCAGCTGTGCCACGCCTTGTCGACACTGGGGTCCTGGATCTGGAAGGATCTGCCAGTAGTGAGAGATCGGCCGACATTCCGCAAGGTCGCTCACTATGATGGCTAGGAATGATGCTGCAAGGAGGCTTCTCAGGATGTTGATGAGTATCTTGTAGACTTTTTTCGATGAAGCACCAGCTAGGCGGTTGAGAAACTCAAGGGTTGTAAATTTGAGCGTCCACAGTCTGTGACTAGTCAGCTTCTGCTGCAAGATGTTGCAACTAACACGAAATGCAAAAGTGTTCTGGAGTTGACAAACGTGGCAGCATGGAAGATCCTCCCTGCAAGCACAACTTTGCTGGCAACAATTCTTTGCTGAATTTCCTCGGGTGAAAGGTCGAGCCCAGCAAGCTCAATATTGTTCGTTCCATAAAGCAAAACGACGTGGGTACACGCCATCCGGAGGTACAACGGCAGTAACGCCAATGCAGTGATCCTGTCTTCGAGGAAGAGCTTTTCCACGCGAATGTACCGTCCAGAGAGGCGAAGCAGGATGAGACAGGTGCAAAAGAGGGTTATCCACCAGGCCACGAGCAATGTCGGCTTTGCATCACTGAAAGGCCGATCTGGCGGTGCCGATGAGTAGAGAGCCATGATGAAAAGCTACTCGCAGACCACTGTAGGAGAGCAGAGACTATGCCCTTGCCATGATGTGCTCATAAGTTGATTCTTTTAATCCGCAGAGATGATGTGGCGATATGGGATTGAGTCCAGCTTTGACAGTTCAGCGATATAGCGTGTGGGTTAATCCTGGTGGATTTGTACACATATCTTCCACACACATATCCCTCAGATATGCAAGCCAAGCAAGCCATGAACCGATAACGAAAATAGCCTCCCAAGCCTGTCGCGTCGAGGCACCTCTATGGTGTGACCACTCTCGATGAATGATTCAGTCCGGCTCAAGCAGCACAACCGTCTTCTGACCGGCTAACCAGTTCCATCCCAACCAGCTGGCTCTGGCAGCCAGGGGGGGTTTGTGGCGCTTGGTGTGATGCACTGTTCGGAAATTGCTGCTGGTGCCTGGCCAAGCATCTTGCGGCCGTGTCTTATCCAGCCACGTTCCTTTAGCGCCACGACCTTAATGATCTGACGGCCTTGGACCTAGAAGAAGAACTAGTGAGTGCTAAGCTATGCAATCATTCGGGTAAAGGCTGTGGAGTGTGTGAACGGACGGATCAAAGGCGACTTATCCAACCTCGAGGCCCCTTGACACTGCTCGCAATTGTGGCAATGGTTTGGCGTTCCAGTACCGACAGCGGCTTCTTAGCTTAGCTCCTCGCATCAAGCATCACTTATGGCGAGTGGTTGTCGGCTTGATTTGTGCATAATATTGGGGTTCCAACTAGTATCTTGGACACGACCGCCCTGGCACATGCCCTCCTGGCCATGTCGCGAGAGGAGGCACATGGTCACTGAGATGTCTATTCTACCTACGTACAGCATGCGTTTATCCTACCCCGATTATTGGCATACACAAATATTGCCACCAGAGATGCTGAGGGAAGTCGTACTATATAAAGCAACAAAGTTTGATACGCATGCACCTGACATGCTTCGAAGACCGAAAAGTAGACTCCTGTGTCGTATTTTCGCGCGAAAACAAGATACGCCAAATGAATGACGGAAAGGAAAGCCAACGAGTCATGGGAAAAGTCCAGCCACGGAGTAGCACCATTAACCGAGGCGAGTGTACGATCTCCAGGCTTGAAACCATTGTTTTTGGTCATTGTAGTAACGAGCTACTTCCATTGAATCATGCAGAGGGGTGTGTAACTCCCATGTTGATTACTTTTACGGTAATCGCTGTAGAGTCTTGTGTCTGCGTACATATGGTTCGATACAATTCTCTAGATTGGTGGGGTCTCCCGAGTCCTTCTAACGACCACCAATATCTTACCCAACTCTATTACAGTTTATCTCTTTGATTGTTCAAATGATCTTGCCCATAATCCGGTTAATCTTTATTGGGTCGCTTCTATCGGTCACCAGGCTTCAGGGCAGGATTTTTCCAACGTCCATTTGAAGACCCCGGTCAAAGACAGTAGGAAAGCTTCTGAGAACAAATGCTTCCCTCAGCTTCCGCTTGAAGCCTCCATCTAAGCTTCAGCAGGTTCAGTCCTCGGACGGAAGAAGCCCCTGTACAATATTTAACGAACGTGAATCAATCCATCCGTTCCCCAAATGAGAACTAACCTTGCGTCTTTTGCAGCAACCTTATCTCATGCTTTCTGACGAAAATTTGGGGATCGGCCTAGTCAGTGTCCATGTCGACCCCTTTCTCGTCTGTTGCTTAGGCCGTTTGCCAACCCATTGATAACCAGTTATATTGGATGGTGCATTATCTCCCGAAATATTGACATTTGACTCGAACCTTTCTCGCGTAAGCAGCCAAAGCACCGGCCCCAAGAGCAAGCTGGATGCCGCTGATAGACAAGCCTGAAGATTCCATGTGTGAAGGGAATAATGCAATCACTCACTTCTGGTAATCTCTACAACAGTGTGCATGACATTGTCGCCGTAAGGATTGTCTACCTCTCGTCCCTTTCATAACGCGATCGGGCTACATGATGAGTATTCTACTAGGCTAAGTCCTGGAATCCATGCAGCTTCTTTCCAAGATAAATGATGTGGTTGTAGATTAACACGTGAGTTGAGAGTGTGGTATAATCGGCGTATACACCTGGAGAATGGTAATTTTTAAAGTAATCCTTTCTATCTATCGATCTCTTTCCTCCCAATTTACAAACACAAGTGTCAAGAGGGATCTTACCCCCATATGATAAAGCGAGGACTTCGTCGCCAACTGTCAAGGACAATTTGCTGTTCTTCTCAACTTGCTCGATGAAATGTGGGACCTCAAGGCCCATGAACTTTGGAGGTAATGCGTCAATATTTTGGAAATTGATAGCATATACCCGACTGATACTAAATGTTTTGACTCTGACTAGTGCTTTGCCATCTTGGAGGCACAGCTTAGAGAACATCTGGCGTGTAAAGGAAGTCCACGGGCCCTTAACTTGTGCCGAATATATATTGCAAAAGGAAGAGTGTAATAACTATGGAATAGAGCATCATGCCCCACTTCGCACTCATATCATATGAAGAACATGCATTATGCTTCTCATGGTCTATGTATTTCAACATCGACAAACGTCTCCTGAATGAGATGGAATGAACATTCACGAATCTCCGAGTGTCGTCTCCTTGCCATCTTCAATCACTTTGAGACTCGTACGAGTACTTGATCTTACAACAGTCATGGTTGCAGATTGCTAACAATGGTGTGGAACAAGGATGGGAAAAATTCAGTACGTGTGGAGAGGCGTCTTAAGAAAAAGAAGCATGAAGTATACGTCGGTCAGTTTGGGCAATCAAAGTTCAGCCAGCTTATAACAAAACTGCTATTAGAATGCCTTTGGTAAGGGCATCCTTTTTCTTATTAAAAGTAAAACGGTATTCGTCATGTGATGTATATCGTCTTGCGGAGAAGCGATCGAGTGAACAACAATAATTGGGCCCAATAACATATGTTCAAGCGATAGGCCCTCACAGCTTTGCTTAGTTGGCAAATTCATATTAAGAGAGAAGCAGCTTTTGAATGAGAATATCTCAATATCGCCTAGGCATATAAACCACCAACGTTTGTGCTACTGGCTTTTGCCCGTCTAGTCCATACCCTCGAAACATTGTTTTCCTGCCGTACTGTGGTAACCATGAGCCCTGCTGCACCTCGCCGTGCATCAATCCCTTATAGTGTTGAGCTTGGAAGGAACTCATCATAGGTAGTTCTCTTCCTGAAAGATACACGCGATGCTTGACTTTGTCACTGAGAGAGCAACCTCCTCCATTTTTACGCGATACCTGCTGTTTGGCGGCCAATACTTTCTAGCCCACGTGAGGTAGTTGGGCGCTGTCTCTTTCTGTCTGAAAAGGACGGTATTCAACGGGCAATGAGCCTAGGCCATCTCAAGCTTTGTAATATACTTGAGTTCTGTAATATGACATCGCTGATCCACATCGGATATACTGGCATATTCCGGGGGTGATTCCCGGTTGTGGCGAGTAAAGGCGTCATTTCTCATCCAAAGTCGATCTTACAACCTTGTTACCCCTCACCCTCATCCCGAGGACAAGTCGCATCACATATAGACACACCCACGAGTAACAGCGGCATCATTGGCTTTACACCTTCGTGAAGGTCTTTCAATAAGTGCTGGGTTTCACGCAGCATCATGACCTCCTTTCAGCCTCTGCATATTCTGGCCTTTGGCGCCACCGGCAACATCGGAAAACACATCGTCAACCAACTCATACGTGCCAACCCCCCGTTTCCCAAAATCTCAATCTTTACCTCTGCAAACACCGTCTTGAATAAGCCTGAACTTTTGTCTAGATGGAAAGATGCAGGCGTATCGGTCATCGTGGGCGACATCACCAACTCGGCAGACGTGAAGAACGCGTATCAGGGCGTCGACACTGCCATCAGCTGTCTTGGCCGAGGGGCTCTTGAGCATCAATTTCAGCTCATCAAGTTAGCAGACGAATCCGACACCGTCCGATGGTTTTTCCCGTCAGAGTACGGGACAGATCCAGACCATGACCCCAGTAGTGCTCACGAGAAGCCTCACCAAGTGAAGCGAAGAGTGCGCAAGGCATTCGCTGAAGAAGTGAAGAACCTCAAGCCAACGTTCCTTGTTGTGGGACCTTACATTGAGATGTGGGTTGATGGTGGCCCGCTGAAGGATGCATTTGGCGGAATTGACGTGGAGAAGAAGGAGGCCGCTCTGCTTGGAGATGGGGAGCAGCCTATTGGCTTCACGGCAATGGAAGAGTCAGTTACATACCCAGATCTCTCTTGCTTGGTTACTTGAACTAACAGTGGCATTTCTCAACAGCGTGGGCAAGGCCGTGGTTGCAGCGCTCCAGCGGCCCGAAGTCTCGTACGGCAAAATTCTCAAGATTGCTTCATTCACGAAATCAGCGAGACAAGTCTTGGCCGAATTTGAGAAGCAAGTTGGCCACAAATTCGACGTCAAGCACATTCCGCTGGACGATGCCAAGAGGCTCGAGAAGCAGTATTGGGACGAGGGCAATCCGTTGGCAGTTGTCGGCACGCTGCGCAGGATTTGGGCCACTGGCGGCGCGGTTTATGAGAAACTGGACAACGAAGATCTGGGATTGCATCCGGATCAGCTGCAATCCCTGGAGGCTGCGGTGCGAAACCGCCTGAATCACGTCGCTTTCTAGGAGGACACGAGGGTAGCTGATGAGCATGACTCAGGAGTAAGGATTGGGCATACCCCCGTTCTCATTCGGCCAGCAGCGACGTAAAGGGTTGACCTAATCTCCAGATTACTGGCCATGAAGAAAAGATGAATAACGATGAGTATGAATTCTGCATTATCAACACGGTATACCTAATTTTCAATTTCCTCATGGCTAACGCCCAAATTGGGTTGATGCCTTGATTTTCGGGACGCTCGAAAAAGACCAGCCAAGTGGTGTAATACACTAACCCGTATACAGCAGGACAAAGTCTCTTTCGAGACGGGTATACATCTGATTGCGCGAAGCTGGCGATAAGTCCCAAGTACTGCAAGCATATGATACACTTGCGTGAGTGATATTGTTTGTTTGAGACGAATGAGGGAGCAATCTTCCCGATGCAGCACAAAGGCCTTCATTTAGCTACTCATACCCAGAAGGTTTATCGTTACCAAGCGAACCTTTTGGGAGGATTAGACAAGATAGATGTGACCACGACTTCTGCCTACGACGCCTCCCTGTTGTGACCGAGGCGTTCCATCACAACGAGAGTGTTCCTTGTAAAGTTCCACCTCAGAGTTATAGATAACATTCCATCGCGCATCTCGAATGGAATACATCGTTGCACGATGCAGAGTAGAGAGTTTCTATCATACATAAAAGCGCCCTTGGTCCGTTTGAGACCTCATGTGCCCAAAACCCAAACCGTTTGTCGTGGCATTGCCGTCTCTCACCCCGAGGCCATCAAGCCTTTTCCTCCTCCTTTGGGGCCCCATACCACCAGCGATAGATGCCCTTGCACCAGACCCAAGTTTCAGTTGTGCCAAATATACTCAGAACAGCAATGACAAAGATCCTGGCATTTCTGCTCATGCCCAGGCCCTCGAAGCTGAACCGCGGGAGCTGATCATTGTCTGACTGCTTGCTGCGAAGCGAGGCATAACTGGCAAAATTCCGAACAGTCTCGCGCTGGCGGGCGGCGTTCTGGTGACTTTGATGATGTCGCCTAGTGCTGTAGGAGATGGAGGCCGGGATACTGCGCATTATGATCAGATTGTGGAGGCGAAAGGCCGAGGCCGTGTTGCGTGCTGTTGTAAGGGACCGTCTCATTGTGTATCAGTCTCACTTCCTAGGCGTAACGTGAAGCAGTGGCAGAGTAGTGATGGATTCATGAGGAAGACGTCGTGAATGGAGGTTGCAGCAGCACTCGATGGTTTATAAAGGAGAGACGATCCTTGATACAATTACTGGCGCTGACAAACTGCCACCCCCTGCTAGGTACTGACGTGTTAAGAGGCACTTGCCGATGAAGTCTCGAGTTGTTCCATGAGCGGTACCTTGACTCTAGACACTGTGCGGAGTACAATGGCGCTTGTCTCTGTGAGCGCATAGGTACTGTAGGACAGAAGGATGAAAGATCACGACTCTGGTTCTACTCGAAAAGTTTATGCTGATGGATACACATAGCACGCGGCCGTCAAACTCCATGTTGTTCTTGTCAAGCAAGTGTGTCGATCTTCGTACGGCTCCGGAGTCTCATAGTCGAGCTCCGGATCCTACACCCGAGAGCTCTTCGGTCCCGAGAATGCTTTTCCAGCTAAGATTCGGAGCCCGGGTAAGGCGAATCCCGCCAGCACCCGGTTTGGCGCTCAGTTGACGAATCTTGGATCCGAAAAATGGTGAGGAGATCTGCCTTCGAGTGCGTGTAGAAAAATGTATATAAGGATGTGTTTCACTCAACTTGTCTTAAGAATCGGTTCTCTAGCCGCGCTTTCAATTACTTCGAGACTTTCGCTTAAAATCGCCCTGCCATCGTCCAGAATGACCCCGAGTATTGCCATCATTGGTGCTGGGCCCTGTGGCTTGACCTTGGCCCGCCTTCTGGAGTGTAATGGCATCGACTACGTTGTCTATGAGCGCGACGAATCCGAGGACTCCAACCGCAGAGGAGGCAGCCTGGACATCCACGCAGAGACTGGACAACGTGCCCTGAAAGAAGCAGGTCTTTTTGAAGAATTCAAGAAACATGCGAGATACGATGACGCCGTCCTCACGCTTGCCAACCAGCAGGGCGAGAGAGTCTTTCAGGCCGGCCAAGGGCGTGATGCGCCGGAAATCGATCGCGTTGCGCTACGCCAGATTTTGCTGGATTCGATCCCGAAAGACAAGATTCGATGGGGCCACCTTCTCAAGGGCACGACGCAGGATGAAGATGGCCATCATATTCTCCAATTCATGGATGGGGCTTCGGCCTCCGGGTTCAAACTTGTCATTGGCGCAGATGGTGCTTGGAGTAAAGTGCGGCCTTCGGTAAGATTGTTCTGCTTCGGCTCCGCTTTGGGCGTTGAGCATGCACTCCATGTGCTGACAGCAACATCAACCTTAGGTAACAGAGGCCAAGCCATTGTACTCGGGCAACCATTATATCGAATCAAGAATAAGCCCCAATAGCCCTTACTATTCGACGATGGTTTCAAAAGTAGGCGCAGGCACCTTGATGTGCTTGGGCTCTTCGAAGGAAATCGTCACTCAACGACAGGGAGATGGATCTTACAGAATCTATCTTGGGATAACTGTGCCCGAAGACTTTGTACGAGGTGGCACTGTCAACCTGACGGATACTGAATCCACACGCCGCCTATTCCTCTCTTCGGCATTCTTTGGCGACTGGGCGGATGACCTCAAAGACCTGATTCGGTATTCGGACGACTTCCGCAGTTGGCCGCTTTACTACATGGACCCTGAAGCGGTTAGCTGGAAGACTGTCCCTGGCCTCACATTGGCTGGAGACGCTGCGCACGTCGCTGTTCCGAACGGCGAGGGTGTCAACTGTGCCATGGCAGATGCGCTTGTACTTGCCTCCAAGCTTGAGGCATACGGCACAGAGAACTTGGATCGCGCTGTTGCAGAGTATGAGGATGACATGTTCCGTCGTGGAGCTGAACATATAAGGGATGGTCAGAAAATGGCGGCTCTTATTCGACACGAAGATGGTCCCGCTGCACTGATCTCATTCTTCAATGAGGTGATGGCGAGTGCAGCGGCCCAGGCTCCATGAGCGAGGGCTCGTTGGATAGCCGTCTGAACATTTATCGGGGTAATGGGAAGCACAGAATACGTAAGATAGGTCACTAAGTTCACGAGTAGGTAGAATAGTGTGAATACCTATAGAGGTATATAAGCTAGGACATACCAGGATTATTGAATACATACGCATCTGGACATGTTAAAACAGGCATGCATCATACGCTGACTTTCATCCCAGTTATTGTCTCTGGTGTGTTTTGTGAGTATATCAGCATTGGGTTTCACGCCTTTCCAACTCATCAATCATGCTCTCAGAATTGCTGTGCTATGTCATGGCCCGTCCAGGATATCCTACAATATGGCATCTCGGCATCACGATGATACCAGTTAAAGGCAGATCTTTATTGGCCAGTCTAATATCACCTATATCGAGGAGTCCGCCAGCTCCAACAGCCTGCATTTGTGTTCACTCTAGATATGAAGAGGCTGGTTCTTGGTATGAGCTCTCGTAAATCATCAGGGCCACCTAGGGTCCCAAACGTATGATATCTTTGCTTCAGAACCTATACAGTTGAGAGAGTTGTCCAAAAAGGTAGCGGTGACTCGTGGTAATTTACGCGTTCAGACCTTTGCACTATGACTTCAGCCATAGTAAGGGCTGATTCTGAGTTGATGGAGGCTTGGTGGAGATGAAGGCGCCTACAGCACTCCCTCACTGTGGATGAGGCATCTCATCATTAAAGACAGTGATAGCATGACCTTTACACTTCGAATTACCCTTGCAGCCATCCCGTGGTCGCCTCAGAGCTTGAGAATGGCCGCATAAGGCGCATATGCCGCCAGCTCAGAGTAGTACCTATATACTGAACTGGTTTGATCTAGGTTGCTTCCATATACGATGTGATGCCGGCTATTACCCCAACTATACATCACATGTTTACGCCGGGAACGCACCATCGATTGCCGGCATCAGGTCTCAGGCGGTTAAAAGGGAAAATGATAATCATGTGATCTGAAGCGAGGAACTATTCCTTCTTCTCGGCATTGGTACGCAACGCTATGGTCGGGAATATGCCTGCAATTACCAGTTCCCAGATATCAACCGTCGGGTGTGGGCATTGTCTTCTTCTGTAGTTGTTTTGACACCCTCGAAGGTTATGCTTCTCTCAACATACACCGCCATATAGCCCAGTTTTGAGAGCAGCTACATGAAAAAGAGCATTTCCACGTTTGAGACGTCGACCAGGCCATAAACACCGAACAATAGTTCAACGCCGTTCTTGATGTTCAATCAAATCGAAAGTCGAGGCAATCGGGAGACCAATTACACGGCTTTAGAGGCGCCTTTTATAACCGAGCATTGAGCACTCATTGGTTCGCGATACATCTGCCAAATTTGTTTGTATGGTGCTAGTGATGGCCTCCAGTTACTTGTCAGCGGCATCACTAGTGGCTGGGATGTGTCCTTCACCGAACAGACACCTCGTCGCATGCCCTGGCTCGTTACAATGAAGGGATACTCGCTACTCAAAATCATCGTATACCAGGGGTATATTTTTTTTCTCCTTCTCCACACAAAACCTTGCGTACCCCGCGTTTTGCTTAAATACTACGCCGGATTCTGCGAATGATCCGGTGTCAGCATCCCACGGCAACCCCTACATTGGAACCCATGTTTATGGACGCTGTACTCTTCCGAAGCCTGAAGACAACTAATTTGGCCTGAGCTGTCGAAGAGGATGGTGTACCTTGGCTTAAGAGGCAAGAATCTTCTTGCTGGAATTACTATTTCCAGCGGTTTGGGTTTCATCCTCTTTGGTACGCGTTTATACGTCTTTACCCCGACAACTCGGGAGGATCACACCACCACCCGATCTTACGGTGAGGCTGATACTCTCTGTCTTTCTAGGCTATGACAACGGTGTCATTGGTGGGCTTCTTACAGCTCCTGATTTTGAATCAACATTCAGACTCAACGCAACGCTCCAAGGAGTGGTCACCTCATTATTTGAGCTTGGATGTTTCTTTGGCTCACTCGTCACCGCAGCTGCAGGTGGCCGACTCGGCCGTCGAACTCTCGCGCATTATGGAACACTCGCCATTAGCATCGGTGCTCTTCTCCAGGCCTCTAGTTTCTCTATTGGCCAATTGATGGTCGGCCGCATTGTCGCTGGTATTGGGCTCGGCCTCATATCGAGCAACATTGCCATATGGCAGTCTGAAACGGCCCCGGCGAAAGTGCGTGGCACTTTGGTTGCTTGTTCTCTCAGTTTCCTCATCATCGGCCAGCTTCTGGCAAATCTGATCGACTATGGCATGAACAGTTACTCTGGCCCTATCACTTGGCGATTCCCAATCGCCTTCCAGGCAGTAGTGGCACTTTTGATGAGCGCTATCTTGTGTTTTATGCCAGAATGTAAGCCTAACGGTTTGCTAGGAGTGGTTTGGTTGAAGAAGCTGACAGTTCCAACATACAGCTCCTCGGTATCTCATGATGAAAGATCGTATCGAAGAAACCGCGTCCGTCCTCCAAGCCTTGAAAGACACCACGGACGGAGAGGCGGTGGCCGCTGAGATTGCAGAGATAAAAGAAGCCCTTATGCTCGAACTCAACTCCCAAAAGAGCTGGTCCCATCTTTTCAGGAGCGACAGGGTCAAATCACGCCGGCGTGTTATCATTGCCTGCCTCGTCAACTTGATGCAAGATCTTAGCGGAAGCACTCCGATAGCCTATTACACTACTTTCATGTAAGTCAAACTTTAGCCAAGTATCGTCTATACAATACCCGCTTGTTACATGTTGCTTATAATCTTATTAGTTTCCAGAACCCGGTTGGCTTCTCCCGACATTTGTCTTTGCTCATGTCCATCTTCCTGCAGCTGTGGTTTCTACTGGCTTCAACCCTCACTTGGTGGCTAATTGAGCGTGTTGGGCGTCGAAGGCTATTCATGCTCTCTGCATGCTGCATGGGTATTGTGATGGCAGTTGTTGCCGCAATGCTTGCCCTCAATACGAAAACTTCGGGTATTGTGGCAGTGGTTATGATCTTCGCATATCAAGCGTTTTTCACTTGGGGCTTTATGGGCGGTGTATGGGTAGGTAAAACTCGAAATCTGGAAGATTGTCTTAGGGCGACCAAAGGGATAACAGTGATTTGATCTAGGCCTATGGACCAGAGATTCTGCCGCTCGAGTATCGATCAAAAGGGATGGGCCTTGCCACTGCCACACTTTGGCTTTTCTCCTTTGTCATGGTGGAAATTGTCCCATCAAGCATAGCCAACATCGGATGGCAGACATACATTATCTTCGCTGTTTTCAACTTCTCGTTCATCCCAATCATCTACCTGTTCTTTCCTGAGACCAAGAGGCTTAGCCTAGAGCTGGTTGATCTCGCTTTCATGGATGGCACCATGTCCCCAGTCAAACGTGCCAAGGAACTGCACAAGATTCTCGCTTCTGGCGAAGAGTTGACGCTCAGAACCGAGGTCGGGGCAAAGACTCTTGACTTTGTGCCTGTAGAAGAAAAGTCTCCATGATCAGGAGCCAAGAAATGGCACAAAATTCTGGATCTGAACCTTTTCTCCAAATTCCGCGTTCTATATGGGCTGCACAGCCTCAGTGCCGACGTCAAATTGCAAGTAAATCCTCTTGGCAGTGAGAGCCGCAACTATATCCTCGCTTGTAGGTCCTCGGCGCTGACAGGCCTGCATAGAATGAGGGCGATGTTACTCTTACCAAGGAAGGACAGATGAATGCCTAACCAGATTCTATAGCCATGGTCACTATATGCTTAGCCATATTCACTCCATGCTTAATATGGTGATTCGGCTTGTAGTTGAGTCAGCGCTTTGGCTAGGCCATGAGATCAAACTGCACTCTGACCTGTATTCATTATTACCTATCTGGCATGGTTTATTTTTGCAAGAAAGGCGCTGCAGATCAACGGAAAAGCAAATCGACGGAAAAGCAACAAGCAGGTCAACAGCGCTCGTATGTTCCGTCGGGACAAATTCATAGTCCCAATCGGGCATTTCAGGTGGTCTACCCCGGATCTTCACCAATCCCGCGCTCTTACTCTTGCAGATCCGCACATGTCCTCTACCTGGTATAAGAAGGAACCGATCACCCAGTTTGTGGCTTTTATCTCCTATATGCTGTATCGTCACACGTGAGCTACGAGAGCAGGGCCGCCAGTATGCGTTCTTTGGTTATACTTGGCATCTTTGCCAAAGCTCTAACCGTTGTTGCGTCACCAGCTCGGGAACAAGACCTTTCAACCTATGTGAACCCCTTCATTGGCACAGCGGGACCTGATGGAACCGGCGCAAACTCTGGAGATACGTTCCCCGGTGTCTCTGTGCCATTTGGCGTCGTGAAAATTGGCCCAGACACTACGGAGATGAACCCAAGCACAAACGCTTTTGCTGGATATACGCCTGATGGAAACGGTACTAGAACATCTACATCTGGTTCCCTCTCGAGTAACAGTGTAGCTAATGATGGGCACTCGTAGTCACTGCATTCACCTGCTTCCATGAGTGTGGCATTGGTGGAGCCTCGAAGTACGGTGTTGTCGGACACCTGCCGCTTACAACTCTCCACGGAGTCAATGTCCTCGACAATTCCACATACCAGCAACCTCGTGTGGCAATGGACAGAGCTTCAGTTGGGTATTATCGCTCCGACTTGGCAAACGGTGTCAAGGTAGAGCTCACTGCATCCAATCATGCAGGATTCATTCAGTACACTTATCCAGAAGACGCTGAGCGCATCGTCCTCTTCGATGTGTCGCACAACTTGCCCTCTTTGGCCGAATTCGTCAAGTCCCAGTCATACAGCAATGGTCATGTTGAGGTCAAGAACAAAGGTCGGAGAGTACAGGGCTGGGGGGTTTGGAGAGGCGGCTGGGGAGGCACAGGCATCAATTGGGGAGTCGGTAAGTTCACAGGCCAAGCCGATAGAGGTGCAAATAGTGCTGACAGTATCATGACCAGGGTCTGATTACAAGATTTACTTTTGCAACGATTTCGACTCTGCCCCTTCAACCTGGCAATACTTTTCCGGGCCGTGGAATGCTCCAGATCACCCCCCTAGTCCTTCAACGCCAGTGACCTGGGGCAACGCAACTACAAATCCAAACGGCGTCCTAGGAGGGCCGGATGGTGACGAGTCCGGCGATAGAGTTGGCGCCTTATTCATGTTTCCATCTAAGACGAAGGTTATCAAGTCCAAGATTGGGGTGTCGTTCCTTTCCGTTGAGAAGGCCTGTTCGTTTCAGAGCGAGATCCCGACTTGGACGATGAATAAGACTGTCGAGGCGACCAAGAGGCTGTGGAGTGAGGAGGTCTTCAGCAAAATCTCCATTCATGAGCCCGTTAAGAATGAATCACGCCTGACTCTCTTTTACTCTGCGTTGTACCGCATGCATCAGATGCCGTCTGATCGGACGGGCGAGAATCCGGACTGGACATCCACCGAGCCATATTACGATGATTACTACACCCTTTGGGACACGTTCCGCTGCCTCAATAGCTTCTATCTTCTGATCCAGCCGCAGCGAGGTATCGACATGGTCCGTTCACTGATTGACATTTGGAGGCATGTCGGATATATGCCAGACGGCCGCAGTGGGAATCACAATGGCAAGGTGCAAGGCGGTAGCAATGCCGATAATGTGTTGGCTGACGCGTATGTGAAGGGCTATACAGGCGGTATCAACTGGAAAGATGGATACAGGGCTGTATGGACCGACGCAGAAGTTGTTCCGCCCCCCAACAATGACCCGGAAGACTCAACCTGTACGGATAATCAGGGTCGATGTGGGCTCCCGGATTGGATCAGACTGGGATATGTGTCGACAACGTTCTCATCGAGTATCAGTCGCACAGTCGAATATTCTCTCAATGACTTTGCCGTGAGTCAAATAGCAAAGGGTATTGCGCCGCATGACTATCAGAAGTATTTGAAAAGATCGAGGTGAGTAGAATTTGTCGAACGAGAGGCTATGCCAATGACCGTCCACTGACAGACATCTTGAAGCAATTGGAAAAACCTCTGGAACCCGGAAATTAACCAGTATAACACGTCAGGCTTCCTCGGTCCTCGTAGCCCCGATGGAACAAAGATTACTATTGGCCCACAAGACACGTCTTTCACGACTGAAGGACTGCCCTGGGGTATGTGACAAAGACTTTTGCATTGCCTGTATTCTGACTTGTCGTACAGAGTACACTTGGACCATACCATTTGACATGCAAGGGCTGATCGAACAAATGGGTGGTATTGAGGCAACTGAGAGGCGACTGGACCTCATGTTCGTCCCCAAGCTGCGAACAGTGGACCTGGGTGTGGGAGTTGCATCAGGAACAACACTCTTCAATCCAGGTAGGCATGAAGCTCAATGAGTTTATCTGTTCGGTCAATCACTCATAACGGGTCTACATATAGGCAACGAACCCAGCTTTGGCACTCCCTTCCTGTACAACTACTTGCCGGGACGCCAATGGAAAGCTGTGAACCAGTCCCGCGTCAATATTGACGGTAACTACTTCACTGGAGCAAACGGTCTTCCTGGGAATAGTGACGCTGGCGCCATGGACAGTTGGATGCTATGGCAAATGCTTGGCCTATACCCGGTGGTCACACAACCGGTGTATCTGATTCTCGCGCCGTGGTTCGAGGATATATCGATTTCCGTCAGCGGTTCTCATACCCTTCGTATCAAAGCACGGGGATTGTCCAACGACAGCTTCTTCGTCCAGAGTTTGAAGGTGAATGGGAAACCTTGGAACAAGAGCTGGCTGGAGCATAGTGACATCGCGAACGGTGGACTTTTGGAATTTGTTCTGGGCCCTGAACCAAAGTCGTGGGATACTGGAGATGTTCCACCGAGCCCAGGACATCATTAGTGAGACTCGTTCTTGGTCTGCATCTAGTGGCGTTCCTAGGAGCCGCAGCAGTTCAGAAGGCATCACCAGCAACTTCGCCTAAACCTCTATGAACGCCTTGAGCCGGCATGAGTATTCTTTGGTATTTATCACTATTTTCGGAACACCCCATAGCCTAAGTAATTCTCGCAAACCATGCCTAAGCTAAGGATCGATTGATTGTATACTTTCTAAGACAAGGACTTGTGATCGGCCGCATTATCTAGAGACACGATAAAAGCCCGCAACCTCTCGTTAAGAGGCAATCCCTCATCGACCCATGCGTAAGTATCTCTATAGCGGATAGAGTACTGGATTGCCAAAGGCTGCATAACCTCCTTTTCAATCCGCTTAAGGCGAGAGGCCGCCCAGTCACTTGAGAACCTCGACCACTGGCCCTTGAAAAACTGCTCGATGATTCTCCTGAACTTGAACAGGATCTCGGGCAAAGGACTCGTCGAGAGAGGCGCGACTGGAAACGCCAACCGACCCCTAGTAAGACAGTTATTAATGAATCAACGCTGTTGACTGGCATTTTCAATCTTACTGTAAAGGGTCGGCCAGAATCTTGCAAAATCAAAGAGGTATTGCGCGAAAGTATCTCCGTCCTGGTCGACCTGGTCATCCAAATCAACAAGCTGGAGGAGTTCTTCATCATGCTAGCCAATGCCATCGATAACATTATACAGCCGCGAGCTGAGACCTTCAAACGCGAGATGAGCAAACTCGGGGGCCGCGCGCGGAAAACCGGCACTATCAACCCGGACGACATCACCAAGCAGACGATATATACATCGACCCTACAGCTCAAATGCTACTATGGCGTTCTACATGACATCTCGGGGATGTATACCTACGTGCACAATCAATATATCACTACAGGTATTGACTTGTGCTACCGCCTCACCAAGGGCACAGCGAGGAACAACCCCATGCCCGAGCTGCAGCATCAGCTGGCTAATTATTCGGAAACATCGGCCAAGGCGATCAAGGACCTGGCTACTCAAAAGCAGGAGGAGGTTCGTCGCTCTCTAAGGCTCCGCGCTCTCAAGGCCCTAGAGCAGACACAGGCAATTGAGAGCGAGGTCGTCAAGAGAGGCATCCCGATTGATCAGTCTGCCAAGGCTGCTATCAAAGAAGGCGGGGAAGAGCACAATGCCGATGCGGAGAGCATAGTGAATAACGATGTGGGTTTGACGGCTTCGGAACAGATAGACTGTTCATCCTATTAGGATTTGATATTTGTAGGGCTATCCCTCTCAAGGGCTGGGCAGTTTTGTAGTTGGACAATGGATAGCAGAAACAAATTGAAGTTGAAATATTGCAAACATGCATAGATGATCGCAGGCTTTTTGGGAGATCCAAGCATTCCCCTAGCACAAGAGAAATGTTGCCACAGGAGTAATATCCAGCAAGTCGAAAAAAATGTTAATCGATCCACATCAAACCCAAACACAATGCTCTTGGAGCCATCCTGTCATGTTAGATAGATGGATCTTCGAGAGAATTGTTAGTGAAGAAAACGAGATGCTGGTGAATCGCTTCTTCGTTCGAGTCGCTGACAGTTGGTTCTTAACCAACGTCCAGCGGTTTTCTGGTGCTAATCTAAGTGGTTCGGATCTAAGGCAACGAGGTGGTGTTTTTGTCTTCATCGCCAGCCAAATTAGAAGCATAAGCGCGAGATACAGACAACATGGTAACACCAGTCTCAACGGAAAATATGGGATGGGAGGTTGGCGCTGGTTGTACATCTTTTGTAAGCCAATCCTGCCCTCTCTGGAATCTTGTAAGCTGATCGAGAACTGTCAGCCAAAAGCATTCGCCTGTACTGTGCCTATTGCTATCCTTGGCTTCGTTTTGCTTCCCAGCAATTCCGATGCCTGCAGGCCTTCTATTCTCACAGAAATTGAGCTGCCACTGGCCAGGGAGCGGATGGCAGCTGAACATCGTGAGACAGGGAAGCCAATCAAGCTAGGAGTGATAAAGAATTAAGATTGTCCCCGCCAGCTGGCCCTACTGGGTCTTGGTGTCTTTTGCATCTATCTTCTCACGAGTCGACGGCATCTTTCCTCAGATCGCAGTCTCCCTCTGTTGCTCGAAGGCGAGTGATGCCACGTTGGTGACTCAACACCATCCATAATCACCATCTTGCCCACGGTGACCACTGCGTCTATTATCGTTCGTGGGGTACTGTTAGGCTACAAAGCCAAATTCTTGCTATTTCACATCATACCTAGGTAGGCCTGATTAACATCTTAGGAGCTGTAGCGCTGGCCATCTGGGATGTATCCAAGAGGCTTGAGAATTATTTTTTTTTTGACCTTTCTTTCAACTCGGGCTTGCGGACGGAATCGCCGCCCTGATATAGACCCGGGACAAGGAGATTTCGAGGAGCACGCGATTGTGCTGAACAGCATCGATACCATTGGAAACGCATTCAAGGTATGGCTCCCGCCGTTGTAGGTGAGCTTCTCGATGTGTTACACGTATTTTGGTCCGCATATTGTCCGATCTCCTTGTCAAAACTGTATGGAAGACTTCAGACGCACCGCACAACCTGATCGGGTGCAGCTGAACAATTGCGCTTGACGTATGCATGATCACCATGCTCTTTGTGCCGAGGTCCTTCTGGAACCGCGAGAAGAGGCCATTGGTGTCCCATAAGACACATCCAGCGACATATAGACAGAAGCATCATACAGACGACATGGTCATATTTTTTCTGTATTGAAACCTTTTTTTATCAAGGCTCCAAGTCGTAACCCTCAGTTCCCTCATCCTCTCTCTTGATCAACGGTCGAAGATTGTCAAGCTTGACGCCCTCCATCGCCCGCACGTTCAGTGGCTGCATTGCCATGTTTTTGTGATACACTGACAATGCTACCTCTTTCCTCTGTGGTGGGAGCTTGTCAAAGACGCTCATTGGGGGGCCATAAACGTTGCTGAACACGTGGACACCGCAGATCTTGCAGAACGTGGAACCGGTGAATCTGCGTCCTGTGAGGTACTCGAAAACCCGATCTCGACCATATACTGTCACATTGTCTTTGGATGGATAAGTACCAATATATGCAATCTATATGGCAACCATCATTAGTAAAGCACAGTTCTAATGATTCAGACTACCACCTCAGGTTATCGGTTAACATACTCTCGCGCATTTGCTGCAGTTGTCTTCCTTCAGCTCTTCGTTCTCCAGTGGAACCGCAAGAGTGGCTCGAACATCACCACAGTGGCATGAGAAGAGAGATTTTGCAGTTGCCTCAGCAGATTCTTGCGACGATGTTTCGATCGACCTAGTATCGCCTTTGGCCTCAATGACGCGCAAAGCAGGCCTGCGGCATCATCAGTATGGAGGCTTCACCTGGAGACTTTGATTGATCAAGCTCACTCAAGATTAAATGGGTTGACGTATGGTTCCCGCAGTGTTCGGATGTTGACCAGAAACTTCTCTCTCAAAGCCCCGGTGAGATGCACACCCTCAACTCCACTACCGCAGTAACCACAGAACTATATCGCCAATAAGCAGTCGATCAAATACTGACATCCTATTTACAAATGAAAAACGCTGCAAAATAGGCAAGTCTACATGACCTACTCTGTCTTTCAGGGTGGACGATTGATATTCCACAAGGCAACCCTCGTCTTTCACAACCGTAAACGAGCCCTCTGCCGGAAGAAGCCACAGGTATCCCTTCTTCGCGCAGAGGCTACAAGTGCAAGAGATTGCCGAATCGATCCTTGGCGCTGAGACTTGGAAGCGATAACGGCCACAATGGCAGTTGCCATGATACAGAACGTCATCCACGAGGGACATGATGTGTCAATCTGTAGATAATTCACAGGTTCTCGCATTTGGGAGACGTTCGGAGAGGGGTAAACCGTCAGCTTGTCTCGATGGGAGATTGGGGCTTGGTCTCGCGACTAGGACACAATAGGAATCCAGCGAAATCCTTCGTACTCTTTATAGAATAGCAAGCTGGAATATCATAACCGACGAGCTGTATCTGCATTTGCATGTCATGAGACAAGCCTCCAGGATAATGAACCAAGCCCGCTAATGATGACCCCGGATGAACCTGATTGACGCTGGTTGCTGATATTCCTTCCCCATGACTAAAGTAAGGTGAGTGGGGGTTCGGCTTCTCCGCAGACCGGAGGAATCCGCCTTGCAACTCAATCTCGAAGCCTTCTCTCCTCTACTATTTATCTTGATAAGTGCTCCGACTTGATCTCATCCAAATTTCTTAGAATCTCTGTTAGGACGCAAGGCTTCAACGTTTGAGGTGAGCTGCATGCATATCACCAGTCATGGCAACCGATATCCTTTTCGAATCACCAACCATCATCACCGGCGACGAGTCCGCCGAGCCGTTTGTTGCCGACGTGTTGGTCTCGGGAGGCCTAGTAGCCAGGATTGGGGCTCCAGGCTCGATAGACGTTCCCTCGACTACTCGCCGGATCAGCGCAAAGGGTCATGTTCTGTCCCCAGGCTTCATCGACATGCACGCGCATTCCGATCTCTATCTTCTCACGCATCCAGACCATGAAGCAAAAATAACCCAAGGTTGCACGGTAGGCTTGTTCCCATAGGAGCTGGCTGGTGTAACCCCCCAATCCCGATCGCCCCCACGGAGAGGGACGGAGCTCCGACGCTTCCATCGTCACCAGGAAAGGCGGGGGGGGGGGGGGGGGGGGGGGGCTTTTCCCGGCATCTGCACTCCGTCCCTCTTGTACAAAGACGCTGCAGATGCGGTGGCCAGGTTGTGGGATTTGATGGCTAACCATGATACAACATGACAGACTGAAGTTGTTGGGCAAGATGGCATCTCTTATTCACCAATCCGCAACCTCGACCAACTCAGAGCCATTCGGGAGCAGATTGCCGGCTGGAACGGCAACCCCACTGACGAAGAATGTCGGACAACACTCAGCGGCGTGGGAATGTTTGAATGGAAGACTGTGGGCGAGTACCTCGACTGCTTGGAGCGCAACAAAACGGCGACAAACGTTGCCACGCTGGTGCCGCAGGGCAATCTGAGGTTACTCGCATGTGGTCCTTATGACACGCCTGCATCGCCAGAGGAGATCCAGGATCAAATTCAGCTGTTACGAGAGGCAATGGCCCAAGGCGCCGTCGGCATGTCCAGGTAACCATTCCGTATCGCACAACAGGAGACAGGGAGACATATCTTCTGACTGTTGCTAGTGGTCTCACTTATACCCCCGGCATGTACGCCTCTACGTCAGAGCTGGCGTCACTCTGCGAGGCACTGGCGAAAGAATTCCCGGGTGCCTTCTACGCGCCTCACCATCGCAGCTATGGATTCCAGGCCATTGAAAGCTATGCTGAAATGCTAGGCCTGGGCGAGTCGACGGGCTGTCCCATCCGTACGTCTCCCTCCACCCCTTAATCACCAAGATGTGCTAGAGTGCTCAAATCGACGTCAACAGACCTCACGCACGCGACTCTGAACTTTTCGGAAAACAAAGGCAAGGCCCCTGTCCTCATATCCATGATTGATAAATCTATCGAAAAGGGGATCGACGTAACGCTCGACACGTACCCCTATCTTCCCGGTAGCACGACTCTGGCCGCTCTGCTACCGAGCTGGGCATCATCAGGCGGTCCGTCAGAAACACTGAAGCGGCTAGAAGACGCAGAGACTAGAGACAAAATCCGCGAAGCCGTCGAAGTCACTGGATGCGACGGTGGCCACGGCATCCCGACAAATTGGGAAGAGATCCAGATCGGCGCCACCAGCGATCCATCTCTGGCTTCGTATTCCGGGCGCAGAGTGGCCGAGATCGCCCAGTCGCAGGGAAAGCCGGCGATCGAAGTGTTCTTCGAGCTGCTTCAGAAGGACAAGCTCGCGACGAGCATCATCATGCATGTTGGCAACGAGGAGAATGTGCAGCTGATCATGCAGCATCGCGTGCACATGGCGGGCAGCGATGCGATTTTGCATGGCAAGACGCTCCACCCACGAGCGTACGGAACGTTTCCTCGATATCTTGGTGAGTTGCGCCCACATTCTTTGTGCGTATCGAAGCTAACCATTACATGGAAGGCCATTACTCACGCGATCTGTCTCTGATCCCTCTCCCTGCCATGGTCGCTCATCTCACGTCTCGCCCAGCGAAGCGACTCTCTGTGTACCCTTTCCGGGGCCTTATCGCCGAAGGTTCGGCTGCTGACCTGGTGCTCTTCGACCCGGAGACCATCAAAGACATGGCAACCTACGAAGAGCCAAAGCTTCCAAGCAAGGGCATTAGATTCGTCCTGGTGAACGGTCATGTGGCACTGGACGAGGGCAAGATGACTGGCGCACGAGGTGGCAAGACGCTGAGAAGAGGTATAGACGGGAAAGTCAAGGCCAGAGATGAGTAGTCGATGCATAATCGTGTTTTCAAGATGACTGGCAATGTGCTCAAGAGAGTGTGACAGCATAACACATTGTCATTTTGTACGGAAGTGATCTCTGAAACACATCTGCACCACGTTTGTGAGGCGCGGGATCCGACATAAAGATTGAACCGGGGCTGTGCAAACAACAGCCTCGGCGGCTCCCATCCTCCCGGTTTCAATCAATATCAACGTTTAACCAAAAACTGCACGAGCCATTCCTAGGATGTCAGAAATCTAATCAGCTCCGCCTGTTGGCGTTCTTCCATGCTCTGTTTCCTTCGTTAGGTTTAGGGTCCTCAACTGGTCCCATTCTAGTTCTTGGTCCCGTCACTTACGCTGCTTTTGAGAAGAGGATTGCCTGTACCATGTTTTGTTGGCACATTGCGACCCAGCCGCTACATTCTCTATAGCTCCATTGATTGGTTAACAAGCCGCATGGGGTGTAACAAACCAGAGCCCAGAGCCGTGCTTGTTGGTTCCCAAGTGCTGTGCTAGTGAGTCTGGTTAAAGTCGGCCCCCCGCGTGGCGGTTCTCAGCATACTAACGGTTTGATACTGCAGCCTTGGGGAAGCTATTTTTAAACTCTTCCCTGTTCCTGAATCCGTTCTAAATTAGTCACAGCCATGTTTCGGGACCGAAGCTTTTCAAAGCATTTGGTCCTGGCGAAGCTGGGGGAACAAGGCGCCAAGATCGTTTCTATTGTCAGTCTTCAAGCAACTCGCTGGATATGGTCCTTGGCAATATAAATACTACTACTACCACCCTTACGGATCTGATCTCATTTTCCAACCCATACTTATTCTGGATGCAACCCGATTTATAATGACCAGGTCATCTAATCCATCACTTTAGCCATCTACGCCAGTCAGCACTATACGACTCGCGAGCCTAGGATTTCATCAAGCTTCTTGCATATGGAGAAATTGATATAGCTACAAGCAACAGGGAAACTGATCAACAAATCTTCTTATGGGAGTCGGGGTTTGCGGCTTGCTGCCCTCCGAGAACAACGATCAGCTTCTTCCACAACTTCTTTCTAAAGCTCCATAACACCCCAACAAAACTCAACCCTCATACATTTTGACACGACTTCTTGGGATAGCTTTTCCGCCTCCTCACACTTTGTCTTCCCTATCTTGGACCACATCCATTCGACCTTCACTACCATGCCTTCTTCATCCCTCACCTTCCGCCGACGCGATCCAGTTGCAGGAGCAACCCCAGCTCCCAGCTTCAACGACATCATCTTCCCCAAGATCTACGAAGAAGCCTGGGGTGCTTCCAATGGCAACATCGCAGATGATCGATCTGAATTCGACCGGGCACGCATCTTTTTACTCCGCATGGCCAACATGACGCCTGACCCCAAGATCATCGACGAGTTGCGTACCATTGTCGCAAACCCGCAGCACAGAACTATACAGGCTCTGGCCACGGCCATCCAACATAGGATATTCAAGGACTCGCATGGCTCGTTTGCCACGACGCCGCTAATGCAGGCTGTGCGATTTATGCTGATCAAGGCCCATGTGCCAGAGCTCATCCTGTCAGATCGAACAAGATCCGTTGTCGACTTCTTCTTCGATCCGACACTCGAGAGAAACCTCAGTCCCGCGCCCACGGGGGATGTTTCTGTCTACAAATATCCCGCAGGGAGGCTGAAAGTTGCCATTGTAGGGGGCGGCCCTACAGCTCTGGCATCGGCAATCTCGATTGCAGAGAAAGGCGCCGGCAACGTCGAGGTCCACATGTATGAAAAGCGCTGGATTCAAAAAGTTCTTCCCAATGGCAGCGTCATCGTCGACTACCCTCCTTCCGCCAAGCGAAGAGACCAAGTCGTGACTTTGCAGGACTCCGTCACACGACTTCTCAGCAAGTCATCGTTCCAAGCTCTCTTTGCCGGCAGACCAGAGAGAGTGTGGCCTGGTTCAGCCAACATTCAGATCCGAAAAGTCGAGGACCGCTTCCTCAAGCGCGTGCAAGATCCCGAGTTTCAGGGGCTCATATACCTGCACTGTGAAGGTGTTACCCGAGAGGACCTTGCCAAAGTCGGCGACTTCCATGTACTGCTTGGAGCTGACGGAGCTGCTTCTTGGGTGCGACAATCTTTTTTTCGGGGATATGAGAATGAACGTGGAAGAAGCTATGCGCTGGGTTTGGCCTTTGATCGACCTGCCGGCTTGCCGTGGTCACAGCCTCTCAATGTCTTCCTGACTCTCGGACAGACACGGTATCTGTTGAACGCCAGTGATCATGACGGTCGAGGATACTTGAACATGCAGCTCACCGAGGAGGAATGGCACAAGATGGTGTCGGTCGACGGCCAGCCCGTTCACTTTGGAAGGCCGGGGTGCTTCAGGAAGCCAGACGGGACCATTCCTGAAGGCTTTGAACCGAGTCAGGTCTTTGCACCATCTGAAGACAGGACCAGTCCTTTGTGGATCTCCATCTCCGATGGACTCAAGCTGTTTGGGTTCAAGGAAGAAGAAGTCATCAATGTTGTGCGCATCCCCATTGTCGTCCAAGCCGTCAGAGAAGGCGTGCAGACGCTCCCACCGCAAGACTCCATCAACGTCAAGCGCCCCCATGCCCTCGTTGCCGTAGCTGGCGATGCAGCAATGACTGTGCATTTCTGGCCCGGCCGAGGACTCAACAGCGGCATCAAGGCTGGCCTGGCACTGGGAGATGAGCTTGTTCACGCCCTGAACAATGGCAAGTTCATCGGCATGCCCATCGACGCGCTGAAGGAATACAACGACTTTATTCTCAAGCTTCAAGGCCGAGAACACGACAAGCGAAGCATCCCTATTCTCAATCAGTCCGGCTCCCCCGAGATGCTCGGCTGGCTCCTGCAAAAGGCCAACAGCGTCCCCGAACAAGTAGCCATCGAATGGCTCGTCGGCGCTATGACTCAAATTGCAGACCGACTGCAGCGAAGAGACGACTGGGCGTATGACTTTGTCGAAAACGTTGAGCCTCAACTACGTATTGTGCTGCGGCAGCTTGATACGGTGACGCTGAAGGAAATGGCCGTCAGCTTCCCCTGGCCGACACGGGAAATGGCGGGTGCGGAAGTCCTGCCCATTCGCTCTATGAAGGCTGAGGAAAAGCAGAAGTGGCTCAATAATCTCTGGGGCCTGCTGCGTGATGAAAGAAGCAAAGAAGGGCGCGCCCCTCCCCCTCAGGAACGGGATCGATCTCCGTCAGCAGCGAGATTCGAAGCTCCCAAGGGCGGTAAAGCCAGGCCTGTGTCGCTTTTGCCGCCGAGCACTATCAATGCTCCCAGTGGAGTTGGGTCAGCCAGCTTGAGGAGGAGCAACGCCACTCAAAGTGTGAGACACAGCAGGAATCTCTCGGTGCCTGGAGAGGGAGCATCGAGAGCTCGATCACCGTCACCAGGGGGCGAAGTCAGTATCGGCAGGATGTTGACGGTTCATAAGAAGCCGCCTACTTCAGTCTTGGGGGATGCTTTGTCTTTGGCTCTGTTTCGTGTGGAGGAACAGTAGTTGGCTTTATACTTCTTGAGTCTGTCCTTCGTCTTGTTATCAGTAGCGATCTCTTCATAGAAATGCGATGCCCTCAAGAATTGTGTCCCATCCAAGTCTATGGAGAGCAACTCATGCGCACCATCTCTGGTAACATCATCACTGTGCTATAGCTCTCCAGGTCACAAGGGGAGGCCCGACCAGTTGCGTTGAAGCACACCCGGGATCCTCGGAATCTGCGGAAGCACCATTTATGCACGGATCGGCCCGGCTAACGTGTCAACCTGTAAACGAGAAGCTAATCTGGCATATTTGACGAGATCTGGCGGTGGCGTCATCTCGGTAAACTAGTTGCTGGATTGCAACAAAGCGACACTCTATCCGCGTTGGCGTACTTGGCGCGATTCTTGGCCAGTCGATGCTCGAGCTGGGGACACGGAACGTGATGACCGTTTCATACACCCCATCTCAGCACCGCTGGTCAAATCGGGGACCAGCCTTTGTTGGCTCATCATCGGACAAATCGCGGATTACTTCGTTGGGATCATGTCACATCGCACCCGGGATTTACCGTCTCACACACGTCGGCTGTTCATCAAAGCTGCGAATTTACAGTACAACTACACTTTCTATATCGGTCTCCCACCCTTACTGTCCCTTGGGCACAGTGAGTTCCTCCTCGTGGTAGGTGGGGATAGAGTCAGACTTGCCCATGCCCAGCTGGTTGGTGTCCCAGCCGTTTCTCTCGAGATACTCGCGGAACTTGGCGTCCTCCTCGACAATGGTGTCCTGTCCGACGTTGGGGAGGCAGAAGAAGGCAATGGCGGCAGACAGCAGGCACAACGAAGAGGCGACCCAGAAGGGGTATTGCGCAGCCTTGGTGGGATCGTCACCACCGGCCTTCTCAATGTAGGGGAAGACCCAGGTTCCAACAAAGGCGCCAATTTTGCCAATGGCAGCGGCAATGCCGTAGTAGCGGCCACGGACACCAGTGGCACAGGTCTTGGCGGCCAAGAGACCAATGTTGTTGCCGGGGCCAAGCTCACCAAGACTCAGGAAGATGCCGTAAACGACGGCGAAGGCAGCGATGTGAGTGGAGATTTTGGCGTAGACACCAGCCATGATGTAGCCGATGATGGCCTGCAGGGAAACACCGATGATGAGGGTGTACTTGGGGCCGATGATGTCGCTCACAAAGGCACCAATCATGGTGCCGGGGATGTAGAACAGGTTGATGACGGTGTTCCAGCCAAAGATGGTGGTGAGAGGGGCCGAGTCGGAGTAGATGCCGGCCAGGATGGACGACGAGTAGATGCCGAAGGCATACGTGGAGAACTGAGGGTACATTAGAATCGAAGGGGCAAAAAAACCAAGTGAAAGCAGAGGTTTGGGGCGCTACTAACATCGTACAGGAACCAGATGACGCTGACAGCGAGCAGTCGGAAGCCGTAGTAACGCAGAACGAGCAGATAGGGAGTCTTGTGTCGCATGGAGTTCTTGGAGAACTCTTCGGGCTCCTCTAGCTTGAGACGGAGAACAAAGAGAACCAGGGGGAAGACGACGCCGATTCCGAGCGAGGTTCGCCAGATGGTGCTAAGATGCCCATTGTGGGTAGCAGCAGCGACGACGTCTAGAGCAAAAGCGTGAGCAGTCAATCACAGCAGCAGGCGACAACAGGATACCTACAGGGGACAAAGGCGCCGATGACGAAACCCCAATCAATCATGGTGTTGGTGAAGAGGATGAACCAGCGGTTGCGGGTGCCAGACTTGAGCTCGCCGCTCGTCTCGGCACAGCCAACACTACCAGCGGGATACTCGCCTGTGAAAAGAGTCAGTTAAGTACACTTTTGCGAGGGGGGCGGATGATGGCTAATGCAGCGAACCTCCAATGCCGATACCGACAAAGAACCGCCAGGCAGTCAGCATGTTGAACATGCCAACGGCATCGCCATGGTAGTAGGAGCCAGCAGCCAGGGCTGTAAAGACAACGAGGATAGCGGTGGACACCAGCAGCGAATTGTTGCGAGACCAGCGATCGGCCAGGAAGCCAAACAGCAGCTGTCCAACGACAGTGCCAGCAAAGGCAATGTCGGACACGTACTTGCTGGCGTTGCTGGAGGTGTAGACGGTGCCGTACTGAAGCTTAAGGATTGTGTTGACCGAGCCGATGACGTTGTTCACGTAGCCGTCGGAGAAGAGACCAGCGCCGCAAGCGAAGACGGGCAGAGCAGTCTGGAAGAAGCTCTTGCGGGGAGCGGCCATCTCAATGGCGGGCTCCATTGTTGTTGATGGCAAGCTGACTTCCGAGTGAGGCAAACAGGAGGACGACGGTTTGTCTGTTCACAGCCCGACTCGGCAACGGGACGGGGACGAGAAAGAGGACGGGGACGAAGACGAGGACGTTGGCCGCTGGTGACGGAACCAAAGACAACGTCGAACGAAGGGGTAGCAGCGGCTATTCATATCGATTTGCTCACCGGGGTTTGTGCCACACGATTGTCGCTGGACTTGGGTCATACTACTCGTACGCCGCAGGTCTCCGACTCCAGCCTTTCTCCCCCCCCCCCCCCCCCCATCATGCGATAGTCTGCAGCAACGTGCGTGAAGTGGTATCGAAGCAGCATCAGAATCCACACAGCATGCTGCTGCTAGCACCTACACGCACTAAAGCCAACAGAAACCCATGGCGAAGAGGCTTGCCCGTCAACTCCAGCGGCAAGGCGCTAACTGGTCATGGTAGCTGTGATGCAGTCCTTTGGAGTCCCCATGCCCCCACCCGAGGATCAAAGGTCGACAAGGGCCAGGACGAACCCACCGCAAGCGCCTCATTTGGCAGATGCGAAGAAGAGGCCGGCGGCCGTGTAAAGGTAAGCCCATGTGCGTAATGCTGGGATTCCCAGTGGCTGGGCTGGGGAAGAGAGGGCTGTGGAGGTGGTGGGTTCATTCCATGTCTTTCCAAACTGGGGGCCTCCGTGATATTGTCTCTTTCTCTGCCTCTCGTCGGATTCTCTCTTCTTCCAGGCACGACGAGCCGTGTCCCTTTACCAGATGGCCGGAGTTGGCAGTTGATCTCATGCTCGTTCTGTCGGCTTGTGTTTGCCGGCCTTGGCGGCTTTGGGCTCTCGGCGACATACAGTACCTGCGCCTACGCGGGCTAGCGCTGGTAGCAGCATGTGCATGCCGTCTTTGCCTATTATCATCGGACGCACTATTCAAAGTACCCTGCCTACCTAGGGGCGATAAATCATGGCCATCGCCGCCATCCGCTTATTACCTACCTTACCTTATTATGTAGTGCTCGTAGTCAGCGGCATGGTCCTGGAAATACAAGGACCTGCGCGTCTGTCTGTCGATGTAAGGTAGTAGGTAGTTGTACGACACGTGCGAAGCGCTAACACAGCATCCAGGAGAAAGGTCTGTACAGTATGAGTACCTTATGTCAGTAGTTGTAGGTGGCACAAGCCCAACGAAGGCGGGTGTCTGGGGCCAACATGAACCAAGAGCGCGCGCAAAACCTCTCATCAACAGACACCCCACCAGGCGGCTCAACCACTACATCTCGATCGTTGACGGCCACATCCTACTCTTCTGCCTTCAGCCGCAAGAAGAAGAAAAGAAAAGAAGAAGAAGAAGAAGAGAATGCTTCAGACTAGTGGGATTCAAACAGCAAGCTAGTGCCGCAATTCACCTCGATAACGAACTCATTCCGGCGCCGTCGCACACGTGCGGCCAGATCGTGGCGCCAGCTGCGAGGCTGTTTTCGGCCGAGCACTCGGGAGGGCCGCCTGAAAGGACACTGTCGCGATCGTCAAGAGGCCGAAAGCGTTGACCGAGCAGCCGCAGGAAAGGTGAAGCTGTCGACAGCCGCGATGCACGTGGAGGGACTGAATCGTTGGTTGTTGCGGCAAGATGGGTCGGGGTGGCCGATGTCAGCGCTATCGAGACGCTCTTGGACAGGCAAAGGCTTCCATGACAGGGACTATCACCACACCACACCAACAAGCCCACGAGGAGTTGCACCGGCTTGAGGCCGCTACTAAACAGCAGTCAACTCACAACCAGGCCTGCGGCAGAGCGCTAACCCGGATTTCAAAGCGGCTGCTGAGCGCACCGTCGCGAGCCCACACTGCCCACTCACGGACCCAGGCGCAGCGTTGGTTCGATGCGGTAACACGTACTCTCGAAGATACTCTATTCAAACGCCAATTCCATACCTACCTAGTAGTACCTAGGTAAGAGCCCACATGAGAAGTCCCAACAGTCCCAGCGGTCCCAATTGTCAAAGTTTGCATGTGACAGGCGGCCGGCATGTCAGTTCCGGAACTGTGCAGCCGTATCTGTTGAGTGCATTGCCTCATATGAGAAAGGGAGATCTTCAAATGAAAGAAGACGGTTGCGAAACGTTGTCGAGCAATCCAGACACAAGAAACAGCAAAAGGGGGGAGGAAACGAAGAGGCTTCAGTGTTAGGCAATGAATTCCAACTGAAAATGCATGCGACTCTGCAGGGAAACTTCAGATAGACCGGGGGATGAAGGCGACGGTGGGTCGGAGAAAAGTGCCACCGGGCTGCACCGAGCCCCGTGAGGCTGCCGAGGCTCTTGGCCAGTGACATCCTCTGCTACCCTGTCCCTCAACAAGCGACTCCTACCTATGTACCTACCTAGATATTGAGAGCAAGCCCTCGCCGTGTTTTGTTATTTTTTGTTTCTTGTTTTATTCCTGTGTCCGTTTTTGTTCTCAACGGTTGAAGGACGATTTTACCACGCACACACTACCTATGACTGGCCGATGAATCTACTGCTAATGTCTGCGAAAATGGAAGCCATAATAAGCCATGTGGGAACCTCAACTTGATTCTACTGCACATGGACGGCACATGGCCAAACCAGCGAGCCATGTGCCAACGGTCAAGCCTGTGCCTGGCACGTTGTGGGGATCTGCTAGCGATGGACCTGCAGTCCCACCCGCTGTCAGTACACTCTTCAAGTCGCTCCTAAACGCAGCCAAGGCCACCACCACCATCAGCCGCGTCTTCCTTTCATTTTCAAGTGGACCAGCGGCTTTACCTGCTTCACCCGCTCTCCAAACCAGCCGCCAAACCGACTTCGTACCTTGTCAAGCATTGTCCACTCCCTCCCTCTCTCCCTTACCTACGGAACAGACGACGCATCATTAGCTCATCCCTCATCCTGTCACCTCTCCATTGATCCACACGCTGCCGCTCTAGCGCCTCGAGACCGAAAGCTATGAAGCACGCCTAGAGCTGACGACTTTCCTGTGATACTCTGCCATGCCTGGCGCACCAGCATCACCAGCATCATCAACTCCCGCCGTGACTGTTAGTTTCCATCCCGCCTCGTCGCAAATACCTCCTCCTTCTCCTCCTCGTTTCGATGCATCGCGAGAGCATACACCGCCACCCACCCCCCTTCTCCTCGTCTGGCCTGGCCCAACCGCGCGTCATGTCTCTTGTGCACAGACTTGGCTGAGCTGACCCTGCATTTCCTTCTCCGATGCCGTTAGACCACCACCAGCACCAGCAATGACGTCGCTACCTCGAGGTCAAGCCAAGAGCCGGCCAAGAGCGGCTGCTTGACGCGCTTCCTCACCCTCGTCTACGCATCGCTCGCCCGCCGCCTCGACGCCATGAGCAGCTCGGTAAGAGCCGATCTGCTGCGCTTCGTCCGCTGGCTCGACTCGCCGCTGGGCCACGGCGTGCTGAAATGCACCCTTGCCTACACCATCGCCAGCCTCGCGACCTTTCTCACGCCGCTATCCAACTTCCTGGGCACGCTCGACGGAAAGCATGTCGTCGCAACAATCACCGTCTACTTCCACCCGGCGCGGTCGACCGGGTCCATGATCGAGGCCGTGCTCATCGCCGTCGTCGCCATCGCATACGCTGAGCTTGTGTCCATCCTCTCCATGGTCGTCTCGGTCATGGTTGGCTCTGTCCTGGGCCTCGTCACCTTGGCGCATGTGCTGGTCGTCGTCATCTTCATCGGCGGCGGCTTTGGCTTCATGGGCTGGGTCAAGCAGAAGATGGCAAATCCCCTCGTCAACGTTGGCAGTACGTTGGCGTCCCTGGCCATCATCTCGGTGGTTACCAAAGAGAATGCCGTTGTATCGAACGTCTTTTCCAACCAGAAGATTGTTCAAGTCTTCAAGATGCTCATCATGGGAATCACGTCCACGGCTGCCGTCAACGTACTGGTCTGGAGGGTCTCCGCTCGCCAATTGCTAAGGACCTCCATGGCGAAAGCGACCGCGTCGCTAGGAGGCATGCTCGCCGCCATCTCGGCGAGTTTTCTCAAGGGTATCGAGGAGGAGCAATTGTCGGCAGACTTCACGGCTTCTTCGGCCACTTACAATACTGCCTACCCGCAAATGCTCAAGGACCTGCGCGAGGCCAAGTTCGAAGACTACTTTCTTGGTAGGGAGAGGATTTATATGTTGGAGAGATCCACCGTCAAGGCGATTGAAACCCTGGCTCGCTCCATAGGTGGCTTGCGCAGCGCGGCTAACACCCAACTGTCCCTCCTGAGGCTGGCCGAGTCGGACCAAGCACCACAGGCCTTGACCCGATTCCTGACGGTATCGTCACTTGGAGAGTTTGAAGGCATCTCGCCTGGCAGTTCAAGCCCGAGGAGACCTTCCAAGGTGGTGAGCAGACCCGGCTCTCCTGGACAGCCGCCTGATATTTTGACTTCTGACAACGGAGATGGTGGTGGTGACGATGACGGTGCTACGCCGTCGTCTCTCTTCAAGTTGTTTGTCGATGTGATGAGTCCGTCGATGGAGGCTCTCACGCAGAGCCTTGTCGTGATCCTCCGAGAGCCGCCACTGGGGACCGCCCCCAAGGATGAGGTGACCATTAGCGATGAGCTTCGCCAACCGCTCACCGAGGCTTTGTGTCAGTTCAACGAAGCGAGAGCCGATGCCCTCCAGAAGATGTACACGATGATTGAGCGAGAAAATACCACGTCGAGGCGGATACAGGCCGGCTTGGAGGAAGTCGCCGCAGCGTGCGGGCACTTTAGCTTCAGCTTGCAGACGTTTGGTGAGGAGATGCAAAAGTATCTCGACGTCCTTGACGACCTAAAGTATGTCAGCGATCATAGCAAGAGAAGCTGGCGCTGGGTGCTCTGGTGGAGGAAAAACGATGTCGCTGCAGAGGGCCGCAAACTGTCCACGTTGCCGTTCGAATCGTCAGCCGAAGCCGAGAGCCTCATTAAGCCGATCAGAAAGCGTGACGTGCCCAGAGGTATCCCGGACTCCATGGTTCGCCGCAGGGATACGTTCAACTGGCAAGCGGCCCCTAACTCGAGCAGAATACTATCCACAATCTCCCAGTCCATCCTGAAGTTTGCCAGAAAGATTGCCCGAGACGACAGTAAGCAAACAATGGCGACCTACCCGTTGAATCTTGTGCTGTGACCGACATCACTAACCACCTGCTTCTGTGTCATGAATAGTACTCTTCGGAATCAAGGTAGGCATAGGCGCCTCTCTTTGGGCAATGCTTGCCTTTATAGAGGCGACACGAGACTTCTACAACCACTACCGCGGCGAGTGGGGGCTTTTGTCGTTCATGATTGTCTGCTCCATGACTGTTGGCGCTTCCAATACTACGGGTTGGGCCCGGTTCATGGGGACATTCTTCGGTGCCGTCTTTTCCTTGTTCAACTGGACCGTGAGTCAGGGCAACGCCGTTGCGCTCATCTTCCTTGGCTGGCTGGTGAGCTTCTGGAACTTTTACCTCATTGTCGCCCGAGGCAAAGCACCTCTGGGTCGCATGACGATATTGGCGTACAACGTGTCGACGCTGTACGCGTACAGCTTGAGCCAGCGCGTTGACGACGACGACGATGACGAGGGCGGCATCCACCCCATCATGATGAAGATTGTAAAGCATCGAGTGATATCGGTCACGGCCGGTATTCTCTGGGGCCTGATCGTATGCCGGGTCATCTGGCCCATTTCGGCCCGCAAAAAGTTCAAGGAGGGCGTCTCGATGCTGTACCTTCAGATGGGCCTCATTTGGAGGCGAGGTCCCCTCGCTATCTTGCTTCGTAGCGACTGTTCCGAGAGCTACCTCAAATCCGGGGAGCAGGTTGCCATGCAGCGATATGCCAACCGACTGGAGAGCCTCCGGCAGTCGGCTGCGTCCGAGTTCGAGCTCCGTGGGCCGTTCCCTATGGAGACGTATGGTCGCATCATGCGGTGTACGAACCGGATATTGGACAGTTTCTACGCCATGAGCCTTGTAGCGCACCGGAACAGGAATCTCAGCCCGGGCGAGCGAGCGCTGCTGGAGTACACGGCAACAGAGCGGGCCGTTTTGTGCGACCGCATATGCCACGTCTTCCAGGTGCTCGCCAGCTCGATGATGTTGGAGTACCCTCTGACCGATGCGGTCCCCAGCGTCACCGGCATCCGTGATCGGCTGCTCGCCAAGATTTTCCAGTTCCGCAAGGAGCACCCGGTTGAAGCCATGAGAAACCTTGGCTATGCGGGTGAAGGGAGAATCGAGAATGGCGAAAGCAGCCGCGGCGATGCGGCTGCTGTTGTAGGAAGCAATGGTGACGATCACGTCAGGGAAGTCGTGGCTGAAGAGAAGGATTATGCGTTGATCTATGCATACACGCTAGTGACGGGCCAGGTTGCGCAGGAGTTGAAGATTGCCGAGAGAGAGATTGAATCTCTTTTTGGTGTTCTCAACGAAGAGTCACCGCTCCTTGTATAGCAGTGGTATCGCACGGAGGATCAAGGATGGCATAAGATTGGATATTTGCATTCTAGGAACAGAAACACCTTGGTATACATGCATAGCAACAGGGAGTCTTTTCATGATTATAAGCATAATGGGAGTATATCGATACGCTCTGATACAGATGCCAGCTTTAAAGATGCCTCTAGCGTGACCGTGTCTTCTAATTAAGAGCCCGTTCAACTTCAGCATTGGCCTCAACCTCGTCTCGATTTCATTGAGCCGTCTCCTCGGAATCATGCTTCACTGACGCTCCCGCGGCTGAGACCCCAGAGAAGGGACATGTCCCTCGCACTACCTTCGACTTGCTCTCCTCTCCATCAGGCGAGCCGTTGCTATCCGCAGTATCCTTCATATCATCGTCTTCCAGTATCTTCTTGCCATGCAGGTAGCCCTCGCGTTCAATCTCAATGTCGGAGTCGGGGGTCTCGAACTCGGCGCCATCTTTGACGTGCCACTTTGCCATGAGGTCATTTTGGACCCAGATGACCTTGTTGAGAGCCTTGACGAGGGCGATTTTTCTCTGAATGTGCAGTCGCGGGTGGGACAGGATGGCTTCGTTCATGATGTCCTGGATGAAGCCTAGACAGGCGCCCAGGTGGACGTATTCGATGTGTAGAGGGTGTTTCCTCCCGAGCCCGACGTGCATCATCCTACAACCATGATCAGCCCTGTCACATACTAATTTCCGGTCTATGTGGTGTATATATATAGGCTTACCCGACTTTGTCGAGGTACTCCCAAAACTCCATCTTACTTGGGTCCGAACACAGTTTATTCAGATACGCGCGCAAGAACATCTTGCGGTGCAGAATCTGAGGGCTGTTCTCGTCGGGAATGTCATCGAGAGGGCCTTCAAAGGATGTACTTCGTGTGGTGAATGCGCGGGCGGTAATGTCGTATTGGAGGAGTTTCTTGTAAACAATATTTACGACGGCGGGGATGAGGGCTTTGATGTATTTGGAGTCGCTGATGAGGGCGTCAATGTCACCTCCATGGCTTGGATGTTAGTAGATGAATCAGTGGAGGTATTATTCTCTTGTGATCGCTACGTACGACTTGAAAAGTCGAGGAACGAGTGAAGGTATTGAATGCGAACTTCGAGGTTGGTGTAAAGATCCTCGCGCTGGATGTGTTTTATCGGCCTTGCGTTTGGGTTCATGGCGATTTTTGGTGTGATTTTATGTGTATGAAAAGCTTTCTTTTGTTGCCCTCGGTGAACTGCGTGCAGTTGCTGGTTCGATGAACAAACTGCGAGAGCTACAGTTGAAAGGCACCTATTGTAGGGTAAGGCAGAGGAGAAACGCGGAGGTGGTCAATGCGAGGAGACGCGTGAATGTGTTGTTTAATTTGGCTTCTTAATCGTTCTACGCAGCTTCATTTAAAAGGCAGATTGATATGCTTATGTGGTTTCAACATGAGGCAGTAAACAATGATTGTCAAAACAAACCGAGCCATTTTCATCAGCTGCTGGGCTGAATATGCATGATCTTTAAGGTCAGGCCATGTCGGGATCGTAACCGGGAGAAATATGGTACGACGGGTGGGGGGGGATAGGACGATGTGATGTAATATGCTATGCGTAACCAAATATTGGCCGTTGGCTTAGACGTCTTTGTTTTGGAACTGAGACATGATAGTAAAGGAGATTTCTTTGCGTCGAGGGGTCTGCGCGTGGCCTCGAAATAGATTGTTGAGCTGATGTCGTGCATGAGAGAGACGGTGACGAGGCTCTTTTGCCTGGGTGCCTAGGCTACCTATTGGCAGAAAGTGGTGCAGTGATTGTAACAGTGCGGAGGTGATTTATTGTCAGCTTGACCAAGGCTCGATCCGATTACACCAGATGATTTGATGAGCGATATATAAGCATCTTCCGGATCTTTCACTCGCCCGGAAATCACTTGATCCTCAATATAGACATATCATTGAAGCCTGGATGAGTTGGTGTCGTCATATTGTTCAGAATATCGCCGGAACATCATGACGCGAGTCTACTATGGGTGGCTGTGTCAGCTATCGGGGATTCAAGACCGGGCACATGCACCAGCAAACTCGTTGTTACCAATATATTGACGACAAAACCATAAAATTGAGACGTTCATGATATCTTGAAATCCCCTCCCTTCAGCCTTCACTTTATCATCGTTGGACTCGATTCCTTGAACGCCGATGATGCAGAGTTGCGTCTCACCTGCTTCAAGGCGTTAGCTTACCCCATCACTCGCATCCATATCGGCTTCTGCCGGCGATCGGCAAGCTCAATTTATCCAGCATCATTCCTCTCCGCATCTCGAGCTTGCACGGAGCAAATTCCGGGCGTGTACGGGCTTTCGTTACGGCAGAACTGAATCTCTTGGCCTTCAAGTGATAGCGGGAATTAATACAGCGAACAGCCAGGCTGGAAGCAATTTCTCCGGACAGACATATGGCCTCAAACGAGTCACCAGTCACCAGCCCTGATTCAACTCAACTCGGCTCCCAACGCGAGATATCGGACTGTCAATGAAACGTTACGCTGCTCCGCGCCAACACATTCACACTAATCAAGCAGAAGCGGTGCGACGCGAGCCCGGATCGGTGAAGCTGGGAAGCGGCACTTGCTGATCTGCATGGAGCTTTGAGTGACATGGGGAGAGAATCCTACTGCATTGGATCTGCATCCCAAGAGACCCGGAAACTGAACAAGGGACAGAGGGCCGGAATCACTGTTGCGAGGGGCGGGAGACGACGTCTATTTATATTACTTCCATGCGGCTGTCCTGGGATCCGTTGGGCTCGTTAACACCCTCCAACTCGTGTGTGGCCTGATAGCATCCTCTATAACACAAGGTCAGCTCACCTCGGGGTTTCCGCGATGATTTGCAGGGCTATCCTCGCCGCACTGGCCCTTAGCAGCCCGGCCTCCGCTCTGTGGCCGGTGCCGAAGCACTCCTCGACCGGCAACGTCACGCTCTTCATTGACCAGACGGTCCAGGTCACGTACAATGGCGAACAGGTGCGGTGGGCTCTTGGTGCTGATGATGACGCTGGATTCCGGGACTATGCTGAGACCAGGATCGATAACCAACAGGTCGCCTACACGGCCGGCTATGTGCCGCCCAGCGGACCTCACTTCACCAGCCGCGATATCGTCCAGGGCGGGCTCTCGCGCACTTTTGGCGCCATCTTCCAGCAGGGCTTCGTGCCGTGGATGCTGCGGGAGCGAGACTCGGAGTTCGAGCCGGGCCTCGGTGGGTCGCGCATCCGGACGCTGCAGATTATCCAGACGCAACACGACAGCCCCGATACCTTCAAGCCCCTAACCGGCTCTGTGAACGAGTCGTATGCGCTGGACGTCGATGCCAAGGGCCACGCCTCCATCGTTGCGCCGTCGTCAACTGGAATCCTTCGCGGTCTGGAGACGTTTTCGCAGCTCTTCTTCAAGCACAGCTCTGGAACTGCCTGGTATACGCAACTTGCGCCTGTTTCGATCCGCGATGAGCCGGAATATCCTCACCGCGGTCTTCTGCTGGACGTGGGCCGCCACTGGTTCGAGGTCTCTGACATTAAGCGAACGATTGATGCCTTGGCCATGAACAAGATGAATGTGCTGCATCTGCACGCAACTGATACGCAGTCGTGGCCACTGGAGATTCCATCTCTGCCCTTACTGGCCGAGAAGGGCGCCTATCACAAGGGCCTAACTTATTCTCCGAGTGATCTCGCCAGCGTGCAAGAGTACGGTGTCCACCGAGGCGTCCAGGTCATCGTGGAGATTGACATGCCTGGCCACGTTGGCATTGACAAAGCTTATCCCGGTCTGAGCAACGCATACGGCGTGAACCCATGGCAATGGTACTGTGCACAGCCTCCTTGCGGCTCGTTTAAGCTGAACAACACCGATGTCGAGAAGTTCATCGATAAGCTGTTTGACGATTTGCTGCCGCGCTTGTCACCATACTCGGCCTATTTTCACACTGGCGGCGATGAATACAAGGCGAACAACTCGCTGCTCGATCCGGCACTGCGGACAAATGACGTTAAGATCCTTCAGCCGATGTTGCAGCGATTCCTAGATCACACACACAAGAAAGTGCGTGAGTTGGGGCTCGTTCCCATGGTCTGGGAGGAGATGATCCTGGACTGGAACGCGACTCTGGGGAAGGATGTTGTTGCGCAGACGTGGCTCGGTCAAGGAGCGATTCAGAAGCTCGCGGAAGCTGGACACAAAGTGATTGACAGCAGCAACCAGTTCTACGTGAGTGCCCTTTCATCCGCTGTGGGGGTTGACAAATACTAAACGGTTCATTATCAGTATCTTGACTGTGGTCGTGGAGAGTGGCTCGATTTCGCCAACGGCGCCCCCTTCAACAATAACTACCCCTTCCTCGACTGGTGCGACCCGACCAAAAACTGGAAACTCATGTACTCTCACGACCCTACAGACGGTGTATCCGACGACCTCAAAAAGTTCGTCATCGGCGGCGAGGTTGCTGTTTGGACCGAAACCATTGACCCGACTAGTTTGGACACCATCATCTGGCCGCGAGCAGGAGCGGCGGCCGAGATCTGGTGGTCGGGCAAGACGGACGAGCACGGCGCGAATCGATCGCAGATTGACGCCCGGCCGAGACTGTCGGAGCAGCGGGAGAGGATGCTGGCCAGAGGGGTGAGAGGGACGCCGATTACACAGTTGTGGTGCAGTCAGGTTGATGTGCACAACTGCGAGTCCGGGAACTACTGATGAATGTGTTTACAGAAATGTGAATTGTCTGTTAGATCAGGATGGTTACGAGTAATATTTACAAAGTATTCTCCGGATCAGTAATCCGGTATTCTGCTTGGGACGTGTTACTACTCGTTGGTGATAGGAGCCAGCTTCAATTGCCGCCAATTCTACCTACTCGTAGCCAAGATTCCATCTCACTTCACGCATTGAATGTCCACAATATGCAGGGGCACTCCGCCTTATGGAGCAGCGGCTTCGATTCCCGAGAGTTATACGTCATCCAAACGTCCAGTGTTACTATTGTACCAGATCTGGCAACTCTTGCTGATGCTCAGAAAGGGGTAGAGTGGGATCACACCTCTCAAGGTCGGCGAGTTGATGCTCTCCGAAACTCCCGATTCGCGGACTTTTGATCTACAGCGTAACATACCAGACTCTGGGAAGCGTCGGGGCGCACGACCGTGTACTACCGTCTGGCAGTTGAGCTCACTGCAGAAAGACCGAAAAAGTCTCAAAGCTCGTATTCATTGCTCGATGCAGCAGTCTCAATCAGGGGCATGTTGATCTCAGGCACCCGACGGCTTTTAGTTGTTCAGATACAACCCAGTTTCTGTGCTCATTTCTAAATAAAGAGCTGGCTATAAGAGCAAACGCCACCCACCTGACCTGGCACTTGAGTCGATCAACACCACGCAATATCTAGAGTCAGCAGCCAGACACCTTACACATATCAAGTACATTTAGCAAAGATGCATGCGGCCCTCGTGTCACTATCAATCGCGTCTCTTGCCGCAGCTGCTCTACCCGAGGGCGTGGTCGAGGTTCCGCTCCAGCGCATCAAGAATCAGACTGCGTACGGCGTCGAGTTCCAGGTCGGCAATCCGCCCCAAAAGGCTGTCATTTCTGCCGATACAGGCAGTCCGACTTATGCCTTTGAGTCTCCGCGTACGTATCCCCCTCGACTGAACATGGTTTCCATCAATCTATCGCAGCGCCATTAACCTTTGTCTCATATAGGCAACACCGTCTGCCAGCAAGGCCTCTGCTCAGCCTATGGAACCTACGATAACACAACCTCTACCACGTCTAAATGGCTCAGCGACGGCTACTCCGACATGCTCATCGACCACGGCTTCGGCAGTTTTATCAACGACACTCTTCGAATTGGCGGCGTCACCCTCAACGACATGATGTTTGGCGTCGTTGAGCAAAACTTTGCCTCGTTCCCGATCAATACCCAGCAAACCGCTATTTTTGGCCTCGGGGCATTCTGTCAGACGCCTGCGTGCGACACATATTCGACGTTCCTCAACCAGCTATACGAGCACGGTGCGATTGCTCGGCGTGCCTTCAGTGTGTATCTGGGCCCAAACGACCCGGATGCTACGGGGTCGCTGCTTTTCGGGGGGATTGATCTTGCGAAACGCCAGGGCCCGGTCCATAAATTGAAGGTCCTCGATCCTACAGTAACAGCGGCGAATCTCCAGCCCAACTGGGTCAGCCTGTCCAGCATCGAACTCCAGCTTTCCAATGGCACTACGATTACTTCGACGTATGACAACGGGACGTATGCTCTTTGGGACACGGGGTCCCCGGGCTGGTATGTCCAGCAAGACATGTTCGACGCCCTCACCAGCTACTGGGGCCTCACGAATCCCAATCCCAACAATGATATCATCGTTGACTGCAAGTTCCGTGAGCCGTCCGACGACTCGCTTGCCGTGAATATCGCCCCAGGAGTCACCATCAACGTGCCCCTGAGTTCGTTGCCTATTGATAACGGCGACGGCACTTGCACTGCGCGTGTTTCGCCTTGGGGAAGAGTGATGGGCGATACGTTTCTTCGAAATGTCTACTTTACGTTTGACTACGAGGATCTGACAGTTGAATTTGCTTTAGTCAAGTATACCGATGAGACGAACATTGTCAAAATTGAGTAATCAGTCGTCAATGTGGAGGACAAACATGCAAGTATATCATGATTGACGACAGGAAACTACCTAGGTACCTAGAAGATACAATATAGAATTTTATTGTACCTATGTAGATCAATGAGCCACTGGCAACTTTCCTCTTGGCTGTGCATCCCCAAACAAAATATCAACCGCCGCCGAAAACGCTTCGACAGTAGGCTCATACACGGCAATATACGTGCGGATTTCTTCATCATCCAGAAAGTCATAAGGCGCGCACGTTGCGATTGAGATCAATGGCCGCGACCCCCGTCTCTTGGCAACTTCAAGACCAAGCTCCTTCTGGTATTTCGACTCACGGGCGTTGCGAGTGGCTAAGATGACGACGTCGGCCTCGTCAATTTGTTCCCACTGTTCTTCCGTCAAGTTAGAACTGGTGAATCGCACGTCTGACATCTCGGGCGCTCTCTTGCGAATCTGCTCTCCGAAAGTATCGGCAATCCAAGGAACGCGGGTGGGCAAGGTTCCGCTATCGACGGCTCCTCCGATGGGCACGTCGGGCCCGGGAGAGACAAAAGCAATCTTTGCAGTTGCTTTGAGGGGCAAAAGGCCCTCTTGTGCCCGGACAAGCGTCGTCGCGTCTGCGTATACCTGACGGGCGAGCTTCTCTCCCCTCTCGTTAATCGCTTCCAGTGCCTCTGGTGGCTCTGCGTGGAGAGCAATATCCCAGTTCGTGTATCTCTCCTTGAGCTTCCGGAGGCGTTCCAATGACTGGTCCACACGCTCTTGGGACAGCTTTCCACTCTCGATGGCGCCGCAGATGTAGTCGACAGCCGCCGCTTGCACATCAAAAGTATGGCATATCATGACATTATCGACGCCAGCCTGGAATGCCATCAGCGAGCCCTCAACGGTACCGTAAGTGGCGCGGATGCCGTCCATCTCCAGGCAATCTGTCATAATGACTCCTTCATACTTCCACTCGTTTCTCAGGATTCCAATTGTATCTGGCGATAGCGTGGCAGGGAGACCGTCCTTTGCTAGTTGTGGCAGAGAGATGTGAGCAGTCATGACCATCTCAATGTTGTCGGCAACAGCATCGCGGAAGGGGATCAACTCCAGCTTCTCCATATCGGCTCTTGATTTGTTGATGACTGGCAATCCATAGTGAGAGTCAACGGCTGTATCGCCATGACCAGGAAAATGCTTGATGCACGGCACGACCTTATGCTCCCTCAAGCCCTTTGTGCAAGCTGCTGCAAACTTAGACACCGTCTCTGCCTGGTCGCTGGGACTTCGAACGCCAATTACAGGATTAAGTGGCTCTGAGTTGACATCGCCAACAGGCGCATAGTTCATGTTTATACCGAAATACCGCAGCATCTCCGCCGTGGCCTTTGCAACCTCATACGCATACTCTAAGGATCCGGCGGCGCCAAGAGTCATCGGCCCAGGCTGCTGGGAGGCAATGGGCGGCGAAATGCGAGTGACGAGGCCGTTTTCCTGGTCGATTCCGATGAAGAGCGGCTGATTGTGGCCTGCATCTCTGGCAATCTTTTGCAGGCCCAAGCACAGCGCCTGTAGCTGAGCGGCGTCGAGCACGTTGCGCTTGAACAGGACGATTGCCCCGACGCCGTAGTCGCGTATCAGAGTGGTGATTTCCTGGTTGATCTCACGGCCATGGAAACCAACAGCAAAGAGCTGGCATCAGTCCGTTAGCCCGAGTGTGGTGTACAGAGGCCTGTTTCGCATTCGAGGTCTCACCTGGCCGATCTTCCTGCGCTGTTCCGGGGATGGCATCGTGACTGCGTTGAACAAATGCTAGATAGATGAATTGCTGTCGCCTCTTTGTAGCCAATTGAAGTCAATCGTCTGTTCTATCTCCTCAAGGCCTGAAAGGTATGGATGAGCTCGGCTTCCGGGTCTGTGGTGATGTTCGAAGTCGAGTCCCTTCCGCTGGAGTCTGGTAACAACATGCGGGGCAGCAACTAAGACATCAGAATAATGTAACGTCCCGGATACCGTTACCGAAATCCTCTTGGAACTTGTCGTCTTGATTGAATCTGTTCCCCGGAGACTGCTGCTCGAGGATCGCTCGTTGGCATTGGCCGACATAGGCTATTCTGTCATTGTTTCCAGCAGTGGGGGTCAAGCAGCTCGGTTTACCAGTAACGGCAGTGGATTTGCTTACCTTACAAAGTGGCTTGCCATGTAACGTGGAATCTTGACCCCCGTCCAGCTTAGCAAAGAGCTGGCGGGGATTGAGCACCTGATATGCTCTTCTTCGGCATGACTCTGGTGAGGATGCTTCTACTATTACAAATATCGCTGCCAAAATACAAACATCGTTTCCCTTGTTGTTTTATAGTGTGACACATGTCAAAACGGCTCCGACCCCATCAACGTGGCGCCAAGATGGCCCCGCGACGAAGATACGTGTAAGTGGAGGGGTAGGGGTATGGGGTCATCGCCATGCTGTTGTGCAGATTCGCTGAAGCTTTTGAGATGCTCGATGTGCTAGAGAGTTGCTCAAACGAAATACTTTACGAAGTGAATTGGGCTGAATATCTATATGACCACTGGCTGTCCTACTGAGACTACTTTGTCTCCATCTCCTAGCCTAATCTTTGGTCAATTGACTCCTCTGAGATGCTTGATAGATTCGTTCAATGGATCAAGGACAGCAACACCTCTCACATGTTACCACTCATAAGAGACTTGAATACGGACTTGGCCATAGGTATACACATCAGGCAGGCAATATCACACTGTTGGTATTCGCTGTCGTTCGTTTCACTCTTGGTGGTTAGGCACTGGTAATGATCCACGTGACCTCGGGCTCCCTCTGAGGAGCTCTCGGCCCCGAAGGCATCGCCGGAAATAGTTTCGGACAACCGAATCAGAGCTCGGATCACTGCACTGTAGATTCATCGCGTTGGCATCGTGGGTGAGCATCTTTGTAAGCTCATGCATGCGAAACTGAGGCTCCAATAAAGCAATTGGAAATAGATGGTGTAATAACCATCTCAACGGTCTGCAAGTGCGTATGTCAGCTGTACACAGTCCAGGAAACGCATATATAAGAGTAATGGGTTGAAGCTTGAATAGCCATTTCTCCTCCTTCATCCATCACTAAGATGATCTGCCACCGCCTCAGTCAACTTTCAAGAAGCCTCTTGAGCAAAACAATGGCCACTCAAGCCGCAAGCCAGGGGAGAGCAGCAGGCACCAAAGACTGGTCAGCGGCGCAATATCTCAAATTCGCCGAGCAGCGCACTCGACCGTCACGCGACCTCATTGCCCAAATCCCTCTGGCAACGCCAAAGCGTATCATCGACGTTGGATGCGGTCCTGGAAACTCGACCGAGGTGCTTGCGAAGCAATGGCCAGACGCGCATATTCTGGGCATGGACTCATCCCCCAACATGATAGAGACCGCACGCAAGGCGCTTCCCAACCTGGAATTTACGGTGGCGGACTTGCACACTTACCAACCCAAGGAATCAGTCGACCTAGTCTTTTCCAATGCGGTCTTTCAGTGGATAGACTTTGAGCACCGGATCCCCATTCTCAGACGACTGCTCGAATCTATTCAACCTGGAGGTGTTTTGGCATTCCAAGTCCCCGATAACCACACCGAGGCATCTCACAAGGCTATGCGTGCAGTTGCCGAGAACGGCCCTTGGTCGGAGACACTTGGACGTCTGAAGCCTTCTCTCGGCCCCTTCCAGACGCCCCTGGAGCTCTACAACGGCTTGAAGCCTCTGTGTTCGTCAATCGACGTGTGGCACACATATTACAACCATCCATTGGGCGGTCACCAGGAGATTGTCGAGTGGGTAAAGGGCACGGGGTTGAGGCCGTTTATTGATCCCCTCGAACCGGAGCAAAGGGAGGGATTTCTGGCGGCGTACCTGGAGAAGCTGAAGGAACTTTACCCTCTCTGCGATGATGGGACTGTTTTGTTGCGATATCCTCGTCTATTCTTGGTTGCGGTCCGCGCTTGAGTTGCAGCATTCTACATCATGTACATGCCTTTACCGAGTGATAGCATGCATAGCTTCTAGAATATCATTCAGACCTTTAGTTAAAGCACGTTAAACTTTTGCAATCAACGATCGGTCCTTTCTCAATCGGGCGAATGCCACAAGGCCCGTAGCTCCAAGTCCCATGCAGCCCGCATAGGTGATGGCAGGCCGGTACGCCTGGAATCCGCTGCCTGTTCCACCATATGCATCAAGAAGGTATCCAGCAATCGGGGAGCCCTAATACCATAGTGTTAAGTCGCTTCATGGATAAATAGATGAGTGTAGGGATTAGCGACTAGTGAGCTTACCATCAAATACCCGCCACCCCAACCTGTGACGATCATGGCCATGGCCACAGACACTCTCTGCGATCCAAAGACATTGCCAACCACGGTGGGCATGGTGGAAAAGAAGCCTCCATTCGCTGCGCCGTTGAGAACGACAAAGACAGTTAGGGGGGCCAGAGTCGTGGATGCAGGCCATAGTGCCAACATTGTGACGGCATTAATCAACAGGGAACAGAACAGGACATTGAGCGCCCCGAACTTGTCACAGAAGAAGCCGCAGAGGATTCTCCCCGCAGCGGATGACAGGTTGAAGCCTGCCAGGAGACCAGCTCCGGTAGAAGAAGATAGTCCAACTGATCTGCTGTACAGAGGAATAAAGAAAGGGGGGACGAGGAGAGGAAACGTTGCGATTGCGCCGGCAGCGAAGATGATGACGAACCCAAGATCGCGAAAGAGACGCCTGGAGACTGGTTAGCATATAGCGAGCATCAAGGAATAATTACGGCTTACCACTCAATGAACGATGCAGTCTTGACAGGTGATCGCTCCTTGACTAGCCACGCGGCAGGAAGGCCCGTTGCCAACGTCACGAACCCGAGAATTCGATACGCCCATGCAGTTCCAAGTCGCTGGATCACAGCATCCAGGAAGAAGCTTGTCGTCGCTCCACCAAGACCTCCTCCCGCAAATACAATGCCATTTGCCAGTCCCCTCTTCTTGCTGAAATACTGAGCCGGGGTAGCAGACACAGCCATGAAGCAGAGGCTCATGCCGAGACCTACGATGACGCCGGAAGTGATGAATAACCCAGCGAGGTTGGACACTGTGAAGCTGCTGATGATTTCGGATATGCCGAGAAGGACGATCCCTAGCAAGGCGGTTCGTTGGGCGCCAATGGCTCGGATGATGCGGGCGTTGAGGATAGCCATACATGATATGAGGGAGACGGCGAGGGAACCGACGTAGGACAGAGTTGCTGGTGTCGAGAGGCCCTTTTCCACGAGGGCTCCTTGAATCACGCCCCAGCTGTAGCCCATTCCGACAAACTATAGCATTATTAGCACTGTGTCTATATGTCCTTTCTCCAGGCAGTCTGAGAGCTTCGACAGATGTTAACGTGGAGATTATTGTACTTACCCACCATGAAATGACTGCGCAGGCACCAACGACAACCCATCCATAGCCTCCATCCGGTACGACAGAGTCCGCTAAGCGGGATGCCTCCAGCACATCATCAGGAGAGGCATTCTGAGACTCATCTCTGCTGGCGTTGTTGTGAGTTCGATTGGTTTGTACGGGAAGCTGGAGGAGCTCAACAGCGGTTGTCGTCGAAGTGGCCATATCAAAGCGATGAGTAAAAAAAAACAGAAGATGACACAAGGTGTCTTCTTGCCGATGGTAGTCGGCCAATATATCTTGGCTCAACTTACAACGGCCATTCGTGATGATAGGTCGCTATATGCCGTGATGATTTTGGTGCGCGCGCCCTCCAGTTGACAAGATCTGGGGACAAAAATTGGAGCAGAGCTGTTGGTGGCGCTCTGTGGATGAGCCGAGGACGGAGGCGATGAGTAAGCGAGAAGACAATGTCTTGATTGGAATCATCATCAATGATGGCAGTTTGCCAGCTCTTGTTTTGTCTGTGATTTGCAAACATGTCGATGGTTTTACTTGGTCTCTTTGCACGGTGGTGGGCAAGCCTCGTTCAGCCAAACATCTCATTCATTCGCATCCACTGTCATTCAAGTCCTATTTTGTACAAGGCCAATAGCTGCCTGTAAACATCAAGTCATATCGCTAATATGGTCACAAATTCACCTTCATCCCTTTCCTCTTTTTCTTTCTTTCACCCCTGGAAGGGAGTCTCGTAGGGCTCCTCAGCCTGGGGCGTGATGCGAGCAAGGTGTCGCCTCTGACCGTTGTCCCAGTCTACCAGAGCGCTGTGCTGGGTCACTCGGTTGTCCCAAACAACGACGGTCCTGTCCTCCCACCTGACGCGGGCCTGGAAGTCGGCTCCCTGGGCCAGATGAGTGTACAGGAAGTTGAGGATGGCGTCGGATTCCTCCTTCTTCATGCCGACAATGTCACGAGTGACTGGTACGTCGTTAGTCTTGTCTCGATCTGATACGTCAAGTCAAACATGTTCTGCTCGAAGACTTACACTGGGGGTTGACGTAAAGAGCTTTCTCGCCCGTCGCGGGGTGAGTTCGGACAATGGGGTGAGGGTGAACGACGGGGTCACGTCGCTTGATGCTGTTGCGAGCCGCAGCCGCATTAACCTGCTCGATGCCCGAGTGCGTCGCCTGGAGACCGTGCAGACGCTCCTGGAACAGCGGGCTCAATCGCTTGTACGCCTGAACGGCATCGACGAAGATGGTGTCACCGCCGACCTCGGGCTTGTCCAGGATGTAAAGGAACGTCGTCCCGGGAGGCTGCCGCTCGTAAGAGACGTCCGAGTGCCAGGCCACAGAGCTGGTCCTCGTCTTGAAGAAGTCCAGATGTCCCTTGTCGTTGACGCCGCGGTGAACGAGGTGGATCTCGGGGTAGCCTTCGGGAGAGCCAGACGTGGGATGGATGTGGTGTCGTCCAAAGTAGGAGCCAAACTTGAGCGCGTCGGCAATGGGCAGGTCGGCGAAGTCCTGGTCTCGGAAGGCCACGACCTTGCGCGTGGCGACGAAGTGAGCCAGCTCGTCTTTGCCGGCGTCGCTGAGGGAGGACAGCTGGATGCCTCTCACTTCGGAGCCAATGTGTGGAGTGAGGTCAGTGACCTTGACTCCACTGGGGAGAAGGTTGGGGTAGGATGTGTCGGCATCCTTTCCGTGCTCGTAGTGCTCAAACGGCGTGAGAGGAGGGTACTTTTGAGCCGGGTTCCATGTTGGGAGGTAGTGAGGGTACTAGATGTTGGTGAGCTTGAGTGCCTCGTGAGCGATAGTGATAGGAGCAAACAGAGACTCACCTTGGCAGCAGGTCCGCCGGCCTTGCCCTCTTCAGCGTCCTTGTCAATGTATGTCAAGTCAATCTCCTTGTACTGTCCATCAAGCCTGTAGACAAATTCCGGAACCGGTTTGTCGTTGGTGGTAGTAGTCGTCTCAACCAAAGCGGGAGCCATTGTGTCTTAGACAGAGATCCTTCTTCTTGTGATTCCAATATTGTTCTGCTCCAAATCCAAAGTTAATCTCGCTCCTCGTTGGGCACAGCCCTCCCTTTTATACACTCTGTCCAACCTACAGGTTTATCTTCTTCCCCTCTTCTTCACTGCTGCGGCCCATCGCTTCTCATTCCCATCGGCTCGGGCAACCCCACCCCCACACTTGATGGCATGCATCTTCAACTCTATGGCGAATTGGCGCGTCGTCCAATCATCCAATGTGAGGACCTGCCTGATCATCCGTTCCGGCAGTCAAACAGATGAATGACGTTAATCGGTACATGTTCAATCTGCCAGCGTCCGCAGCGCCTCGCAGTATTTCGCTACCAAAGAGGATCCGTAAGCTTGTTGATGCTATTGATAGTGCGGATCACGCCATCCATCTTATACAGTGCAATCGCTGCAGAAGCTGTACGAGGGTGAAGCACGCAATATGGTTGTTGATGCTTGGCTCATTACGTTTCCGTCTTAATCCCCTAGAAATCCAATTGAATTGCTGATGATCCGAATGGCGGGTAGCGGGTCATCGCGAGGCCAAACGGATCTCGTCATGACCTGGGATTCTCATTGACTGGTGTTTTGCTATCAGATCCACCACCAACTGGACCGTCGCTTGCACGGAAGTGTTTCAATCGGGAAAGTCGAATTGCAAATACTCCCGGGAGTTGATCATGCTTAATGAGTCGCTTGCCTACGATTGTATTGATCGTAAGGTCGCACAAAGAGAGGCCAATGCTTGTATCACGAAGCCATGACGAGGAATGGCATCTGCCAAGAAAGAGATTCAGGCCGCTTCGTTCCATGACTGGTCAAAGGTCCTCGATGCACACACCGTAATTCTGTCCCTACCAAAGATTGTCATTGAATAGGTAGATACCCCTCAGCTCGAATACCTCGGGTCAGGTCGAGCTGCGAGAACGGAGGCTCTGCATTATCAAGCACCGCAAAGATAATGACCCTGCCGAGACGCGCGCCGAATAACGCACGGATGATTGACGCCAAATTTGGTCTCTGATTGGTCTCTTCATTACCTCATTGAACCCTAGGATGGCGAGCTGCTCTCTCCTTTGCTGCCTATCACCTGGCTCGACACTCCCTTGCTGGTTGATGCGCGCCTCAGCTGATATAGCTGGAACAAGTATAGATGGTCTCGATTGTCTCATAATTGCAATGGAGATTGCAAATGGAACGGCCTTTCAAGCTCCGAAATATCGCGATTACACATAGTTATATGTGTGAAGAGATTCCAACAGCGGCCACATCTCTGTAGCAAAAGTTGACAGGATTATAGATAGCGCTCTTCCTAAGAAGGTCATCCGCTGATATGTCGAGCTCCGAAGATTGCTTGCTTCATTCATGGGTATAAGGCGGGAGCTTTGGTATTACAATACTGCAGAAGCTCAGGCTACCGGTTAATTGTGCGCGTTGCGTTACATGTATGCATCATTCAGCCACTCGAATGGTGATTAGATTAGATCGCACAGGAATTACCCACCACAACAATCGATATCTCTCGCCCTCATAGGTAGGTGTATGATGGCATACTTAGCTGTCAACAGGCTCTTATCAGTCGATGAATGTGACTGGCCAGTATCTCAAGTCACTGCACTAGTAGACATCATGTAAACGATGCTTGCTCTATATTTGAAAACGAATCAAAGATTTTCTTGCAGAGCAACAACTAGACTTGAAATTGCTGGCCTTCAGTGAAGCCGTTCTTGTACGATGAGCCGACATCGTAAGCATGCTTAGCCTGCTGCAAAGAAATATTGGTTCATTTGGGCTAGCAGCCGTCGTGTCTTCCGTGGTCTCGATCTTCATCGAAGACACTCTCCCTCTTTAACCCGGGAGAATCAGATATGATATGAGCACCACTTAACTAGCTGCAACAAAGGTCGAGTCGGGATCTCGAGACCGCTCCATCATCCGGAGAAGAATAAAGCTACTCAAAAACATGTTATAGCTCTTCACTAGGTACCGAAATCCCTTGATGTTGACGTCGGAGATGTTGATCGATCTCGACCTCGGGAAGCAATAAGCTTACTCCCGCAGGATGACTACTGGTGAATCCGCGTTAGTCAGCCATATATGATTTCGGACCCGAGTAGCAATCTCTTATCGTACTTTTGCGTTGATATGCCCCATCACAGTTGGGCTGCAGAGCATGACGCAAGTTCGGAAAGGTCTATGTGACCCTTTCACTGAAGCTTGTCCATTGTAGGTATCTCATACTCCTGAGGTATAGCCCCAATGGCCACGGTAACATCCTCGGTGTACTGTGGCACATCAACATTACCTTGGGAGGATTCAGCTCAGCTTCGTCCAGCTCTCTTATTATGTAGCCTCATCCGGACAGTGGCTTGGGCCAGCGGGAGACGCCCACAATATGGCCTCTCACAATATCAGTCAGTGACATCCATAACAGCAGAGGTCATCAGAGCAATCCAACGCAAGAGATAGTATATAAAAAGCACTCTCGCAGGGGGGCAACCAAGCGGTTGCGATGCTGAAGCTCACCAAACCGACTGCCGGGAATTGATGGCGCAGACTTGCCTCCCCCAAACAGAACTACATGTTCATAAAGTCAAAGATCAAGACTTTCAAACTTCTGTAGACCCCGAAGGCATCACCGGGTGTGCGATCGAAGGCTAGCCCGAGTAATCGCGCAGAAACAAGGCGACTAAAACTGGAATGGCCGCCGCCTCAGCTCCCAGCATGTTGGAAGAAGTCGTATCTCAGTGCAGACGCCTTCTAGGTACAACGAGCGTTATATAAGCCAATTTTTTCTCAGTCTTTGTGAGCATAATGAAATGACCAACATCTCAAGCAAGATTCAACCAAGAATGGTGTCTTCCCGCCCCTTGCTTCGGACACTCTCAGCAAGAATATCCGTCCCTCTTGTGGCGGCCGCGGCCGACCAAGATAGTGGGGAAATTGGGGTAAGACGAATAGCCGCGAAGGCCACTGGAGAAGAACATGCGTATCGCATATCGACTTGCTGGGCAAAACAGAAAGAAAGGCAAAAAAGGAGTCTCCCCGAGAGGAGAGTTGTGCTGGACCCGAGGGGAATTGAACCCCTGACCTTTCACATGCGAAGCGAAAATCATACCCCTAGACCACGAGCCCATCTCATTACATAATCGAGGCGTGCTTCGCTTTATAGAGGCTTCTACTGTCAAAAGCTAAGGGCTGAAAAAAAACGAGTCAGAAGTGGGGAGACAAGCTGAGTAAACATTAGTGAAAAGAGATGGTAAAAAGAGGAAAAAGAATGGACCCGAGGGGAATTGAACCCCTGACCTTTCACATGCGAAGCGAAAATCATACCCCTAGACCACGAGCCCAATCAGATACTGGTATTTCAAAAATATTGCTTTATACGGGCTTGACCTCTGAACCAATTGAACTCGAGGCGCATACATGTAGATCCAGGCATGTATCCCTCGTCTCGCAGAGTTTACTACCTAAGGTACCTAGATAGGCACGTAGGTAATGTAGGCACCCTTCGATTCTATGTTGGCCCATGACTTCATTTGCAAGAGTCCAAAGTGACTCTACGTAAGTATGGCCACTTTACCCAAGGTATACTGTTAGCGACAAACAAAGTCACGTACGTTTCACAGCAACAAAACACTGCTATGCTGTTACACAACACGCGTCCTTGAAACACTATTCACAGTATGGCTACTATATATTGCAGCTCAACTATGCAATGAATGAATGAGGAGAAACTGATGAGGTTGACTAGCCAGTTGATCAGGCAAAATTTTCATAGCTGAGACAGACAGTGACCCTCGAGTGCCGATAGTAATGCGATCATACCCTGGAGCTGTTTTAATACACAAGTCGGCTTCAGGCAGGTAATATTTACTAGCCACAAGTACGGATGGACTCAGAATGGCAATTGTCTAGTAGTTGGCAATTCATATGGTAATATAAGTTATTTAGGAATTGTCGCTTAATCTGCATTCTCTCTCTTATAGACCATCAGATCAATTTTACTTGCAAATTGAACGCTGGGTTTCCGGAATCCGAACTCACCGAATCAAGCACACTTCATATCCGACTGTACAACCGCAAAGGATGCATGGGGATGATTTGGACCACCTAATCTTACCCCATCGCAACTCCGTGTACAACTTGCGCCATTTGTAACAGTGTCACCAAAATTTCTGGCGAGGATTGTGGCAAGAGTTCCCCCAGCTAAGGCCAGACTCCTCCGGAGACATCGTCTAGATTTTCTTGTCTTGAGCTCATGGATACTTATCCAGATATTATCGCCATCGTTTGTCATTATTTGGTGATAATAGTGTCATAACATTCTAGTGTTTAGGGAAGCTTCTATGTAATGACAAGGAGGACGTTTAGACTAAGGTAGTGTGACGCCTCGCATACCCAGCTCGGTGGTGCTGGACGACATCGGGTGCCATATTGATGGGTGTCTTGCAGATTGTACCCAGATACTCGAAAAATGACCGAGCTTATACAACAAGCCCTAGCTCTTTTGCTATGATATCCGCCCCCTTTTCTCCGACAATAAGCGCCGTGTTGTTCGTGTTTGCGCCTACATTCTCGGGCGCAATAGAGAGGTCTGCAAAATATGATTAGCAAAAGGATAGTGAGAATGCCGCGAAGAATGGATGATGAGAGGAGGACATGCTTACCACATATTTTCAGCCCAACAGTTCCATACACGTTGAGATGCTTATCTACCACGCCGCCCTTTTCCTTTGGAGCCATCTTACAAGTTCCCAAAGAATGCCATGTCGTTTCAATGTTTGACCGGATGTATTCTTCAATGGCTCTATCATCATCCTCATCGTACTCGATCGGCGGCAGAGCTTTTCTCTCTTCAAGCGTCTTGAAGCCATCCAGCGCCTCCGGCTGCTTTCGAAGAGCGGCTTTGCTACCCTCGCGAAACTTGGGACTCCCCACGGGCAGCTCACTGGTCATCACATTCGTGCGGCGGAAGATTTCGCGCTGTTTCTTGTATGCCCATATCTGCTTCGTCAAGTCCACCCATTTGGAGAGGAAACCAGCGTTGAAGCAAGGTGCCGCATCAGGATCCTTGGACGTGATGTGAATATCACCGCGCGAATAGGGATAGCCAGTGTACATGCCGATTGACAGATATTGGGAGGGTCCATCCTGTTCTTCGGCAAGCGTCTTGTGATCGCCGAGAAAGGAGCTGACGACGGCCAGGAGCATCAAGGGTCTCGTCGTCTGATCCTTGAAGTCACGGTTCCAGTGGTCCTGAAACTCTTGATCCAGCTGCGCGACTTCTTCATCTGTCGGACGAAGTTTTGCCGCCAGGTCAACCGCGTTCCAAGTGACGATAGGGTCCTTCTTCTCCACAGCCTCGTAAAAGTCCAGTCGCCCGCGATGCAAATCATCAAGCGTCTGATCAGGCTTGAGAGAGGTTTTGTACGAGTAAAAGATCAAGTTATGGTCCTGATACTCCTCGCCGACGCCAGGAACATCGGCAACAACTGGAATGTCCAGCTTCTTGAGCAACTCGGCGTTGCCGACTCCCGATCTCTCGAGGATCTGCGGCGTTCCAAGAGCACCGGCGGAGAGTACGACCAGCTTTCTTGCTTTGATGGTCAGTGGCTCCCTATGTGTCAGGTTGGTGATGGGTTGGAAAGAAGCATTTGGCAGGTATTCCACACCAACAGCTCTGTTGCCCTCGAAAATGACGCGGCTGACGGTGCTCTGGACGAGAAGATGCAGATTGGGGTAGTCGCCCGAAGCCATCAGAGGATGGACATAGCGATGCGCCGTATCCTGCCGCTTGCCATCAGGCGAGTTGTATCGAAGCCATCGAGAGAAGCCATTGGCAGCTTTGAAATCCTGCATATCTACGATTTCGGGAAAGCCAACAGCTGCGGCGCCAGCCAGGATGTCGTCCTGGGCATCCTTGGCACTGTATGCACCGAAGGATACGTTGATAGGACCATCGTGGCCATGAACGCTCTGGTCAACATCTGGGTGATCGAGGTGGTATGTCTCCAGCTTCTTGGCATAGTGTAAGAGGCTTTTCGCGTCCCATCCTTCAGTGTTCCATGAGTCGTAATCGACACCCGAAGCTGTGCATTATAGGTCAGATTCATCGTACCATGTTTGCCGAGATCGCCTGATTGCTTGGGATGGATCATACCTCGCGTGTACATGGCAAAATTGATCGACGAGCCGCCTCCAAGGATGCCGCCAGCCGTCACAATGGGCTCCCGGCCGTTGAGGTCATCTGTCTTGTTCCCCTTGTAGACGATGGCAGTCTGGGTGCCGGGTGCCAGATGGTAGAGATATCTGGAAGCATTGACGACGTTTGGGTCGTTGAGATTGTTCTTGCCATGTTCGACGAGGAGGATCGAGAGGCTGGGATCCGCTCTCGCCAATCGACCAGCGACTATGCAAGCAGCCGTGCCACCTAAGGAGGTTCAACAGGATGGTCAGTGAGGGGTGAAGGATGGTAAGACGCCTCACCTCCGGCAAAGATGATGTCGTATTCTGTTCCCTCCTTGTGAGTCGACATGGTGATGAAGTAGGTTTGCTTCACTGAGCAACGGCACTGTATCGCTCGACTCGGGTACTCGACTTGGGCGGATGAACAGTCGATGTAATTGGAAAAGATGGACTGGCAGAGACAACGCAATTTGTAGGCATTGCTTGGCGGAGAGTCCTTGTCCTCTTTGTGCTACTGATTCAAGACATGCTGCTGCACATGCACTCTTTCGCCCCCCCTCCTCCCCCCTTGCTTGGGGATACGATTGTCTACGGTCTAGATGCCCATGGTCCAGATCTGCTCGCAAGATCAACCCAATCCGATGTCTTGAACCCTGAGCTCACGTAATGATCTTCCAGCCCAATCTGCCTTGTACCGCACTTTATGCATGCGAATGACACGCAAGCGATCCCTCTGGCTCTGTAGCTTCGCTTGGCGGCATTCCTATTGGAGCGGCGACAATTAAGAGTTGCGGGGTAGCTCCTCGACGAGACCCTACCTTGACAGAACATCTCCGCAGAGGGGGACGGCAACTTGAAGTTGTCCGGTTACTGAGACTTGTTCCGAGGCATGTTTTCTAAGGAGTTAGGTTGTTGCTGGATGAGACGGGATTTGTGTCGGCTGTTGTGGCAGAATATGGGAGGAGCCTCTGCTATCAACCGAGGTGTCAATAGGGTGAGAAATGGGCAAGACTGTCTTGATTCCAAACCTCGGAACTCTTATGCGAAGCTCAGGACCATAATCAGTCCACCTCTCGTGGTGTGTGGCTGGAATCCTAACGTGGTGCATCACCTAAGAACTAGTCCTTGCTTGACTTATACTCTGGGGAAATGAAGTTGGAAAATAATGACCATTTTGACGTTAGACAACTCGCGTGCATCTACCAAGTCTAGTCGTCAAATGCAAGCGAAGCTGACAATGCCTGTGTGTTAGTACCTAGTCAGCCTCCCTTTCGTTCAAGGCATTCCGATGGCTCTGCTTGTCACACGGTTTCGTTATCTCACCTTAACCAGGAAACGATCTGGTTGTTATATCACAGACCGCCTCAAGAAGTTTCAGAAGGCGTCGCGTTGCTGATAGCTGGCTTGCTTCATGGTTGCCGAAGGCCATGCACCTGTCTAGGGACCTCGGACGATAGGGAAAAGGCGTTTCAATAACAGATCATTAAGATTATATACTCGTGAGGCTACCCAATTATTACAGCCAATTTTAACACACTCTGCAAAGCTAGGAGCAGGAGCAACATATCCGCCCCCTCTATGTCTCCGCTTGTAATTCCAGGTCTATATACTTTTCGTCTCCTGTAGTCCTTGTCTACCCCTTGTTGATACTTTCTCTCCTCCTGTTAGTTCTGAGACTCGCTATCCCGAGCCACTTCGGGGTCTGACTTCGCAGCCAATGTCTGCTCCCCTGTGAGCTTTGGGTTCCGGATCGCCAGAGAGAATGCAATCAGAGGCACGCAGATGCAGATGCCCGTGATGGTGAGGAGGCGCTGGATGTGCTGGTACGAAGCGATGATGGCGTCTCTCTCGGGTGTACCAGGGGGGTAGGGAACGATGGCCACGAGGGGGTTGCCGTAGGCGTCAAGCGCCAGCGTGGAGTTGATGCCTGCGAGCCTGGTTTCCAACTGCTGGGGCAGAATCTGCGTCCACATGGCTCCGGACACTGTATTACCCAGTGCAGACCCGATGTTGTAGAGGGCCAGGAAGAGACCCGTCATGACGGCCAAGTTCTCGTGCTTCAGGCCGACTTGAATCGACGCCTGGGCAGTGTAGGGGAACAAGCCACCAGCAAAGCCGAGGACGACCTGAGCGGCAATGACACCTACACGAGCAGAGTCGGCAGTAGATCCACGGTAGTGGATGAGCAGCCCAAAGGCGACCATGAAGAGGCAGGTTCCCGCAATGACGAACATCTTGAGACGGCGGACTTTGTAAACCACCAAGCCAAGAATTACTCCAACCACGACACTGACGAAGGAGTACACGGACGTAATCCGAGTCGCAGCGGTGATGGAAAAGTTGAATGCCACGACAAGAACGGTGTAGAGGAAGTCGGCTTGCATGGCCCAAGCAAAGTTGAGGCATACGGCGATGCCCATTGGAGCCCACACGGAGCGGTCCTTCATGAGAGTAAAGGGAACCAGCGGGTGAGGGGCCCTGAGCTCCCAAAAGATGAAAACAGGAATGCAGCAGAAGCCAACGACGAGCGGTGCAATGATGTGCGCGGTGCGCCATTGCGTGTGAACTCCGCCAGCCAGAGTGAAGGGCACAAGGATGAGGGCAAAGACAGCGATGAGGAGGATGATGCCGATGACGTCGAGCAACCAGAACAGCTCGATGACGAGGTTCTTGAAGCCGAGACGCTCAAAGGATGAGCGGTAGTTCTCCAGGCGGCCCTGCTTCTTTGCACGGTGTCCGACAACCGAGAGAGAAATGATGAGCGGCAGGGCGCAGACCGGGTAGATGATGCACCACATGCCGATGCCCCATTTCCAAGTCGTCACCTTCAGCACAGCGCTGGCAACATTGCCGCTGATCCAGGCGTTGATGATGAACGGCAGGGCGGGGATGTAGCTGAAGAAGAGACGGGCGCGGGTTGAGGTGATGTCGGCGATGATGACCTCAATCAGCAGGATGATCATGGTGTAGCCGACCTGGTAGATGACATTGCCGCCGGTGTAGGTCGCCATGTTGGTGGCCGAAGCCTCAATCGCGGTGCCGATGACATAGAAGAAGACGGAGACGCAGATGAGCTCTACTCGACCAAAGACATCGGCAATCTTGGCTGCGGTAGGCTGAGCAGCAGCCGCAATCACGGCTCGGAGCACATTGATCGTGGCGAGGAGAGAGTGGCTGTCGAACGAGCCCGTCGCATAGGGCTGGTAGGTGTACCGCAGAGTGCCGTCAAGGCCATAGCAGTAGGCGATGAGGAGGACGCTGAGGAAGATGAAGATGCGGTCGACAAAGGTGATGGCACCGGAAATGGCCTCAATGCGGGAGACACCAGGCGACTGGATGTCTCTCAGCTTCTCGGCAGCCGATTTCTCGGGGTTCTGATGCTGCTGATCATCCTTGGCGACAATGTGCTCTGCCGTCTTTTCTGCCCCGGGGAGGGGAGTAGGTGTCAGGTCGCCAGACATGTTCTCGATCGCGATTGACGAGTGGTAATTTCACGATTCAGACAATGTGATTCAGTGTCACTTCGCTGTGTCTCCTCAGTCAAGAGACCGGAAGCAATGAGACAGCAGAAAGAGAAAGAGGCGGCTGAATCACCAACTTGGGATCTCAGTCCAGATGCTCCGGATGCGGACGAGAGTGCATGTGCATATGTATGCAACGGAACAAGGGGGGGTGGAGGAGAAGGAGGAGGGGAAGATGACCGACAGTCCTCGAAACGTCACGGATGTCGCACAAGTTACCTTATATATCTCCATCTCTAGCGTCAACTTTAATCAAAAACTGTCTGCCTGACGCCTGATGCGATCGATTAGATCAAGGCTTGTTCGGTCAGGTTGACGCACCGCAGTGGTGGCCCGAAGGAGCCACCGCCAAGCAGTCTAGAAGCGTTCTTCAGCCGGCTTCTCCTCGTTATCTGATCATCAGATTTTTTTAAGCGGGCCAGATGGAGCGCTGAAGCAGCGAAAACTCTTCGTTTTCCTACTCATGAGCCAACTACCAAGGCCCTACCATCGGGCTCTGCTTCCCAGTCTGGCTAAGCAAGGACTCGCCCGCCCCGATATGTGGCGCGGCGCAGCAGCTGGGAGGGCATTGACACGGCGGTAGGCAGCCAATCGCTTGCTGGAAGGATCAGTAAGAGCTGAACAGGGTGGGCATTCTCTTGTGCTACCGCCTGGGCGATTTGTATGGGATTGATGGGGGCCAAGAAGCTCTTGTCAGTGGCCCGACGGATTGTGGCGAGAAGAGAGACTGGTTCAGTCCAGGGATCCTCTCCCAAGACAGACGAAGCGACGGCGAGTAGGAGCCAAATCCCAGCCTCGAACCCAGTCTTTTCGACGTAGTGCGAAAGTATGTGCATCTTCCCAAATTCTGAAGTCTCGCATAGGCCCGAAGTTCCTGCATGTAAGTATGTAAGTGGTATCGTTTTGTTGTTGCTTCGAGACAACGCCATCCTCCCCTGTCCTTGCTTGCCGCGTGCTGCATTGATTCTGCTCCTCCGTCATCATCTAATCTGATCGTTGACGAGTCCGAGCTTGCCAGCCTCATTCCTCTCGCCGGAAGGGTCCGCACTTTGCCGCAGCCACAAAAAGTCAGACAGGAGGGGCTTGAGGAATTTTTCTGAATCGTGGCGCTCCGTATAACCCGCCTGAGAGGCCTTCTATCGCCATTCCAGGTACAGCCAATGACGAGAACAAGATCATCGGTCCTCCGCAGGAAAAAGAAGAGCACGAGAAAACGGCGGCTGGAGCGATGGCGTGAGAGTTTGGACGTCGGCTTGCCTCCATTCCCAGTTGGGAGACTAGCAAGGTCCTCGCTCGGAGCTTTTCAAGCCACCAAGTCGCTAATCATCGCATCCGGAAGCCCTACGAAGATCCGACAGCCATTTTCGGAGCTTGAGAAGCGAGCGGTTCCGACCTCGAGAGGTAGGATGGCCTCAGTCAGTCCATGTTCAAGAGTACTCGTACAAAATTTGCTTGGATGAGTCTGCGTCTAAGGAGTTGGGTATACAAGCAGTAAGGCAAGGTAATCTGGAGCCCAAGTCTGTGAATGTTCTCGCGTGGTGTCTAACAATCACGATTCTCCCGACATCTTTTTTTCCCGAATGTGGACCGTTACACTTTACATACACCCTCATATTTATGAGGCGTCACACAGATAAAGCAGCTGGCTTACCTTTTGCACTACCCTCTGAAAGTGATATCGGCAGACGCAATCACCCGACGAGTTGATCAGCCAATCTTCAGCCTTGGCTTGTTTCCGCTCCGCGAGCATGTCTGCTTAGTAGTACTGTACTTGCACGGTGGCCTTCCAACCGACTCCCTGTTTTTCCGTTCGGTCCTGATACACGTCCCGTGGTGTTCAGCCATCGGATTAATCCAAAATAATCAGGACTGCTGCCGAAGGTCCTCTCAGTGTTGTGTCTGTCACCATTCAAGGTAGTGGGTTCGGGTGGCGTCTCGTACTCCGAACAATATTTCTGCCATATGAGCACTGCTTGCAATCTTATTCCGGCCCTTTCATCATGTTGGTGGTCTCATTTCATTCATATCACTTCAACATGTGGCCGTCATTGATACGCCAACGACGCCGACTCACATCATAAGACGCCCAGCTGAATGTCCTGTGTTACCGAACTTCTGCGGATGAGTAATTCCATATGCTGATCACACCTGTCCCGAGATTCGGGTTGCTTTAAGCATAAAATGTGGGCATGGAGGCATTGATCACATACTCTAGCTCGAAATTAAGATGAACGTTTACACTTCAGTGCTAGATATCAGTTCCATGTCCCGAGTTTGTAGAGATTCCTTCCTTATAATCTAGCCCCTGAGGCAAGGTGGCTTAGTATGAGAATGTATCATCTTTTACTCCCACGGCATCTGCAACGGCATCTGTAACGGCATCTGCAACGCTACTGACCGTCGTTATCGCGCTTAAGCTCCATATACCTGAGAGCACAGAACGGGTATCTCGGCAATCTCAACTGACACTGCGTCCTCCCCAACCATCCAAGCATATCACGCGGTGAGGGGGAACATGTGTGCATGGGAGCACCCCCTTCCGCCTCGTAATCAACTTCATCAGCCACACAGTAGCTATTGAGACTTGGCTTACTCTGCCTGGCCACCAACTGGCTTGGCCTGGCCGTCGGCCCGCTGGCTGATGTCGCGGCGTGATGGATGAGCCCAGTTACAATCCAAGGTTTATGGCCCAATATTTGACCAAAGCTTCCCTCTTACCGACGCATAAACAGCGCCTTTATTCGCTTTGGATCTTCAGCCACAGAGATCTCTTGCTAGTTTGATTATTTATACCATGTAGCCCACCTAAAGCTTCTCTTCCCTCCTCTCTCTCGTCCTTGCCTTGGACCGCTGCCCCTGACCTCTCCGTCTTTTGCAACAAAACAACATGTGTGGCTATATCAGTGTCGCCAGGGTTTCCCTGGCGGCCTTCTGGTCTATAAGCGCCTATGCGGCAGCCTATGTCCCTCGGCAGCCAGCCGCAAGAAGCATCGTGAGCGGATCTACCGCCCTCTCGAGGAGAGACGCATCCCCCAACGCAAATGTCACAAAGCCTTTTATCGTTGATGACTTCCCCGTCACGGAAGACGGTCGTTGCGGTGCTACATTTGGTACCAAGTGCTGGAGCGACGAATGTTGTTCCGCTGAAGGGTACGTGAATCTACTCTCAACACGATTTGGTGTCAACCTCTTGATAGCCTCATACCCAGACGCTGACTTCGGCACAGATGGTGCGGGTCTGGATTCCTGTACTGCTCTGCCCCTGCCTGCCAGTATGAGTATGGTCCAGCCTGCGACGCCAACGCGCGCCCTGACGGCGAGGACACAGAGGAGTGGCCTCGCCCTCAATTTGGCGAGGTGCCCTACGGAAAGGCCATCTACCACTGCAAGGTCCCTGGGACTGTAGCTCTGACCTTTGACGATGGCCCGTGGGAGTACACTGAGGAGTTGTTGAATCTCCTTGATGTAAGTGTCCGAGTACTACCGAACCTTGACAAAGAGTACTGATTGATTCTGTGCAGGACCATGGCGTCAAGGCTACGTTCTTCGTGACTGGCCGCAACCTTGGCAAGGGGGCCATCAACGACGAAACCAAGGACTGGCCTCGTCTCATCCGCCGCATGAAGGATGAGGGCCATCAGATTGCCAGCCATACCTGGTCTCACCAGCGTCTGCCTACCCTCACCAAAGCGCGTCTTCGCCAGCAGATGATCTTCAACGAGATTGCCATTGCCGACATCATTGGCGTCTTCCCGACCTACATGCGCCCTCCCTACTCCGCCAGCAATGAGGATGTGAACGAGTGGCTCGGCGAGCTGGGCTATCACGTCACATACTTCGACCTCGATACCGAGGGCTACCTGCACGATGACGATGAGGCCATTGAGGAGTCCAAGGAGATTGTCCGGACTAGGTTTGACAATGCCGACCCGGACACTGATTCGTTCTTGCACATCGAGCACGACACCGTGGCTCATACGGTGTCGACCCTGATCTCGTACACCATCAGCCAGCTCTTCGACGCCGGGTTCACACCCGTGACTGTCGGCGAGTGTCTCGGCGACCCGTACGAGTTCTGGTATCGAAGCCAGGATGCCGGCTTCCTCAAGCGGGCAGTTGAGGTTGGCCAAGACGTCGTCCCCACCAACTACTCTTTCTACGAGGAAGCGCCACTCACACCCGTCAAACCCAGGAGCTTCTTCGATAGGCTCTTCTTCTCCGAGCCCAAGCCTCAATCTGGCTCCGGATCTCACCCCTTTGCGGCCAACGGCTCATTGAGCGTGAATGGTTCATTGAGCGTGAATGGCACCCTTCCCGGCGGCGGCAACTCGACCAAGACTTACAAGCCTACTAAGGATGGTCGTTGCGGTCCTGCGTTTGGCGATGCCTCGTGCATGAACCAGAAGTACGAGAACTGCTGCTCCAGGGCTGGATGGTGCGGATCGACTGACGCCCACTGCCTTGACGGTTGCCAGGACAAATTTGGCCGCTGCGGACTGTTTGGCTAATCATCTAGTGTTTTCTCATCCTTTCTTTTCCTGTCATTAATCTTCTTCTTGCTAATGTTGACATCAACTGTGGTCGTCAACTTCACGTTGTTGGACGCAACGTCATTGACCAATGTGGATGATCAATCAGACTTGCGACGTGACTTTTGAGAGAATCGGCGGTTGATCAGAGTTCGTATTGCTATTACTCGCGATAATGGGCATTTCATCAGCAGAGGGCCGCGGGCGTACTCGCAGCTACAGAGATCAGTCTTCAGAAGACCAGAAGCTGAGCCTCAGCTTCTGTTGACAATGAATTGACTACTTTGTCGCTTTTTTTGAATAAGTCTAAATGTTTCATGCCACAAATGTGAATGGATTTGAGTGATTCTCAAGCGACAAGCTCCCCCGCTGTCGTCTGTTTCTACCTACGTGCGTATGCTCAATCTCTGAGAGGGTGAAATAGTTGGTAGGTGTATTTCAAGTCCTCCCAAACTTCACGGAAATTTCCTTTGGCATCAATCGCAGACCAATCAGCGTCAAGCCCTTTCAGTGGTTGTAGCCCAAAGGTTCTGAGTTGATCAACTGGTAAGACACGATTAGGTGCCCAAAGTGCAGTCACATTTCAACGCTCCCAATGAACCTTGTATACGCTTCCAGGTGATTGATAAGGCTGTGAGTACTACCTGTATGACTCGGAAGTGCTCATCAACTAGAAAAGGAGTGGCATCCTGATGGCTGTCCCCGGGGTTATGAATCAATCTTGCATTCATAGCTACCTGAGAGCCGGATCTGTTAGTCCGGCTGTTGGGCTCCGTTGAACTAACCTTGCATTCTCTTCTTCCTTTCGCGTCTGGGGCCATTTTCAGCTTTCAGCTGATCGCGACGCATGAGGCTAGAAGTCCGCTGTTCTCCGGACTCTCGGTCAGTCAAGTCTCCACCGCTACGGCAGGGAGGCAAACTCCACAGCCCAGCCAATGCAGAGAACAGCCTCGACGACCCGCTCATCTCGCCATTTCACCGCAATACCCGTCCTTGCTGCCCCAATCGCCTTCGGCACAGGGGCATAGTGCCGAACGCTAAGCCTGAAGAGCGGCTGGCGGCAGGCCTAGACGCGAATAGTCTCGAGTCGCTGCACGGACAGCTCACGATTCTAGGCCTGGGCGGACTCGGGATCCCAGCTATTGAAGCTGTTAGAGCATGTAAGATCAGAAGCAATAGTCAGAAGACTAGCTTTGAAGATGAGCTACAAGCGATGGGTTTACAGAGTGATCGACATGAAAGGGAATGTGCAATTGCACGCTGGACGAGATAAATAACATGAAGCAGTCCTCTCTGTAGCATTCGTTGTTTGTCGTAAGTTCCAAGTCAGTGTTCACCATATATTTTGTTCATGATGAAGTTGCTCGGACTCTCCGTCGTGCTATCAGCACTCCAGGCTGTTGATGCCCGTGATCCGGCTTGTCGCCCTGCTGCGCCGTCATGTCGATTCGTCTCCCCCTGGACTGCCCGCGAGTGTTCAGCTATTATTCGTGAGTCAGAACTCAAGGGGAAGAGGTGAAGCTGAGCCCTAATCTAACTCGTCTCTGTAAATAGACTCCCACCATATCCGTCTCTCGACATGCGAGGCTCCTGAGAAAACCATCACCAAGACCGTCGTCGTCACTCATCACCCAACTTTTACCCACACCAAAACCGTGAAGCCCTCGCCGAGCACCAAAACAACGACCAAGGTCATCACTCAGACTGACCCTGTGTAAGTTGGCCAGATCAATCATGACCATCAAGAGTCTGTATAGCTAATGGAATGCCACAAAGCACTCAAAAAGACACAACGACAGCCTGGGCCACCGCGACAGCGGTCTCAACCACGACAACAGTGACGAGCGATTTCACAACCGCCACCACAACCACCACTTCTGTTGAGACCGAAACTGATTCTACAACAGTCACAACGTACGATCTACACCTGTATAATACTCATTGAGACTTGGAGGCTAACATAGCATTCTGCAGTACCCAAGATGTCACCACGACCGTCAGCTGGGCCCCTGAAGTCTGCACTCCTACAGTCACTCTGGCACCTACGCTGGCACCCAGCAAGCGCTCAGACAAGCGCAATGACTACAGGATTCCTCGCGATTGCTGTAAGTGACTGATACTGATACATGATAGCATCGCCGTGAGCCTTCTGATTAATATTATGAACCTCTAGCATGCTTCCTGACCTCTACCAAGAGCTGCGGTCCCCGCGCCACAAAGGTCGTCACCAGAATCGAGGAAGACCGTCCCAGATACATCACCAAGACTGTCACGGATCGGAGAAAGTTTGAGACTGTCACGATCACCAAGACATCCATCACTCACATCAACGGAGCACCGCCTCCCAAGCAGACAGTGACTTCCACAACAACCTCTACCGTCATCACAACAGCCACCTCAACCAGCACGGTTGAGCAAACTACCACTGCAACCGAGGCCACCACGACAACAGTTGTCGAATCCGCCACCGTCACCACGACACACCCCGTCACTGCCACAGAGGACCCATGCAACCCAGCCAACGTCAACAAGTACCTCCTTTCAGGCCCTCCGTCAAACCCCAACGTCGTCCTGGGCTTCCGTGGGGATGGTAATAACAATCCCGGCATTTGTTGCCAGAACTGCGTAATGAACGCGGACTGCGTCTACTGGAAGTTGTCTGCTGGCGGCTCCATCTGCGAGGGATACTTCACGAGCCGTACTGCTCCGGTTGAGGGATGCACTACTAATGCGTGCCGGAGGGGACATCCGTTCATGGCTGTCAGCCCGCAGTCTGATGGAAATACGTATGGCATGGGACAATGCGGCGTATTTGGCGTGGCGTTTTAAGGAGGTTGTGCTCGTTATAGATGGAGTTGGGATAGCGGTGTTTGGGTGATGGACAGCGAATCTTCTTCTTCCGACTTATCAAATTTAATGATAATTTCTCTCATTGTACTGATTTTCTCGTCTTCTTTCTTGCAGTTCAACAATGACCTTCTTTACAGAGGCGGCTTCTGAGTGCTCTCCATGTTCTGAGCATGATGATACTTATATCTCCAATATGCGATATGAGTCGCTTTCCTCACTCTGGCATTCTAGCACCATTCATCATATACGGCACAATTCATACAATATCAGTCCTGTTAATTGACCAGACCTTTGTGCAGATGCAGCCAGGTCCTATGCTTTCTGCATGGCGCCTGAGGGTAGCCTTTCGGCTATGGAGCAACATTCGGCGGCTGAATGTCATCGATAGCAGCACGGGTAGAAGCATCAAAGACGAACGGATGATGTTTGCTATACGCCGGATTTGCCACGCCACCGCGATGTGGCTGTTACATCAGCTGTTGGCCGCATTGACCGCACGAGCTTTACAAAGGATACAGGTGACCAGCCATGACTTTACGCTTCCTAATCAAGGTGTCATACCTCTATTGGCGACTCGAGATTTATGCATTCGCGGAGTCGTGTCCGTCAACTAGGTTTGGGCGTCTTACACAGCCCTCTCTGGAGCTCATGATGTACTAGCAGCCATGTTCGTATCGCTGCTTGCATGGGACAGGCCTGAGGAATGGCCACCGTTGTTTGGTAGTGTCGTTGAAGCATACTCGCTTCGACGGTTTTGGGGAAATTTCTGGCACCATCTTCACAGCAGAACTTGCGAGCGTTTGACGCCACCTTTTCTTCGCGTCACGGGTGCAAGAGGACGAACAAAACATGAGTATCTTCGCTACTCCCTGTGAGCACTCTGGGCCTTTTGCCTGTCAGCGATGTGTCATGCATTGTCCAATTGGGTCACTTTCAGAAATGGATACACTGCTTTGGAGATGCGCTTCTTTCTCTGCAACTATGGGGTTTGTTTGATGGAGACCGTCGGGTACAGAGCTGTGGGAGGATTTATGAGGTTTGATAGACAGCTGACGCGAGCTGCTGGCTACGTTTGGGTGCTGTCTGTCTTTGTTTGTTTGGTCCCTGGATGGAGATACCCTGTGATAGTTGAGACAGCGCTCAACGCGCGTGAACGGTAGACAAACCAGCGCCTATTGTCTATCCTGATACCTAATTTCTTTCGACTTGGGTAGCGCTTTTGAGATTTAGAGTACCAATTAGTGACTGTCAGGCCCTTCAAGTGATCATACATCTATACACCTTAGATCATGGTAACCACATGCCTTACAATACCAAGGTCCTCGTACTTCTTTGCAAACGCTTCCATAACGCTTGACCCATGTACAAGTGCCAGATAATATCTACTGTCCGCAGTCGACACCTCGCGACGGAAGCACCGACGTTAGAATCCCTGCGACTGCCAGATATTTGGGGGGGGGGGGGGGGACCGTCGGGACGTTGAGATTCTTGCAGCGGTCTGTTGTTTGTACACGCAAGACCCTCTCGAATCCCAGCCAATCCTCCTCGTGTAGCCTTCATAACACGTATAGAGTATCATCTTCACCGTATATGCGCTTTTTCTTTTCCCGACATGCCTGACAAACGAGTGGTGACTGGAAAGTCTCGGAAAGGGGAGGCCGGCGTCGCTTGGAAGCTGGAGAAAGCCTTGGTCGCCCTCACCACACAGACCATTTGGTGACCTTGATACTGAGCCATGTGACCGTGGTCGGCCTAGATTTATCGCTCATAAACTAACATCAGCAGAATAATGTCTCAATCTAGGTTTCTGCTTTCTCTACCTCCTCTTCTAGGCATCCCATTCAACCCTTTCCAGACTGATAATTGCGCGCTGGCACCCTCCGTCCTCTCGCAATCTTACATCTCTTTGGCGTCAGCACTTACTGCTCTCTCAGAAGAAAGAGCATCAAAATGACTGACAGACTCGATATTGTCGACACTCGAGAAGATCTGGAAGTTGATGAGTCCAGTCTGCCGCCTCCCTACCAAGAGATAGACCATGGACCACCTCCATCGCAGACATCTACGTCACCCTCATCATCATTATACTACCGCCGTTTCCCATCGACAATGACCATTAAAGCTGGTTTGTCACGATCTTTCACGATTTGCGACGCTGTCTCGAACGAGGCCATATACCTGGCGGAATTCCACCCCTCCGGCTGGTCCTGCACAAAGCCGCTAGGGGCCAGAGCAGGCTTCATTCTGCATAACGGCGTGAGCAGCAATGATGCCATCCTTGCAGCAGCTGGAGATATTACCGTCTTCGAACAAAGAATCAACCCTTTCTGCAACAGGAGCCACATCTTACTTCCGCCGCTTCAGACAAAGGAAAACACGCAGGCGTTGCAACACCCGACTGTAACGGAGGTAATGACTGGCAAAATAACTGCAGAGAAAGGAATCGTCTTCCGGTTCTCTGTTGAGGCCGGACGGGTAATGCAGAGACAGACGTTCGAATGGAGGAAGCTCGCCAAAGACGACTCGTGGCAACTGGTGAGACACCCCAGTTCATTACGAAAGACATCATCCGATGGAGAGGTAGTTGCAACCCTGTCATGGGTGCCTGTTCTCCTCGCAATTGCACTCGATCCTTTAAACGTGCAGCCAATCTGTACGCTACAGTTATTGAGCGGCCTCGAATCAGGTACTCTGGGGGAGCGGTGCATCTTGGTAGTGGTAATGAGTGCGCTAAGATTATGGCATCTGCGGGTTAGGGGAAAGGACACAAAGGGTTATATGAAGTTTGCAGAGTCCATGTTTAATAAATAGTAGAGTGCTTTGATAATCATACTAGGCGTCAATAAGTTTCCTTTATTACAAGACTGGGCAAAGATCTCTGTGAGGCGGGCTTTGTGTTAGTATACAGTAGAGGATGCAAAACGGATATAAACAACGTGTTGCTATGGAGGATGACGGCGATGCTGTCACAGTCCGCCCACCAGAGCCTCTCCATTAGTTGATGAGTCTCAGAAGATGATCGAAATCATAGAAACAACGGTCAAGTACCATAGATAAGTGACACTTCATTGCTTCCTTCCACATCATGTTGCTATTCATTGGGTTGCGTGGGCCGCGTCCGAGTCTTTCAACCAAGCCGCTGAGATATTTCACTGCCCCATTCTCTAAGAGGGATGGGATGATACCTTTAAGTAAACATGTGCCGCCGGTCATTTATGGGAGCCATAGTAGTATTGGCTATGATGGTGGTTTTTTGACCTCGGCCTCAGTGGAGGATGAGCTGGCACCTTTCAATAGGTACGATTAATCAAGCTGTTGGTTCTCCCATCCCCGTGATATCCAGGGGTATCTGGATGCAAACCCACCCAGGTGCTGGCATATCTACCTTAGTATTAGATTTATATGAATATACAATATATCTGATATTGAGCCCCGTATCTCCTTCACATTCACATAATACTCAGGATTCTGTCAATTCAGACCTCAATTCTTGGCTCGGTTGATGCCATCACCAAGCACATACGACCATAGGTAGTGGAAAATTCGGGGTCCCGTCTGCTCCCCCAGAGACAAGCCACTAACCGGCAGATTAGTAGTCAGGTGGGTGACCACTGGCGAACACCGGCTGTTGTATGTTTTACTTTTTGTATTTTTCTTTTTGTGCAATCTTTTCGAACGTTCTTGTAGAGACTCATTCGGCGTGGGAACTGTTGATGAGTGGCTTCAGGGGGTGTGTTCTACAAGGACCTCACTACTAGATACGTTCTCTATAAGAAGCACTACAAAACGCCAGGAGGATGATAGTACGCATTTAGTTGGTCCTTTGTACAGTTCACTATCTGCAAATTGTTCTGCTAATGTCGTCTTCGAGTAGCTCCTTAAAAACGGTATCCGGCTTCCTTGAGCAAGAGACATCCTGTCTTCCTCTTCGAACTCAATAGACACACGTAGCGTCTCCTCTGCGCCTTTGAGTGCCCTACGTGCTGGTAATAGCACTCTTCCTGTGTAGTCGTCAGTTATGCCTCCAGAAACTCCCTAAACACCAAAATCTTGAGGCATCAGACAACATACTCGTAGACAGTTCCATCCTGGTAGATGGCGCAACCATTGTAGCCCGTTCCAATGCCACACTCCATCGCACTTGTTCCAGCCCAGGCATTTGCAGAAGCAATGCAATACACGGACTCGCCATTGGCACCGCAAGCTGGGAACCAGTTCATTCCAACCGTCTTGCATCCGGGGGTTCGATCGCAAAAGGCGGCGCATATGGCGGCTCTTGCGGTGTGCGAAGTGCCAGAGGGGATGTCTACCGAATACTGGTCGAGGAAGCTCCTTCACGTATGCGTTGTTAGTCTTGACACTGTTCATTATCCTCGGTATTATCTGAAGAGGACTTACTCCATCAATACGTAGGCACACCCATCCACCGGACCATAGACACGAGAGTACGAAAGAGCAGACGAGATGGTCGAGGTGGCGAGAGGCACCGTGACAGTGTACGTAGACGTGGTAGGTACGGTTGTTGTGAATACTACATCGACTTCTGAGAAGGAAGTGACTGATGCTGTCGTCGTGGCGGCGGTGGGAACCTGGGTAACAAGCACTGTCGACAGTGTTGAGACGGATTCTACGCTGGTGGTATCTGTCTCGACGTCCAACACTGTGCTGACATCGACAATGGAGGTTGTGGTGGTCTTGAGGATCAGGAGGAATCAGAGCCTAATCAAACCATGAAGCTTGAGGAGGCGAACTTACAGAGGCTGTACTAATGGTTGACGTAAACGCCTGTTTGGTTGTCACTGTACCAACAACGCTCACAGTTCTAGTGGCGCAGACAGTCTTATACGATGTATGAGTCCTCTTGGCCGTGGCCGTAACGGTATGCGTAGGCGGATGAACTTCAATGCACTGCAATGCGTCAGCAGTTGAAAACTCTACTACATGGGCGCGTAATTGAAGGAGGGAGAATATACTGAGCACGCAGTCTGCAACACGTCTCGCCGGCATGCCGCCAGCCTCAGCACAAGATCCTCGCGAAAGTCGTGATGCTTTTGTTGATGTCGCCTCGTCAAGCCGGTGTCAATAGTCGTGTAAGCGGTAACGGTTCCGGATGAGACCGTCACCGTTTCCTGTTTGATGGTGAAAGCAGTAACGGTCGCGGTTGTCGTCGTCGAGGGGAGTGTAGCAACAATCGTGGTGCTACATGATATCAGTACTTGTGCATCATTGCATTGATGTGTAGGCGACTCACATCGTGTCGGTACCGGTGATGTGGTAATCGGTCGACGTAGAAGTGTATTCAGTGGCAATATTGGTCCGCGTGTAGACCGTATCAATCTCAGTGCCGGTGTAAACAGTCCGTATCTGCAAGGAGCAATGAGCTGTTATGTTCAGCCCAGCCATCGGTAATAGATTGGCCTACCGAGGTTCCAGAGGTAGCTGTGGCAGTTACCGTAGTCGTGTAGACGTACGCAATTGATGTCGATGTGAAAACGGTGGACGTCGTGGCGAAAGGAGTGGAAGTAACCGTTCGAGCAGGCTTGGAGACGGTCACAACTGTAGTCGTTGGCTGCGTCACCGTTCGAGTGACAGTTGTAGGAGGCAGAGGATCTTGCTTTGGTTAGTTCAAGCACCTCGGCCTCAAACAGGCGTACTCACAGTGATGGGAACAGTAGGACTCGGCTGGCGGGTAGTGCTTCAAGGGGAGCAGCTGAACATAGGGCCAATGCAGGCAAACTCGGTCAATTGCCAGCACATACTGGACTTGAAGGAGGCAAAGCCCAGACAAGATCTTGAGTGACACCATCGCGAGACGTGATCTGTGTGATAGAAGGTCTGGCAAGAAGCAGGTTGCCCGACCAGCAAGCGCTGAGGTCGTTATTAGACCCTGTTACATGCGTTCTACATGTTTTTGTCTTCAAATCCACAGCTCTAGTCTAATTGATTTGTGAGCCACACCTAGAGCCCCAGAGAGTCGCTGCAGTGGTGTACGTTTGCTGGAAAGCCTTGATTCGAGCACCGCAAAAGGAGATTGCACCTCTTAGCCTGACGCCATACGATGTGAATCTGGGCCTAGACTCCAGCTGCCATGCTTGAATTCTTCGATCATCGTGAACAGACGGCTCTAGTATTGGGTCGCAAGTCTCCGCTAAGTCTCGATAGTCGGTTGAAGCATCAACTATTAGGGCAAAGGGTGCAGGCCTAGGCTATTAGTTTCGGGGACCCCTCCGCTAGATTCGAGCCGATTGCCGCTCGATATACGGATCATCTCAAGGGTGTCCTCAGCTTCTGGTTGACGGAGAGGATCTCTGTACATAGTACTAGTACAGACGTTAGTATGGCGGCAATTCTGGGATGGACTCTACCTCTTGAGGTCTTTGGCATCTTCCTTCGCATGAACGGGGGCTATGATTAGCTCTAACAGCTATAACATGTTGCCGACTCGGTGGCAAATCGCGCACTTGAACTCTTCACACAAATTTCGCAAACCTAATAAACAAGATACATGTAGATGGCTTGATTGATACAGCTTCAAGCGTTGCTGCCAAATATCCTTTTCGTGGTTCTGCGAATTGTGACTGGGTGCCTTACCGTCCATGCCAATTACAACTTTGCAAACCGAGCACGTACATGTAGCAGCCGTGGCTGAAGCTTGGGGCTAGGGATCCATTATGAATTGCATTGTTTCTCTCCGGGGTCGGCGAATCAATCGCTGTTATGGCCAGACTTTGTAGCGATCATATTCCACGGCTTGTATAAGATGTCTGGGACAGCAGCCATGAACGTGTGGCTTTGAACCATAGGATTCGTCTTAGTCTCCCTACATGTCATGTCCGAATGCGAAGAAGCGGTGAAAATGCGCGAGATACATCAAACAGAGCACCCTCTCGAGCAGCAAGCAGGGGAATGGTTCTAGTATATGGATGATTCGCAACATCATGTCGCCTTGGAGTGAGCCCGCTTACTGTCACGCCCAGCGTTGTGATGCGACCAGCGAAGCTGCAGCTCCACAGTGGCGTGAAGGAGACGCATCTCTTTGGCCATCCTCAAAGACATGCATTGAGCCAGACAGACATTGTTGCTGATAGGAGATGACATGTTCGTCAGTGGCTGAATCAAGCGAGGATTCATCTGCTTTACCTTGTGCATACCTAGACTGAACATATCACCACTTCGAGACACAATCAAGCTTAGCCCATCACCGCTTCTACGAAACACCAAGAAAACACGCATTTCACAAGATGGCCCCCTCGTGTCAGAACTGCAGCAAGACCGCGCCGGAAATCACGCTCAAGAAGTGCGCAAAATGCCAATCCACGCCATACTGCTCCCGGGACTGCCAAAAGGCCGACTGGAAGAATCACCGGAAGGTCTGCGGCAAGGCCCAAGAAACCCAAGCCCCCAAGAGCAAGCCATTCACGAGACTCGGTAACAAGGTCTGGCTCCACGACCGTCCCGAGTCTGAGACGTACGAGCTGCTCATCGACGCATACCGCCTCCGCGTCTGGGACGATAACAATATCGGGAAAAGCGTCAACCAGAGCAGCGAGGGCTTCCAGCGGTTCCTCGACACCGTGCAGACGCGCCCTGGCCTGCTGCCTCCGTGGTGGAACCAAGAAAAGAGAGAGGCCTGCGAGGCATTGGGGAAAGATTCTTCGCACTGGTGCAACCTAAGCTCTCCCGTCACTAAGGACAGAATCATCCAGCGCTACGGCGACGACAAGTTCCCGATGCAGCTTCGTATGTTTGCCGAGCAGGTGCTGGGAAGCGGTCCAGGCGGACAAAGCGGGAAAGCGATGCTGGCGATGATGGTTCGGATGGAGGGGGGAGAACTCGCAGATTGGAGCACAACCCATGTCTCTGTGGCTTAAGTGTAAGCCTGCCAGCCAGATGCTGTTCCATGTACCTACGTCAAAGATGGCCAAGGGCCAGGCGGCTCTTGTGTCAAGGAACAATGGAACGCGAATGGTATTTGGTCATCTATATACTCAGCCCTCCAGGGGAGATGTGCATGTAAAAGAGTTGATCTGAGGCGATTTGAAAGCATCAATCAGGCCCTCAATGGCCGCATATGCTCCCAGTCCGCTCAACGCCAGAGATCCAAGCGTGTACACCAGCAGTATAACATTCAACCACCAGAACCTGCCAAAGAAGCCACGAATCCACCGCTTCACTCCCGAGTCACGGTGATGAACCGCGCCAGTCGCTGGGTCAAACGCCTCTTCTCCCCTCATTGCATTTTTCTGGACAAACAATCCGAGACCGATGAATGCCGGGAACGTGTACGTAAATTGCACAAGACAAATGGCGGCAATGACGCTCGTCAGGCCAAAGAAGTCGGGGATCGCAGCCGCAAAGACAAAGGCGACGACCCAGTAGATCGGGACAATGACAGCCCACAAGATCTTGCCGCCAGTTGAGGTGAGCGGCGGAGCCTTGAACATTTCAATGAGGACGTTGTTGTAGATGACCTTGATGCCAATGTTGCCGTAAAGGGTCGCGGCGATGATTCCGCTGATGACAGCGAGGATGTTGCAGACGGTCTGCCAGGCATAAGGCGAGAGACCCTGATATGCGAGCTATTCGAGCCGGTTGTTAACATGCTTCCATATGATCGCAACAGCTGTTAGTATAGCTTACCTGATTGGCATATTGTCCCTGGTAAAAGTAGACAAACGATCCATACGACATGTAGCACGCATAGATGAAGAACTGGGCTCCCCACATGGCCTTGAGAAAGTCCCGGGGTCTCTGAAGCTCAGCCATAAACTCAACAAACAGCTGCGCTCCTCCGTATGCATAGACGCCATTCATGAGACCATTGATCGAGCCAGTGAAGCCGTTGGTCGACGGGGGAATGCCGCCATATCTCTGAATGGGAGGATACGTCCCGTTGGCAGACGGTGTAACAGAGAGGCCGCCCAGGGCAGCTCCAGCAGAGCCAGCCTGAGCAGCTGCATAGTTGGGCTCACTGTGAGCCATGACGCCCATGCTGATGAACATGATCAGAAGATTCAGGACCACCGCAAAATTGGCCAAGAAGCCGAGCTTGTTCAGGGTTCTGATCTGGCCCGTGAAGAAGCCAACAATCGCCCAGATCAGGCAGCACACAATGTAGCAAAGGTGGAACTTTGACACCTGCGAGATCGAAAGGCCATTGCTGATGACCAGGATTCCAACGCTAATCATCAGCTGCAGGGCTTGCAGGAAGTTGATCGTGTAGCGAAGCCAGGGGCCCCAGATGCGGAACCCGAGATCGCCGTAGTTTTTGACTGGGAACTCGTATGAGTCGACGTCGAGAAAGGCTTTCCAGAGAATCCAACCGGAACTATTACACCGACGTCAGTACCTTCAATCATGTTGTCAGAGACGAATATGTTGATAACAACTCACCCCCCAGCGCAGAGTCCGAATAGAGTGAATAGTCCGATGCCCTCTCCCCAACCCATCGTACCAATAGAGAAGCCCACTCCAAAAGGGCCCAGGATATCCGTCGTGATCAAGTAGAAGCACGCCGCTGCACTGGCAGAACGCAAAGCCCGGCTTGCATTTGTCCACTCCAGGTCCGTGATGAGCAACTTGTTGTCGTTCAGATTCGACTTCTGGCCTTCATGCTTCTCGCTGGGCTGCTTGCCCTCTATACGTCTCGATGTCCCCCTCGAGGGAAACACCATGTCCATCAAGGTCGTGGGTGGTGCAGTGGCCGCCACTGAGTCCTCTTCTGCCCGTGTCTTTTCGGCATAGTACATGTATTCTTCGAGGGTGACGCTGGCATCGTGGAGAGGGCGATGTTGGGGCTTGATGGCGGTTGAGGCTATGACATTGGCGCTTGTAAAGGCATCCTCGGGGCCGGAGGAGTAATCCTCCTTTTCAGAGCCCATCTTGATGTTTGGAACAATGCCAAAAGCTAAGAGGTCTTGTGTGGGAGCAACCAGATATGAGGTAAGAGGCAAATTCAGATTCTTTAGAAAGAAACAAGGTAAGGGACGGATCACAATTATCGTCTTGAGTATTTGAAAACTTCATGGAGCACATAATCTACAGGATCTGGGGAACATCTGGATATTCTGGGACAATATAAGTGTTACTGATGAGACGACATCGGATAGGGAGCCCCGTCGCCACAGCTGACGCCCGTCCGCGTCGGAGGCAATCTATGAACCGAGTCCATCTCATGCCATCCGCTATTCAAGCTTTGCACGCGTCCCACACTGTCTCTCCACGTTATGGGAAGATGGGTTTGTAAGGAAGCCGAATCCTCGACGTGACTTGAGTCCCGTCATGCAGATCCAGTCGGATGCCGATCTTCCGTACACTCAACCACAACTTCCGAAGAACTTTTGAACGAGACCCACAGGTACGACTGGTAAACCGGATACTTTTACGGATCAATATCAAAAGGGCGTCTTTGACTCCGGGAGAGGCTACCAAGTATTGTCAACCGCTCCCGTACGTTTCTGAGTAAAGACGCCGTCCGAATTCGGAGAGTCTGTGGCCAATTTCAGCCTCCCGCCCAGTCAGAATTTTCTTTCTTCATTGACTTTGGCCGTACTCGAGACAACATGACTTACCTAGCTCCGCCAAGTAAGATGCTTATTCTGGAGAGAATTCCGTGCCATGTATGTACAATCCCTCCATAAGCTCTATGCCATGGACTTCAGAACGACTTTCTACCTTATTAATGACGCCATTCTAGAAGCAAGCCATGATGGACAAAAACCAATCAGCTTGTCCTATCTTCCCTATGCCACGTTTTCTAGAAGAGACGATACGACTAGGGCCGTGGGGTGGCGTGGCCGTTCAACGCCTCCCGCGATGCCAAGTCATCTGACGGCTTGTTGGTCTGCGTTTCACGCCCTTCATCTACAGATCCGCCAAGAGATATCGATCTTGGAACACACTAGAACGTCACTAGCGAGCTGATGGGTAAGAATCAGTACTTGACAAAACTCGACACTTGACACTTTTCACATCCTCGGAGAAGAATCCTTGCTCTCACAACCCATCCAGCAGGAGGCATTGCCGCAGTCCTTACAAGAGGACCACAGCCAGACGCCAACAGACTGGAGCCCCGTCTCGGAACCGCCGGCTGGCTCGATCTCAATTAACGGCGCTTGTCACCTTTTACGGACCCAGCAAGAGACAGTCCGTCTTAAGGCCGAGATCCGCCTCCATTCGTCGACCCACCTCCCGGCATAGCCAGCAGTTCCGGCATGCTGGGATTGTGCGAAATTCTCCGAGCGCTCCTGATACAGCAGGATCCTGATGCTACTTTCGTAACAAGAGGTGGTGAAAGAACAACGGCGAGTATTTTCTATGCCTTGAGACAACTACTGGTTGCTCTCGGAGTAACTTGTGACATCTCCGCAGCGAGCAGAAGGATTCTGTTACCTTGGTTTGAGTCACCTCCGAAACACACTTCCCAGCGCCAGAGAAAAGGAGCAACAAGAAGTGCCTCTATAGCCCTGTACTCTCTTCTCGATCCAACTCCCCATTACCCCGGATTCAAGTGGTGCATGAAATGCAAAGCTATCACCGTCCATTTTGGTCCAGTATGCCTTGTGCGATTACCTCAACGGCCCCTCCACTCTCAACTCGCTTTTGCCACCCATTTCGCCAAAACAGAGTGACCCCCATCATCATGCTCGTCATACCCTTTAACCAAATGCATGCTCCTCCGCTGCACGGCAAAGACCAGTGAAAAGCCTTGATCGGCTTTTATGTATGTTACAGACAGGCTGCACATAGTCCTCCACATGACTGTACTTGTTCACTAAGAAAACAGATTCTAGCTATGCCAAACCGTCTACGCCATCATGAGCCTCAAGTTCCCTCCACCAGCCTGTAGATTGTGTCTCACACCCCTAATCATGTCTTCGCCAGATTCGTCCATATCAGATTCAGAACAACTGTAGGAAGAGTAGTGCGAATCTTGCAATATGTAGTGCAGCTGCTTTCACCTATCGCTATGCTCGACCAGGAAATTGAGAGATGCCTCGCCAGCTGAACTTGTGTGACGTCCAGCATGAAGATATATCTGAGCCGGCGTCGGTTCGATCAGGACGGCTGAAACCTGTCCACTCGTCGACAATCAGTGTAAATTTAACGGACTTTGAGTGCCTCTCATGGCACAAGTTGTGCTTGACTGGCCTTGGCTATGTGTGGACAGGGCCTCAAGAGACGCGTCTGGAGCTGCTCAGTGTCAGTTTGCCAGGCCAACCACATGTTCTCACTGAAGGTGGGCCACGAGCAACATATAATGTCATGCTGCTGGGCCAGGCTTTGACATCATCCATCTCAAGGCTGACATTCTCTTCCATTGTTCCATGGCGACGACGCTAACAAGGGGATCCATATTGGCTTCATGAATCTGGAGCATGGCTTCGCCCACGGCACCATAGTGGCAGCCTCGGGGGCGAGTGTGAAAAGCGGCCTCTCGGGCTTTCACTCAGGCAACCGTTTGCACACCCAGCAAGAGGCTGTTGTCCTACCACCCTCAAGCAAAAACCTTGGCGTATCAAGCGCTTTGCCTTTTACACATCCCAAAGAGGCATTAGCTGAAGGGAATGTCCTGAACCAGTCACAACAGAACCATGCAGGAGTGCGTCCTGTACCGCCGAGGTTTCGCCCTTACGCCTTGACAAGTGTACTAGATCTGCACGTTTGTGATGATTTTCCTGGTGATACAAGGCCTGTCTATAATTTCTAATGAAGACTTTAGGTGGGGGTTGTCTCGACCATGTTTGTGGTTTGAGCAAGGTTGCTCTCCTCTGGATGTCGTCTCGGGTGGAAACCCAAGCCTCGGGGATTCCACACTACCAACGGTACCAGTACTTGTAAACGGGCTGATCGTGGATGGACTGAATTGCAGGCGTTCATCGACCTTGCCAATGATGGTATAAACGAGTACGAGCTGTTATGTGTACGCTCCCGAAAGCTTTAGTGTGCTGTTGTTGGTTGCACACACTGCCTTGCCAGCAACACCCTACGTGACTTGAACGCCCATCCAAATTTCTCCGGTTAGAGCATATGAGGGGAACATAAGCCATATGTGGCTTCCTGCAGTCCAGATTGAACACAGACCGGGATCATCAAACCAATCAGCCAGTGGCTCGGACGGGAATCCAGACTTGACTGCACGCGATTAAGCGCCGAGCTGCAGAACACACCGGAGACATAGACTCTTTCTCTTCCAGTAAGCTCCTGCTTCTGCTCAAGTGCGACCAACGGACTCTAGCAGAGACGCATTTACACCAATGAACATTGCAATCAAGGAGGGTGAAAAACGGAAAGTGGTTCAGGCTGCAGAAGCACATCACCCTTGAGCTCACAGTCATACCAGTTCTCATATGCAACGCGATCTGTACTCAAGGTCAAGAGGAAAGGCAGAATAGCTTACAGCGTCAGCTTGGGGCCAGATACTAAAGATAGCGCGTAAGATACATAGCTTTGATCTCTGAGCATATTAAGAAGCTAATTCTACTGGATTGGCCTTCACTTTGACCTTGCACATATTTTACTCTTGTACGGTTCGGAGTGATTCTTGGACATGGGTCAAAAGACGTCAGGAATAGTCCGTATGTGACCTTGAAAAACAGCTTCATCAGAAATCTACTTGGAAGAAGCCGTAAGAGTTCGATGATTTTGTGACCACTACTTAGCAGCGTTAGACCAGGCCACTCTGCTCTTGGTCTGTTTGAGTGGCAAAGTCGTACATATGCTCAAGGCATTCTTTGCGCCCGCCTAGGTAGCTAATAAACGCCCTTTGTGTTGCCACATATCCCAATATATATGCGGATATGCATACTATATTAAGTATACGAACCTGTGCCTATCCGTATTGTCTTGATACACAGAATAGCCGCATAAACGCCCCTGTTGCTCAGGGCGAAGCGCTACCCTCGCATAGAGCGGCTTGCAGCAAGCCCTGCTGAGTTTAATACAGATGCAGACTAGATATCTTCCCTCCCATACTCTATGTAAAGTACTCCATCAATCGTTTACTCTCCACATCAAACATTCAATTATAGACGCGCCCCATCAAGTCTGAAAAAGCTCGAGAATATCATTGCATTCAAGCTGGCTTGAATCAGAGATATCTATATATCAGCAAACTCCAAAACCACCAGCAATCTCTCAGTCACTCAGAATGGCTTCTCTCACTTCCTTCATATTCCTCTTCTTACTAGTTTCTCAGTCCGTCTCCGCCGACGATGGAGATGACTTCTCCAACAACTTGCTGACGGATCTGGCCCCGTAAGGCGTTCACTTCTGACACTTTGTTCAGGCAATGATGTCTTCATACTAAATCTCTCATGTTCTTCAGGCTCCTTGCTCTTTTCGGAGAGCGGGTTACCATGCAATTCCTGAGTCAATCCGTGGGCTTCTCTGACCACATCCTCCTCGCCACAGCACCGCTCGGCATCATCACGGTCATCGTTGCCGCTATCAGGGTCGGCGGTCCCTTGTGGCTCAAAGCTCTATTTGGGAGGGCCACTGAGAATGTTGCAGCTGCTGAAATGGAAATCATGTCGTCCACCTCAAGAGAGGTGTGTGAGCTCTGGAACGGCAGAGATGTGGTCCGCTACCTTGGATCAGCTGCTGTCTGGGAGTTCATATGCCTTCTGCCTGGTAAAGATGTCCCAAAACATCCCAAGATCAGAGTTGTGAGCATGGATGAAGCCACGAGTCACGGTTATATCGAAAGAGGTGAGTTAGAACTCCAGCTCACCTGAGAATCACTACTTACTTGCGATTACCCAGCTTCTGATATTCAAATTCCCTTCTGGGAAAAGATGCGAAAGCTCTTGCCCTTCCCTTCCAATAAAGGACAGAATGGAGCTCCTGGAGCTGGTGGCAAACAGAGCATCAATAGCCGGCA